AATCAAGTTAAGGATTGAGAATGACCGTCGTAAAGTATAGTAGTTAGTTCTAAGCATAGTTCTAAGTCTATAGTCTATAGTCTATAGTTCTATACTTCTAAGCATACTTTATAGAGCTCTAACGATAGTTTAAGGTCTTCGTAAAGAAAAGAATTGATTGATAAATGAAAAAAAGGCAACCAGTAGACTTTGAAAAGTGCCGCATTGTTAGTTGAAATTGAAAAACGAACTTGTTTTCGGGTGATTTTTATATGAGCCCAACTCCACCTCCATTCCTCTCTTCTTTTTCGCTGAATCCATCACTTTGTTTTCTTATCCCGAAAATAGAAAATGTTCTGATGAATCATTTGCTTCTTTTTTCTTTTTTTCGAAACTAATTCCTGTTAGACAATTCTTTTCTTTTCTTCTTTTCTTCCTTCTGTCAATCTCATTCTATTTGTTTTCCCCGTGTCAATCATCATTTTTTTTTGCTGTTCTTTTAAGACCAAACTTATGTGGGTGGTTTGGTTTGATTGGAAAAAGGAGGAGCTGGTTTAATGCTAAGCTGTCTAACGTTGCCTGATTTGACCACGGAAATTTCCTGAGTGCGCCAGAAGTCAGACTAAAGCTAGGTTCTGTCTGACGTGACTTCCAGGTCTTTAGACTCGATGGGACAACTATGATCTCGATCTGGCTCTAGCTTATTACGAAAAAGCTATCTATCCATACTAGCAATAACTTTTTCGTGATTCACTACAAGACAAAGTCGTACTACAATACAGTTCCAATACGGTTCTTTTTTTTGATCGAGTACGGTTCCAATACGGTTCTTTTTTTGATCGAGTACGGTTCCAATACGGTTCCAAATCCAGATTACCAAAAAGTACTCATGTCCTCAATAAATCTTTCCTTTTCTAAAGTAAATAAATAGATGAAAAGAAAATATCAGAGAAATATCAGAGAAATATCTTTCCGAGAGGAAAATACTAGACAATATTTGCACTCAGAAATTGCCAATGAAAAAAGTTGTCAAATAAAAATTGGGGTGGGTGTTTTTGAAAGTAAAAATCAAACAATGAGTAACAGAAATGTAACAAAAATACTACAAAAATAGAAAAGAAATAATGAGAAATGAGGGAATTTTAAGAAATACAAGGTCCAAAATTGGGGACCTTAGTTAAAATAGCGCCGTTCAAAACAGTGCCAACAGTGCCAACAGTGCCATCAGTGCCAACAGTGCCAACAGTGCCAACAGTGCCAAATTTCAAGCCCAATGTTTTTATACTTCTCATAATAACTTGTAACTTTTGTTATTTTTAAAACATTTTTTAAGCACCTTGCGCGTATTTTGACAAACCGACGGGTTATTTCATTTCATTTCATCATTAGAATCATGTTTTATGGCCCATTTTAGATAAATAATGCGGCACATTTTATTTTTCATCGTTTTCTCTTGTTTTTACTGTTCTTGGTACTTCATTTTGTGTTTTTTTTAGGTAAAAGAACGTCACCTGAAGGAATAGAAATCGTAAACGAAAAAATCGTCTTGCTCAACATTCAGACATTCAGACAACATCGCTCAACATGATACGAGATTTTTGTAAATGTGTGCAACGAATTGCTCAAAAAGGAAAAGGGAAAAGTTGAGGAGACCATGGCGTACTTTATGCTCTTTGTAAACACTCTCCTGGCGCAGCAATCAATTCTTCACTTTTCAAATCCGATCAAAAAAGAAAAGGGAAAAGAACGTCACCTGAAGGAATAGAAATTGCAAGTGATTCAACGTGGCTATCGACAATCACAGGTACTTTTTGTTGCTAAAAAGTTTACGAGTGGATTAAGCTTTAAGATTAAGAGAGATTAAGCTAGTTTTTGCGTTTTTCGGCAAAATTTTTGTTTCTCAACATCTTTTTTTCATTTAGAGATGTCACTATCTCAGAAAGGCGGATTACCTGCTGCTTGCTTGCTTGCGCTTGCTTACACTTGCGCTTGCTTACACTTGCGCTTGCTTACACTTGCGCTTGCTTACACTTGCGCTTGCTTACGCTTGCGCTTGCTTATGCTTGCGCTTGCTTACGCTTGCGCTTGCTTACGCTTGCGCTTGCTTACGCTTGCGCTTGCGCTTGCCTACGATGAAGATGGACACGAGTATCGGAAGAACAATCCGAAAAGAGGTAGCTACAGCTTATCGGTAATTTCTTTTTACTAGTTTTTTTTTGTATATTTTTCGTTGAACATTTTGAAGTTTTTCTTTGAGTTGTACGAAAACATTGTCGGGAAAGGATGCATAAAGATGAGGTGATTGGAGTCATTTCTGTCACCAACGAGCTTACGATCTGCCTGCCATTGAAAGAAACACAAGAGATATTTATTGTTTTGTTTAACTTGTTTCTAGTTTCGATTTTTAGATACGTGAGGTACACTGTGGCGCTATGTTTTTTTCATTTTTTTCATTTCGTTATTTGAAAAAACAAGTTTTCATCTACTATTTTACTTGAAAACGCACAAAAAAACAAAAAAAAAAACCTTTTATCGGAAACTTCAAAAAAATTAATTAGAAGATCTTTTCATCTCCCATTAAAATATCTCCCACTCCCAGTCATCCCAAATCCATTCCCGAATCCAATGGGCATTCCACCGATTCGACCCGAACCTGGGAAGGACTCATTGTTCAATTTTCAAACTCGTTTTCTGTCTTAGACAATAGAAAAGCTACATTGAGGCCATACAACGGCTCCTTTCCTCACCTCCAATCCCGAATCCAAATCCTTGTTGTATTCCCAATCCACCAATCGGCGTTCGAATGCCCAAACCCGTATTGATCGCCACATCGCCCATTCCTTGAAAGATTCGTACGAGTGGATTTTTCAGAGAAGTTCAAACCGGACATTTTTAGACAAACCGAACAAAAGCTAGGCACAGTTTTTGGTTGTTTTTTCTGCCAGAAATGGCTTTTGCCCTGTAACTCTTTGCAACTCCCGATCTCTTTACCCGGTGCATATCCTTGTCCTCCAGGCGGTCCATATCCATTTCCCGATTCTAATCCATACAATGACCACGAGTCAAAATTTCGGGGTCTTTGCGGGCGAAGCTTCGATAGGAAATTTCCTATGCGAAAAGATTTATTGAATTTTTCGGAAAATAACCATTTGATGGAATTGAATACTTTTTACAATGATCTCTCCTAATTCGACAAACCATTTCATCAAGGGAAACACAAAAGATGAGATCTGGAAAAAAGAGAGATAAATCTACGTTTAAAGATCAACAGTACGTAGTACTTTTCAGGAGTACTTTTCAGCAAATTTACTCACCAAAAAGCAGTAAAACTTTTAAAAATTCAAAGAAAATCGATATTGGAAAGGGCATTTTTCGATGGGTAATAAAATGAAATGATTTTGAGAGATGAAAAAAAAAAAAGAGAAATGTTATCTTTTTCAAAATAAATACGATAATGATTGAAAGAGAAAATGAATTTTTTAAATGCACCAGAAAGTTTTCGTTTGCTGGGAGTGGGACAAATGCGACCTTTTTTTTGCGCACCCGGACATTTGCGCACCTTTTTTTCCGCACCTTGCCCATTAGCGCACCTTTTTTCGCGTTTTAAAAAAGCTCTAAAAGCTAATGTTAACCAATTTCTATTCCAAACGTTGTTTTTCTAGGTAATTATAGGGCGTAGAATCGAAATTTTGACATATCAGAGCTTGTGGAAACAAACGGACGGAGTTATACAAAGAGAAAAATCGACAATTTTCTGTAATTTGATCTAGCCGTTTTGTCTTTCAAATTGGTTCCACACGCCCTGTTATGTCAAAATTTGAATTCGACACCCTCAAATTACCTAGAAAAAGAACTTTTGGAATAGAAATTGGTTAATATTAGGGGAGGTAGTCAAATGAGCGCCAAAAATTGAGCGCCAATCATTTCAGCGCCAATCATTTTAGCGCGCGTTCATTTCAGCGCCGCACCAAAAATGACTGGAAAACATTCATTTCAGCGCCGAATCAGCCCATTCTGTATACGCATGTTATTTTTGCATTTTCTGCATGATCTCAAAGTTTTTACTGTATGTTTTTATCTAAATCATCTAAAGATAAAAATAATTCTTGGCAGCAAAATAAACCAAAATAAATCATGAACAAAACGTTACTTTGACTCAGAGTGTTCCTTTGTCTCGCCACTTCTTGCGCAGTTCACGAGCCTAAGCAAAGAACTATGTTAACTGTAAGCAAATTGTAAACGAAAACGGCAAGAAACGGTGAAAAAGCATGCTATTGGGGGAAAATATCATACAAGTAGCAAATTTACACATTTTCATCAAAAAAACCTTAAATACGAGCTAATCTAACAATTTTTTTTCCGCGCATTTGGTGCCTACTGCCGTGCCCTAGGTCAAATGAGTGAAAAAAGTGTAAAAACAGAAGCAAAACCCTAAAAAACATGCAAAAGCAGCGTAGAAAGCAAAAATATTAAAATTTAGTCGCGCTGAAATGAACGTTTTCCAGTCATTTTTGGCCCGGCGCTTAAATGAACGTTTTTAGGCCTTTTTAATTTGGCGCTCAAATGATTGTTTTCCAGTCATTTTTGGCACGGCGCTCAAATGAGTGGCGCTGAAATAAGCGTGAGCCAAATCGTTGGCGCTGAAATGATTGGCGCCCAATTGTTGGCGCTCATTTGACTACCTCCCAATATTAGCCTTTAGGGCTTTTTTAAAACGCGAAAAAAGGTGCGCTAATGAGCAAGGTGCGGAAAAAAAGGTGCGCAAATGTCCGGGTGCGCAAAAAAAAGGTCGCATTTGTCCCACTCCCCGTTTGCTCGTTGCGGAAAAGCGGAAAGTACACTTGAAAAAGAAGCTGCTCAAATCTTTGCAATGGCAATTAAAGAAACTTGTTTTACAGGCTACGGTAGCCAGGTCACGATTTAGTTACTCGAGTTCACTTTCAAGTTTTTGAAAATGCAAATTTGAACTTTATTTTGATATCAAAAAAAATTCTCAATGTTTCTTTGAGTGCATTCTTTTATTTAATGCATTCTCGTTCCTCTTTATCGAAAGCTCCCTCCAAATTGAGGACACCTGAAGAGAAGTTTTTGAGAAATAAAAAATGGATAATCTATTGTATACTGCAGTACAATGTATTGTATGTATTGTATGTATTGTATTATGTATTCTATTTTAAATGTTTAATCAAATTTCCCTCACCAATATCCACCCATTGCTCTTCAGTCGGATTCCCATTGTGAATGAACTTTTTGGGGATCGTGAAACGAAGTTTCCGAGAACAAGCCTAGAAATTGGATCATTTGAAATATTTTTGAAATTTATATATCCACTACGATTTGCTTGGTTGATTGCAAAAGAAATTTCGATCGATATAAAATGTTCCATTTTGTTTTTAAATCTCGGGGTAGGCTAATTTCCGCAATTTTTTTTGCGCAACTGGGTCGTTTGCGCAACTCGCCATAACTCTCTTCTAAGTGAACCAAACTTTATGATTTTGGTTTCATTTTGTAGATCTTAATAAGTGCAACAAAATGACACCAAAATCATAAAGATTGACCGACTTAGAAGAAAATTATGGCGAGTTGCGCAAAAAATTTGGCGCAAAGCCCCTAAATCTCGAAATCTTATTTCATTTTCTTTTTTATATTTGTACTCTTGGATATTTACTTTATTTTTATGCTTTTTCTAAGTCAGAATTTTCACTTTTTAATTGATATTTGCTTTAGATCATGATGGATCAAAAGTATGTTGTGCGTGCGTTTCTGCTCTACGATTTCAAGATGGGTAAAAACGCTGCCGAATCACATCGTGATCTCTCTTCGGCTTTTGGAGAACAAGTTATGACCGAAAAATTCAGCCAGCTCTGGTTTGCCCGATTCCGAGAAGGTATTAAATGTCTTGAGGACGAACCACATGGGCATCGCTCGGCAGCGATCGATAATAATGAATTGGAAGAACCTATTGAAGCTCATCTAATGCAAACAACACAAGAGCTTGTCAAACATTCCCAATGTTGCTTACATTGCAAGAATGTTAACGAAATTTTGATATCTCTATTTTTCGTACCTTATCCTCATCTTTGCATTCATGCCAAATGTAGAGCACTGGATCGATCGGAGTCAATTCGTGGGTGGTGCCGGTTAGACTGGAAAATGATTAGCATAGAAAAAAATTGATGATTGATTGATTTATTGATATAAATTGATGATTTCACCTGAACAATCCATCATCACCGACTCTCTTCTCATCAAGGGTATCATCGGGATCGGGTCCTGAAAAGGAAAATATCTTAAACGGTTGAATTTTTATAAAAAATCAAACCTCATTAGTAAATAACTCAAGGGAGATCGAAAAATCGATTTACTATCGAGGTTTATTTACTAAAGAGTTTTCTACTAACGAGATTTTACTGGATTTGAATTTTACTCGATTCTAAAAGCGCTTTTTCTACTTTAAACAATATCTACCTGTATCCAAATCGACGATTCTCACTTTTGCATCCTTCGCCGGTGTCAGCCCACACATCAATTTACCCTAAAACTTACAATAACTAACAAATCGTATACTGGACTTGCTTTTGGGTACAAGTTATCAATTTTGCAAACACAATTATCTCATTTTAAAGAATTCAGTGCGACAGAAAGGGTGTGTTCATTCTTTTTTAAATTGTTTCACTCACTTTCACAGCCACTCCTTGTTTCCTCATCGCATCGATGGAAAGAAGAAAGGATAAGAATACAAAAATTGACAGAGAAACCCTCATTTTGAATAGAGAACCTAAATCACAATGAATTGCTTTAAAAAAAACAAATGAAGCTTTGAATTTCTTTTTGACTGATTGATCAGACATTATCAGTTTATGCTTTTTTTCGGGAAAGAGATTGGAAGTCTTTTTTCCCTTTTTTTGTCCTTTCATATAAACAATTCTTGGAGGGGAAATAGAGGCCAGAAGAGGACACAAATTGATCAAAATGTATGGAAAAGGTAAAATGATCGTATCTAGATAATAGGCTAGGCAATATAATAGAGGACAAAACTATGTCCGTAACCTGCAGATCTAGGTGTGCAAAATCTTTTGAGCACAACTTTATCACATTGTCAGAGTACAATTTGTAGCCTGTAAGAAAGACTAGCCGCTCCAGGTACTTGGCCAGTGAAACTTGGTTAACCAGATCAATTAGGTCTGACATTCCCAACTCATGTTAGAAATAGTAATCGCGTACTGTAAGTGGTACTTAGAGAAATATTAGTCCCGGATAAAAGTACTATATGTATTACGACAGAATCCGCTCACATTCAAAATAAATTAGCCAGGTAATTTTGTAACGGTCCAGAAGATAAGCCTTGCTTTCGTTGTTTCCATTCAACTCCCCAAATCATCTTACAGTTAGTTTTGGCCTTCATTGTGGTCCGGCTACGAAAAGTTCCGGATTCTCCAAAATGGAAATAGATTTCTTTTTCATTTCAATACAAAATTTATAATTTAAAAAACGTAAAACAATACTTTCAATTAATCTGACAATAACAAATGATTTAAAAACGAAAAAGAAACGACGCCGCGGCGCTCCCATTGACTGCCTCCAAATGGCGGCGACGTCAATTGGAATGCGACGTCGCGCGAAAATTTACAACAGAATTTTCAATTTAACATGACAACGTCTCAAAAGCACATTTTTTTTTCTCTCTGAGGATCTTTCTCTACTAGATCTTAGCCAATTTAAATGCTAATTAAGTAAATGCATTTTTACTTTAAGTGCAAATTAAAATAAATGTACAATTGCAAAAAAAACTCAAAAACAAACAGTGTTATGACAAAACTGGGGGATGGGACAAATGCGACCTTTTTTTCGCTGGAAAAGGTCTTAGGAAAGGCCGTAGAGCTTCAAAAATGTTTTCATATGAGGGAATCGGAATCTACGCATACGATTCCCTTGTTTGAAACATTTTTAAAGCTCTACGGCCCCTAAGGCCTTTTCCAGCGAAAAAAAGTTCGCATTTGTCCCACCGCCCAAATCTGCGCACTTTCTTTCTTATTACTGTGCGTGAAATATTGTTTACTTTCTATTTGAAATGCCAAAAAAAAGCATGTTCAAGGTCAAATTCATCAAAAAAATACTTTAGTAATTAGTGGTATTTTAGTAAAAAAAATAGATAAGAATAAGCGCTCAAAAATCATTAAGAAATCTTTAATTTGTCTAGTGAATATCTTTTATTTTGTATGAAAACATAAAAATATTCAGTCGGATGATTTTCTCTTGAATGTGCTCGGATTCTGTCGTTCGAGATACACGGACTAATGTCCAGATAGCTACAAATTACATGCCTCCGTCGGTCGTATCTACAGTACGTTAGGCAGTACAATTTACAGAAAAGTCTCCAATTTTCTGTAGATAGTGCGTTACTGTTACCCACCGTTTCGTTGAATATTTTGTAAAATTCCCCGTACAATTTGAGTCATTTATCAAATTTAAATGTTAAACGAGTATTTTTGACTTCAAAAAATCTCCCTCATATTCGCCATTTCCAACTCGGAATTTCACAAAATGTTCTCCTTTTTTTTCTCCAAACATTTCCTGTTTACTTTACAGATTGAAATGGGAAAATTTTTTCGAAATCTTGTCAACTTTCCATCACTTTTCATTTGTAATTCTTCTTTTCTTTGTTCTGTTTTGTTTCCATTCAAATTTTCCCCTTTTTTTTTATCCCAAATCGAGGTCATTTCTTTTTGTGACTCTAAAAAGGAAATCGAGAACAGGAAACAGAATTTTTTTCCGGAAAAATCGATTAACAACAAAATATTTTCTCCCTCTTTTTCCAAAAACTCATTAAATATCTAATTAGGACATGGTTTTTGCTTTTTTTGTAATTTCATAGAAGACTTATTTGACTGTAGACTTTGTGCTTTTGATTTGTAAACGCAACTATTCTAGTGGAATTGTTTCTTCAACTTCAGAAAGATTTGGTTTTATGAGAAAAGGAAGGAGTTCAGTGCGCTAAAAGGGTTGTTTTTAGAAATTGAGAGCACAAAGTACACTCAAAAGCGCTATAGTATTTCTTTTAAAATATCCCAGTTCAAATCGATGCTATAATTAAATAGATTTATAATTTTATTGATTGCAAATCCATTGTAAAACTATTCAAATCAAATTTTCCATTAAAAATTTCACTTCTGCGCTGAATTCATTAAAGGTTTTTCATATGATTTCCATTTATTTTTCGTTTTTCAGAAAATAGGAACCGATTGTACGATATATCGTACGATATAATTCTTTCGTGATACAATTATCACTGAAATGTTGTTCTTCATTTTAAATGGTAAGTGAATATCATCTTATTATTTTTTTCTCTATTTTAAAACCTATTTAGTGTTGATTTTGTTCTCCTCAATTGACTCGCAGACTCCGTCTCCATATGGACCAATTGTCGTCTATAAAACTTCGGATCCGAAACCAATTGTGAGAAATTTATACCATAATCCTTTATTCAGCATTTAGAAAATCATTTTTGACACCGATGGAGCAACGGATGATATGCGAGCGTTGACGCTGGCTTTACAGACACCAAGTGTAGAGGTGATTTTAGTCTTATTTTAAATCTAAATATTCTAATATTTCAAATCCTATAAACTTTGGTTTTTGATAAAACTTGAGTTGATCTCATAGAAATCAGTCGAATCTTCATATAACGATAGCCAACGGACCGGAAATTACTATTTTTATATAGCTAAACAATCAAGAACAGGCTTATATCCGGGTTTTTTACTGTCGTTCACTTTAAAGTAATCAAATTAGTATTAGTATCAGTATTAGTATCAGTATTAGTATTAGTATTAGTATTAGTATTAGTATCAAATCACTTTAAAGTAATCAAAATAATTCTATCTACTTTTTCTTCAGGTAATTGCCATCATGGCGACTCACGGAAGTATAAACACGAGTCAAGTGGTGGCAAATGTGAATCGGATATTGGCGTTAAATGGGTTACAGGTGGGTCATCCATCACATGTTTACAAGAAAGATGCTGTTTTTTTCTATTGTCTGACTACGGTAGCTTTTCTAGGAGGGCATCCTTTAGAAAACAACTTAAACAAGAGAAAAGAGGCTACAAAATATACACCGGGGCCCCCTGTGTCCCCCTGTGCCCCCCGGCCCCCGCCCCCCGTCCCCTTTTTTCCCCCAAGTGTCCCCCCCCCCCTTTTTTTCATATCAAATCACAACTTTTTCTCCCCTTTTCTTTAACTCTTGGCCCCGAATTGTTTACTACAAGGGGGTTATGTTTATAAAGATGTTTATAAGGATTCTAAAAGCCGACAACTATACCATAATCCATTTCAGGGCAAAATCCCGATCTTCAAGGGTTCCGATACTCCATTTATCATCAACGATATCAAAAAAGAGTCATATTTCAATGGATTGGATGGATTGGGTGAACGACCGGATGTTGATCCAAAAGTATCATCAATTTCATGGTTAATTGAATATCTTTTTGGTTCAGGCTCTTCCCTCATATCCAACAATGTATCAAACGACCGATACAGCAGCTGAAGCATTGGTTAAAATAGCGAAATTGAATCCAGATTCCACTCTCGTTGCTACAGGTTTTGAAATTCCGCGGAAAAATTAAATTTTCCCCAGGTTCTCTGACAAATATTGCGTTGGCGCTCAAACTCGATCCGGATTTCTCGCAGAATTTCAAGAAATTGGTGATTATGGGTGGGAATTATTTGGGTGGGTGAGGAGAAGAGGCACAAAATTTTCGACTATGTCAGGGTTACGGTAGCTTTTATTCATCAAACGCTATTCAGGCATCGGCAATATCTATCCGGGTCATTCGGTCGAGTGGAATTTCGCAATGGACCCCGAGGTAGAATCCACAAAAAAATCTCATGACTTTTTCTCTTTTAAAGGCGGCGTCGATTGTTTTACGGGAATTCGAGGCGCCGATCACCATCATTCCCTGGGAAGCCTATTATATTCTGGGACAAAATGTAGATCATAATAATATTCAAATAGAACCATCCGTTACAGTATTCTCATTACATAAACTACACAAAACATCTCGCTCTTGACACTCCACTGGCCAAGTTTTTCCTGCCAATCACCGCGAAGGGACGCGAAATTTTGGGTGGATCGGGGAGGTGGGGGAAATTATATTGTATATGTCGTAGCCGATTATGAATGAGTGGGTCTAGGAGCGTCCAACCATCAAGTATTTAGTATCATTCAACGCAGAATCATTGATAATTATGTTAAATTTTTGAAATTAGAAAGATTGGATAAAAAGGAAAAAAATTAGAGCAAAAAAAACTGTTTGTTCAAGAGAAAACTTTGAAGTCCCATAATTTTTTTTCTTTTCATCAAATCTTTCTAATTTCAAAAATTTAACATAATTATCAATGATTCTGCGTTGAATGATACTAAATACTTGATGGTTGGACGCTCCTAGACCCACTCATTCATAATCGGCTACGGGGGTCCCGCCGATTTTGAATGAAACGTTGTAGCGCCGGCAATTTTTAACCTAAACTCACAAATTTGGTACCAATCGACGCAGAATTGAATTCGCTACAAGATGATATAATATTGTCCTCATACATTAAAGGGTTGCTCTACTAGAAAGATTTGCCAAAAAATTTCATTCATAATCGGCTACGACATATAAGATTTTTAAAGATATAATATTTGCATTTTTATTATCTAAAATATAAAGGAATTTAAGTGAAATGGCTTATGTGGATGAGATCGCGATGGGAGTGGCGATTAATGAGGAAAAAATGGTGAAAGAGAGTAAAAATTTGAATGCTCGCGTGGAGTTGAGTGGACAGTACACAAGGTGGGCAATTCGATGGGCAATTCGATTCGAGATCAAAGCCATTGGATTTGTTTTCTATAAACGGGGAAAGTCACCGTACTATCGGCTCGATATCGGGAACCTTTTTAGAATCACCGAATTGATAATAAAACATTTTCAGAGGTCAAATCGTGCCTGAATGGGTCAATCGGAACTTTGTTGAGGCAAAAATCGATAAACAGGTTTGAGCAGAATGAAAATCATCCTTTAAAGTCAACGAAAAGTCAACGAAATTTTTTGTTCACCAACTTTCTGTTTAGTTTCCCCAACCACGGTGTCTCATCAAATTTGTGATCGATTATGATGTGGGATTATTGGATGAATGGATAAATAAGGCTTTTGCGAAGAATGTGACGAGTGGATGAGATTGAATTATTGCGTAAATAAATTGACTATTTACAAAACAGCTTTTTCAAAAGTGTTATGCGGAGGTAATGGCTTGTCATAGTTTATTGTTAGACTGTCCGCAACGGACAGTATTTGTTAGACTATCCGCAATTTTCCACAAATAAACTTTATTAGTTAGAACGATAAGCACAGAGAACCCGAAAATATTTTACACAGAGTAAAGAAAGAGAAAATAGTAGAATCAGAAACGAAAATAATGAGTTATGCGCTATGAAGTGACTACTTTAAATTTACAAGACAAGAGTAATGAGGTCATGAAGACGAGAGTAGTGAGGTCATGAAGACGAGAGTAGTGAGGTCATGAAGACGAGAGTAGTGAGGTCATGAAGACAAGAGTGGTGAGGTCATGAAGACAAGAGTGGTGAGGTCATGAAGACAAGAGTGGTGAGGTCATGAAGACGAGAGTAGTCAGCATACTGCGAAAGTGAACCACTTCTCGAGTGGAGAACAAACAGAAGATAACAATTTAAATAGGACGGACAAAAAATGATATGATAGAAGATTACGGTATTCTCTCTACCATATATTTTCCAAATGTCCACCTTTTAGAGAAAACAACGAAGACTAATGAATCAACAAAGCCAAAACGGCAAGTGTACCTAATTGAATGACCATTTAAAATTAATAAAACTATAAATTTGCATTTAACCATCATTTAAAAGAAAGAGAAACATGCTGTTTTTCAGATTTTTTACTTATTTCACTTCGAATCAATTCGATCCACTTCAAAGAATTTGGTATGTTTTTCCTTTTTGTTTACCACCTTTAAAAGTGCCTTTGCTTGACTTTTTGAAGCTTTATTGACTGATTTTTGTTTTAAGATTCCACTGCAGTTAAGTGTAACATTTGGATGTAGTTTTTGCATTGTCGTTTGACTTTTTTTTTCTTTTTAGTTACGGGAATGGTCGATTACAAGCAACGCCGACAAGTGGAGAAAAGCGACGACGAGACGATATCGACGACAAGCATCTCAATTCAACTTGCTGGTCGGCTCAGCCAAGCTCACGATTGTCGCCAACGATCGTCAACCAATCGAGCGCCAACGTCGAATCGCCGTCCCGCTTCACGTTCACGTCCAAAGGTGTTTTTCTTTTCTTTAATTTTACTTTGTTAATTTATTTTTTAATAAATGCAGCTCTATGTGCAATGTAGTCTTAGGGAGTGGGACAAATGCTACCTTTTTTTTGCGCACCCGGACATTTGCGCACCTTTTTTTCCGCACCTTGCCCATTAGCGGACCTTTTTTGTCTTTCAAATTGGTTCCACAAGCTCTGATATGCCAAAATTTCGATTCTACGCCCTAAAATTACCTAGAAAAACAACTTTTGGAGTAGAAATTGGTTAATATTAGCTTTTTAGAGCTTTTTAAAACGCGAAAAAAGGTGCGCTAATGGGCAAGGTGCGGAAAAAAAGGTGCGCAAATGTCCGGGTGTGCAAAAAAAAGGTCGCATTTGTCCCACTCCCGTAGTCTTATGTTAGGCATTCATTTTCATGAAGTTCATTGTAAACGTGCAATATTTTCAATTTTCCAGGAAAGAGATAGATGGAGAGATGAACCGAAGGAAACAACAACATTTGCAAAGCCTCGTCTTTCAACCAAGGATTTCCCGATGAAAGCTGAACACGTACAGCCTTTTGATTATTTTGTCTTTAAATTGTGTAAATAATCTATTATGATTTGAATATGCTTTACGTTATTAACATTGCAATTTGTTCTTCTTTTAGCTTCAGATTTTACCTGTGACGAGTGAAAAGCATCCACACTTCATGCGCACACTCCCTCGTCAAACGGCCATCTCGATTCGACTTGAGAAACCGCAAAGTGTGCAACAAGGTGCCGTGATGCCCGTATCAAAAGCAAAGGTAATAATTTTGGCTTTTTCACATCGTTTTTGGCTGGTATTACTTCAATTAGAGGAAGTTTTTATGAAAATATTTCTTTAGAGAAACTGGGCCGGCTTGCGTGTAGTTCCGTCGTTGGTGGAGACTCCAAAAGTTACTCGCTATGAATTCTCGCTTCCCTCCGAACATTCTCGCCTCACCATCATCAACACCCAGCCGATTCGACAAGTCGCCCACTTTGTTGCGCCACAAGCAGAAAGGGTGAGTTTGATTGTGGATAATCAATTCAAGTACGTTGTTTTAGTTAGAGAGCGATTTTTGGCGACCGGAAGAATGTGGCTTTATCTTGCGGACTGTGCAAGCACTCGATCCCCCACCATCGCCATTTGTTGCTGAAATGTGGGATATTTATGGAGTACTTTTATAGATTCTCTTTTACAGTTTGAAGCCTGAATGGGAGACGATCTTCTACACTCTTTCTCTGGGAAAACATGTAGCTATCGAGCAGCGAATCCGTACGATCCGAGTCCAAAAGTGAGACTTAAAATCTAAATTTATACTAATATTTTTATTTCTAGGCTTAATCATCACATTGCGAAACGACAACAAGCAGCTGTACTCGGGCCACGGACGTATCGCCGAATGGAGCAGCCACAAGAAATTGTCAAGATCCGAGCCTACCCCAGCCATTCCATCCGACTTTCCACTGTTGAAGATCCGAGCAATCAGGTTTGCAACTGAGTTTTTTTCTGGTAATTTTTATTGATTTAGCACCGCGTCACTTATTTGAATCGAAATGGAGCGCCAGTCTCGATGCTTCCTCAACGTTCACGATCGAGATCGAAAGAGAAGCGGCGACAACCGATTGAGCCCACTAAGGTAAAGTTTGTTGTAATTTCATCACATTTAGTTATTGTAGAACGTGCCGTGTCCAAATCTAGAGAATTGGAACCCTCGAGATCGATTTGAGCCCAGCAATAGACGTGTTTCGCCTCGACGTCGTCGAAAAACGCTTTCAAGCTATCGCTCAACTATTTCATCAATCGAAAGTCGGCGCTCCGATTCAAAGGTTGAAGTGTAGATCTAATAATTTTACCTGATCTTACTTTTTTAGAAGCCAGATTCTGATTTTGTCCGCCATGAAGAGGAGTCGATCGATGAACATCTTCCAATGCGACAACAGAAACGAGCTGTACTTCATCGCGTCCCATCAAAGGATGCATATCAACCTCGGCCACAAATTGAAGTAAATCGTCTTTCTTTACTTTATATACCTTTCTATCTTTTCAGAAGCCTCATCGTCCGGTCGATCCAAATCCCAGTCGAATCGAGTATGTCTCGAGCAAGAAAAAGCCGGTGAGGAAATCGCGCAAGAGGCCATCTTGGGAATCTCAGTGTCACAAAAGAGGCCGCAAGTCACGTCGTCCACCGCGAACCGTGTGGTATTCTTGAAGTTTAATTAATTTTTGCTCTTTCTAGTATCATATCGATGTCGAGATTGGCTACGATGACGATGATGAGGATAAAAAGAAGCAGAAGGACCCTAGGAAACCAAAACAACGAGCACAATGTTCCGAAACCAATGGTGAGTGATTTTTCTTTCCTTTAGTGTACACTTATGCTTTTAGTTACATTGCCACGAGAGGAACGCCGAGAGGAGTCTTATCGTCCATGTCTCATCAAGTCAACGAAGTTGATGCGAAGAGAAGAGCCTGCAAAGAAAAGCTTCGAGGTATTAGTTTGTACGCGTATTTTGAAGTACTTAATTTTATTTTAGATGATGACGGCTGAGGAAATTCAAGATCCCAGTAAGGCTGAGAAAGTACAAGGAAAAACTGTTGACTGCGGAAGCGCTTTCGGTAAATGTTACTCTTTTCAAGGACCACAAAAACAGCTTTTAATAATGTTTTTTCTTTAGGAGCTAACGCAAAGCAAACGCACGAAATCCAATGAGCAGACGAAACCCGATGCAGATGAACTTGAGCTGAAGACCGCAGTGAAGGGCCCAAGCGATTCAGTTCGTACAGCTCGCGCGCACTGTAAGTGAATTGAAGTTTAATGTTGTAATCATTCCTTGGTATTAGTCTTTGCAAGCGAATCGGCCGGATCTCCTCAACCGAAAAGGACGCCTTCGGGACATTATCTTTATCAAGTTGTTGAGGGCGATCTCTACAAACGCCCACGCAAGAAGCACCACGTTCCCACGACTGATCCTCATCGGAAACAACTAGTAAGCTTTCTGGGTTATGTTGGTTGCCAGTAGTCTCTTTCAGTATGTATTTGTTTGTTTAGGGTTCGCTCACAGAACATGCACCCCTGATGGAGACGGCCCCGCTGCAACAGAAACCGAAGAGCCCTCCACCTCCACATCAAGAAAACAAGATCCCCGCAAGAAAGCCAGCTACTCATCATCATGACACGAATGCGCATAAAAGTAAACTTATGTAACTTCTATTTGCTTCAAATGTTTTCTTCAGAAAAGCTACCGAAGTTGCATCAAAAGTCCAAGCAAATGAAAACGCATCAAGGATCAAAGGACAAGCAGCATCGACGCACAAAAATACACTCGGCAAAGGTCAGTTTTCAGAATTTTAATTGAATTAGCTTTGTTTATTTAGGGCACTCCCAAAAAAGCCAGCCGCAATAAGTTTCGCGCCTCCAAAAAGAATAAGCATTAAAAGAAGCGAACGAGGGGCGACAAATTTGACTTTGAACTAATTAAAGCGCATAAATATTACACTTTCAATATGCATTGTAATACTGATGAACACTCCCCAAAATGGGCCTGTAAATCTTTTAATCGTCAGAAAATATTTGAAACAAATAACTTGGCTGCATTCTCTGTAAAAACAAAAACAAAACTCTCGTTTTCTCAATAATCGGTCGGGGTTTTCGGGATGTCTTTTCCTTTCTTTTTCCCTTCCCTTCCCTTCCCTCTTTCCCTTCCCTTCCCTTTTTCTTATCTAATCTTTCCAATCTTCTTCCCTTTTTTCACCTAAAGACTTCCTTTCTCTTCATGATTTTTGCTCACAACCAAATACCGAAAAAAATATGTGTTTCCTTGTTTTTATTGCCAATCTAAATTGTTTGTGCTGTGGAATTTATAAATTTATTTAAGTATCGAATTTTTCTTTCTTTCTTTTCTTTTATTTTCTTTCTGCTATCTTTTTAATCTACAGAAATGGTTAAACTGGTGATCGATACGGATGGAGTTTGTGATGATATTCGAGCTATTTGCATGGCATTGACAAGACCCGGTGTTGAGGTGCGATTAGGAAGGGAATTATTTGAATTCCATGAAAGAAAAAAAAACAATTTCCAGGTGTTAGCCATCACTTGTGTCCAAGGATGTACACCCGTTCACCAGGCTGCCCTCAATGTGATTCGAGCACAACGAGCATCCGGGATTGAGGTGACGAGAAAAACAATCGATACCTGTACTGTTCAAAGCTCTGCATCATACAAATACTAATGTATATGTCGTTAAGATTGAATCTTAATCGGCTACGACAGATATTTCAATGATTTGGCTTACAGGCTCATCATTGACTCATAAGTTCTTGGACTCAGTTAGCCCATGCCTTGAGCTATTTCTTATCATACCACTCTAGAGTTACCACCAATTGCACATTGTGAATATCCTTTGATTTCATGTGAAATGTCATTTGTACTATTAGGTTGGTGAATAAGTCTTTTCTTTTCTTTTCATACTTCCGTTGAAAAATAATAAATTCATCAATTAACAGGGGTAGGCTAATTTCCGCAATTTTATTTGCGCAACTAGGTCTTTGGCCCAACTCGCCATAAATTTCTTCTAAATGGCCAAATCTTTATGATTTTGGTTTCATTTTGTAGATCTCAATAAATGCAACAAAATGACACCAAAATCATAAAGATTGACCGATTTAGAAGAAAGTTATGGCGAGTTGCGCAAATAAAATAGCGAAAATTAGCCTATCCTCAATTAAACTATGGTTTGCTCTAAATGCTCTAAATAAAAAGTGTTTCTTCTTCGATTTCCCATCTTTTTAAGTCAACTTTGGTTCACTTTCAGCGCAAATTCGAGAGTGAAAACGTGTTTTCGAAAAAATCTCTACGAAAACATTTGGCTGACACAATTTCTCCGTAAATTTAGCTATATACCAAACTTTTTGTGCTCTATCTTTTTTCTAATGACACGAAGATAGGTTTCTTTTAGTTAAAGTGTCTAAACCGCATCATTTGTCTAAAGTGTCTAAACTACCCGACTTCATGCTCCCAAAAAAATAACCCAGGCATAAGACATTTCAAACCCGTTTTAATGCTTTTTTTTCAGAAAAATAATTAGCTTTTCTAATGAAACAAACCGTAGTTCAATTGGTGCATTTGTTGGTTTTAAGCGGAAGTACGAAAAGAAACGAAAAAAAAACTTATTCACCAATAGATTGGATACTCAAAAACCAAATGAATCCTCTTTTCAGAAACGAATCCCCGTTTACATGGGTGCCGCGGATCCGTTGATTGCTCGAGAAGTTGTCACCGATGAGACATCATTTTTCGGGAAAGATGGATTAGGAGATACCGGAGAGAAACAAGATCCAAAGGTGTTTAGAAAATAGAAGACAGTTTATGTAGTATTTTAGACGCGTCCCGATGACGATTCTCTCATTGAATCCGATCCATCAGCGATTGGTTTGATCAAGATTTTCCGCGAACATCCCGATGCGACTCTTGTTGCGATTGGTGAGGCTTTTCAAAGTTTATGAATTTGAATTTGAATACAGAATTTGATCAAAAGATCAAATTGATCAAATTGATTAAATTGACGAATTAGAAAAGGTGGATAACCTGTTGGTCTGACATTTACTTAACCCTGAACCACTTAACCCAATTTCCAGGCCCACTCACAAATGTTGCGTTGGCGATGAAGCTCGATCCGGAGTTTAAACAGCGACCGAAACGGGTTGTCATTATGGGAGGCAATTATTTGGGTGAATGATTTGAATGAAAACCATTGACCATAAGGCGTTCAGGTATCGGAAATGTTCACTCGAACAGCTCGGCCGAGTGGAATTTCCATGGAGATCCCGAAGCAGCGCATATTGTGTTGAGTGAGATGGAGGTACGGTTGAACTTTAGCTAAAACATTTTCAGTTTCAACTTTTCAGGCTCCAATCACCCTTGTCCCGTGGGAGTGTTTTTACATTGAAGGGCCAAAGGTTTGCTGGGGATATGAGTCGTCGATTTGTTGAGATCAGCTTAAAAATATCTAATGACGGATACTATAGCTGTCTGTGAGAATGAGATATTGTTTAGGAGACATTTCTCAAATTACTTTACCAGTGAGCACTGTTTAGTAGAGCTCGGATAAAGATGGGAAAAGCATACTGCAGCATAGACATACTATATAAGCTTTGAGTTTACTGTATGTTTTGTAAAGTATCTAAAAACATACCAGTACAATATTTTCGTCAAATCCTTTTCCAGCATCAAAAGATCATTGATTTCTCTTCTCATCTCCAATATGAGACACCGTTGGCGAAATTTCTAAATGCCGCATTGGAAATGGGGAGAATCGCGATGGAAAGGAATGGACGGTCAGTGAAAAGGAAAGGGATCAAGGGCATGAAAACATGTTTTTAAAAGTTGTCATATTTTCCCAATAGATCATAACAAACCTCAAATATCCGGCTATTCAGTGATGCTAATTGAATGGCCAGTCAATTTCAGGCAATATTCTTATTGTGATGAAATCGCGGTCGCGACAGCGATCGACGAGGGAAAAGTGGCGCTGAAAAGGAGAAAAATGAGGGGATCCGTCGAATTATCAGGCAAATATTCAAGGTGGGTGCAAATTTTAGAGGAAATTGACTACTTTCCAAAACTCTTTCAGAGGTCAGATTGTGCTCGATTGGACGGGTGAGCTGTGGGATGCGGACAGAGAGAAGATTTTACCCGAAAGTCGAGTGAGTCCATCGAATGGAGATCTATAAATGAAGCTATACTGTCATTTCAGAAATTGGATCTCTCTCGTCGTCCGCTCACTTTTGTCACCGAATACGATGTTCACGTGATCGACTCATGGCTTCACGAATCATGCAAAAACTCCACGAAACTTTCCGAGTTTTGAGTGGAAAAGAAATCATTTATCACAGGGAATCACGGAATCACTTATAAATTATCGATTAATTACATGTAATACAGGAATATCTAGAAAATAACATAAAACATGAAAACATTGGCAAATTTCAAATAAAAACCCGTGAAGAAGATATCAATGAAAAGAAAAAGAGAAATGAAAATTTATCGTTCTTGAGATTCGTCACTTTCTTCACAATTCGAGATGATGTGGCCACCGGTCTGGAATTGAAAGATTTGGTTTCATTGTGGAATTATTCATAAGAATGCCTAGATATATTTAAAGTTCTGAGAGCTTACCGTTTCCATATAATTTTTCCTTTGATATCCGTCCCAGTACAAGTGCCCACACCCGCCGCACACGTAAAAGAAACGATCCCCAGGAGTAATGAAGACATTTGATGGATACTAAAAAGACTCTTTTCACGAATTCATTCAACAGAACGAACTTTATGAATTTCGATCTTCACCGGTCCCATTCCATTATCGCTATTCACCATTCCGGCTCTAAAAAGTTGATGATTAAAGCAAGCAAAGTAATTGTTTACCCCAAATGAATTTCTCCATTGACACATTTTGCCACCATTTGATAAGGAGGTTTGATAAAATCAACTGTCGCCCCGACACCTCCATGCTTCTCCGCGGCCAAATTTTCTGGGGAGAGCTTCCCTAACTGAAAATAATCAAAATTAAAAATAGTAATATTTCAAAAAAGAACCCAATCTTCCATTGCAAAATCCTCTTCTCGTGCATATACTCCACGAATCTCGAAACAAAAATGATAGATGAAGTGAAGAATCGGCCGAGGAACCAACACAAATGCTCTCTCATTACAACTCTAAATATAATGTTCCAATCGATACTTATTGTTGTATCACGTCTCTTTTGTCTCTTACAAAAGTTGAATTCTTAAAGCACTAACCATACACCGTGAAAAAACGTCGCTTCGCTTCGGGAGTATCTTGAATTCTCTGAAAGAACAAAGATACAATAAGACTAATATCTGAATCATTCTAACTAAATTTTAAACTGACTTGAAGATCAAAATCGCTTGTGTAATTGGTGGATGCTGTTGGCCATATGGAACACGAAACGTTCGACCGGCCAATGATTTGATATTAGTCAACTAAAGATTGTATTTAGAAAAAGGTTACGTTTTTAGTCAATATTCCAAGTCTCTTAGAAAAGTATGGTATCCATAAACTCGGACCTGAGTGTAAGTTTTTCCAGTACTCACAAGAATTCGATCGGTATGTCGATGGGCTAATTGGAAAGCCTAAACTTTTGATTATCAAAAGTGATAATGCAACATCTTACGTCATTCTTTGCATTTGATAGCAGCACATCGACACCCATTCGGCGCAAATATTTCCCAAGGGCCGTCAGCATGTTATCGGTAATGAGCTCAAATAATGAAGTTCTTTGTAGAGTCTTAATCTCCATACAATTTCTTTCCGGCAGTAGCATAAACTTTAACTAAATTCCAACCAATCACAGACCTTCAATTCACCGCATCCTCGTAATGGGTGTTCAGAGGAAGCAACAAAAGCATTCATTTCCTGCACTAATTTCTCGACCTCTTCCACGTCATCCACTTCTCGCTTTTCTCTTTTCTTTTTCTTTGCCACCGTCAACGGATTGCAATCGGCAAGATAGTTTTCGAAATGCAAACCAGCTCGTCTAAAAAGACAAATTAGGTCTCAATAAAACAAAACGAATTCTTACTCAGTCCTTCGCTGTAATTCGCAGTAGATCTCGTGCAAGCAGTAAGCGTCTTGCGCCGCATAAAGAATTTGCTTTGGCGTAAGTGGCCGTTGAGTCCACGCGGATTGCTAAAATTACAGATGCTATCAAAATAGTTAATTTGAAAAAAACCTGTTGCGTTTTGTCCAAGGCTTTTCCAACGGCTTGCTTGTAAAGATAGGCAAGAGAGAAATTTCGCTCGGTTACCTAAATTTAATGCTTTCAAATTCTCCATAGAACTTACTTGTTCTCCATCAACTGTTGTGTAGGTGTCAAATTGATTGGGTCGACTTGGATCGAATACATCAATCACTTGATCATTCACATCGAGTATCTAAAGTGATCGTTATTTACTAGTGCAATAAGTAAAAATTACGTTATTCGTTAATTGTTTTAGGCAAACAATGTTCGTCAATTTTGACTTCAAATCGACCATATTTGGGAAAGTATCGAAGAGATGCTTGAGATCCTGACCGAAATCGAAGCCTGTAAAAAATGAAATTAATGTTATTTTATTTCACTCAACAAGTACCTAATTTAATTCCAGGTCCAGTTAGCAGTGCTTCCAAGAAAACTCTCCATTGAGCCGATGTTGAATGAGTGGTCAACGAGATGAAATCGATCAAATATACACATTCTCCACAAGCGACTTGCATTAAAGCAACCCTAAAAGGATACTTTAAAATACTCTAAAAGTTTAACAAACGTATCACTCGCAATTCCTTGTTTCCACTCTGCATCGATACCAATGAGCTAAACTTGTCTTTAATCCATTAATTTAAGCAAAAAGCTTGCCTCTTCTTCCAGTAGTAATTGTGGCAATCGTTGAAAGAGTTCCAATTTTGTGCTGTCCACCAAATGAATGGCGTAGTCTTCATGAAGAACCTTGGGAATTGCTTCATCGCGTTGCTCTTCGATATATAAACGAAATTGATCAACCTAAAGGCATACAACTTATTTGGTGTAAATTTTTAAAACCAATCAATTTTAAATGATCAACTTTAGACTTGTCTATTAACGTTACCTATAAGTTTCATCAACTCTACCTCTTTTTGCTTTTCTCTGATGAGTCCCGGATCGATTCTCTGTACATCTTTTAGTTCATTTGGAAGTAAATATGGATCATCAATATTCAACAGCAGCATCCACCAAACTGCTTCACCCTAAAATAATAGAAATGTAAAATATTAACCAAATGACTGAGACTCTATTTCTTCAAACTCCTTTCCGCAACTAAAAATATCAAAACACACACCCTTACGCTGCTTTACCACTAAATTGATGAGCATGTATTTTTGCATACTTTCGTCATCTTTGACGTTATTCTAAAATTAAAATAAAGTCAAAAATAAAAATTTGTTACCCACATACAGCGCTTGGTAGTATTTGTAGCGGTTCTCGAGTGTCTTCTCCGCTTCGAGACTGCAAAATTGAGAATATTTAAAAAGTTTAATTTAACCTTTTCACCCATAAAAGTTTTGAATATGCTTAAAACTCGCAATTGATTAATTTGGTAACGAATTTGTCCTTTAACACGCGATCTTGTGAAATTCGGTGCTTGTGCCGGCCCCATTCGATACGCGAGTAGCAAACGGCGAATGTGCTTCTCCAAAGTTTTATCTAAAAAGTTTATCATAAAAATTTGTTTGCAGTTGAGAGTTGAATACATGTGCTAGCTTAAAATCTCACACATTAACGCCATTCAAAGCTTACCGAGAAATTGTTCAATGGGTAGAGTCATAATCTTCAGTTGTTTGTATCTTGCAAATTTCTCTTCAACCTAAAGCTTCCTTAATTTCATGACAAATTTAATCCAAATACCTGCAGACGTGTCAATGGAAGCAATTCATCCAACCATTGTACATATTTTGGCTAAAAGAAAGTTATTGCAAATGGAAATATGAATTCACCTTGAGCCTTGGGCATTTCTTCAGGAATTCCTCGACTAGTGGACGGCGATCTTGTAAAGTGCACGGAATCAGAAAAAGCTCGACATCAAATCTAAATAAATGATTCTCAATAGTAAACAACAATTTTACTGGCGTCAACCCTTTTTGTCGTTGCAGTTCAAACATTTACCTTTCATGCCATGAGATCAGATTCACGACTTCCATCGCTTCTTTAAACTTCAATTGCTCGCACAAGGTCTTAATTTTAACTTTTACATGAGCTTGTTTACTTTAAAAACACCTTAATCTCCCCTTGGATAAATTCATCCAATTCGACATCCACTTTCATCACATCTTCCTCGTTTTTCATTTGAATCCGGAAGATGTCAAAGATTTTCGCCAAAGAAGTCGTTGTCACTTTTGTCGCCGCATCAAAAGCAACTTTCTAAAGAAAGATATCATTTGATTAACTTTAATGCTAACCTTAATGTCAGCATTCAGAAAATTTTCTTCCAATTGGTCCCGATCATCGCGTTTATTCAACCATTTCTCGAAGCAATTGAGGATAATTGCTGCAGAGTCATTTACTTCTTCAGTATAATTTGTTTTTAAAGTTGTATATCATTTTGTTGCTAATGCATGGTGATTCGATTTCATTATTTATTGAAGGAAACATGTTTTCAGTCTTTCGTATAAAAAGCAAATCTGGCAGCGTTAAAAAAAATGAGATTGGCCTAATCAAAAAGAAATAACCTATCCGTCGTCTATCCTTCAAACTCCTGAATTGCTGTAAAGCAAAGCACTTATGGGAATTGTTCTAACAGAATGGCATAATAGAAAAATACGGTAGTGAAAACTTACAAGCTAGTCGATCATTGCTGTTAACGGTGTAATCACAGGAATATCTAAAAAATATTTGTTTTTAGCAATAACTTTACAAACTTGTGCAGCTCGAGAACGGCCTCGTACGGATTTTCGGCTTCCCCGACGATCAGCTGAACAATCTCCGAAATGAGGGCTTCTCGTTCCGGTTTTGGTAAGCCGTTTATCCAAATTTCCTATATGAAAGTGGCTTTAAAAAAAACTGAAGGTAGGGCATATTCATTTCGAATCTCTATTAAACGAATACCTTCATCAATTTGCGATGAGTCGCATGGGGTTCCGGGATTTTTGCTTCTGATTGCAGACGATAATACATTTTTCTTTCCTCCTTGCTTTGGAAGATCTAAACGAAAGAATGAAGATGAAGCTCAGCTCAACAATCAAGAATATGATTTTAACAAAAAATTATTCTGCGCAATCTTTTTTGTTGATGCTAATTTCAATTTCTATAAACCGACCATAGTTCCTTCGGGTGTCTGTGAAACTATACATCCGGCTGGAATTTCTTCTCCCGCTTGTAGAGGTCGTCCGATTGTCGGAAAAGGCGGACCTGTTGCTGCTGGTTGTGGCGGATTTTCGCCGACTCGATTTTCTTGTTGTGAGCTCGTCGGAGCTTCACTCATTCTACAAACATTTAGCGTCAGCATATTCTTTGTCAAATAGAACTCAATAATTATTTGCAATATAATACTCTTTTATCCATTTACGCATTCCAATTTCCTGAAAATTTATTCCATAACACAACAAAACAAACAAAATGCAAAAGTATCAAGAAAAATTTATCCACATTTATGTTGAGAGAATTTTTGAATCAAACGTCTAAGCGCCGAAAACTCATCCTAAATAAAACATATTAGAAGCAAGTTGGCCAAAAATACGCTTGAAGTATAGAGTCCAAATTTTCATTTTTACCTGATGTACCGCGGGAACGTTGAGTTCGGCTTTAAAAGTCTTCACAAGTTGATCCTTTGTCCCTTCATCCAAATCTTCCCACTCGACAAATTGCAAAAGATATTCTCTGATGTAATCAAGTTCAGAAGAGGCCTCGCCTAAATATGACTCGTATAAAAAATAACTTTACTAGGTAGCTACCATAAATAAACAACGAAACCCACCAGCCATATCTTTTTCAATTAATATGATGTAATTCCTCGTTATATCGTTATTCAAAACCTTCGATGCACCTAAAAAACTTTAGATATTGGACAAATAGTTAATACAAACCATTATCCATTAATGTAAAAGCAATTGATGTTAAAATGCGAGCGGCTTTCGCTGCAACTCGTAGCGAAACATTTTGCGCGGAGATCAAAGTTGAAAAAGTTGTCGAGCCATTTGAGGAGAGGAAGGAGCTGAAAAGCACAAAATAAAAAGCTTTACCATTAGCAATTCATAATTTGTTCATAGTAAAAAATGAAATACTTGAAAGCTGAAACATTTGAACGGACGGCTCCCGAGATCGCTCCCAGTAACTTTAGTTGTAAACTCTAAAAAAGCTTTCTTGTAACGATCATCACGAGTTAAACAAACCTCGTTTGTTTTATCATCAGCCAAGATGTTGAGCAATCGTTGAAGAAAACCGGTCGAAACGATCGCGTCTTGAGCCGGTGGATTATTCTCAGCAAACGTCAAAATCATTTGCGCAAACAGAAGTTGAATTGCTGTCGAATTTTTGTAATGCTAAACAAAAAAGCAAGTTAGAATTTTATTGGAAAAAAGCTCACCAAGAATCTTTCGATAACCTCGAGTCCTTGCTCGCGAATAAAATAGGTCGTCAAATCGGCAAATTGAATGAGATCCTCGAGTTGAAGGGCCAATTCTAAAAAGAATTAGAAGAATATTGGGATCACCTACGATATCATTTGTAAAATTTGGCAACAAATCCATAATTGGACGTGTTAAAGCAAAGTGGTTATAGGTCTTAAAACGAAAAAACAAACCCTCAATTTTCTCCTCGTCTTCTTCACTCAATTCACTTTTTGCAGCAAGCATTTTCAGTCCTTTGAGTGCTCGTTCGAGACGTCGACCAATATCCGTTTCATCCACAATTCCCGCCATCACTTGCTCCAACCATTTGCGATCCTAAAAAGAAAAACAAAATTAACATTATTAATTAGTAAACAGTTCTACATTGCCTAAAAATCACCTCATCCGACATCGGCTTAATTTGTGAAGCTGTTTCTCCTGATGACATTGCTGTCGCCTCCATCAACAAAGTTTTCCAATATTGATCCGGAACCAAAGCCATCTTTCTAAATTCTTCTTATGATCTCGACACTTTGCTTTTTAAATAATTTGATCAAAAACGATTTAGTAAACCCATCAATAATTGCATTTAACAATAAAAAATTTGTTGTCCAAAGTTTTTTAATCTTTTGAAACAACTAAAAATATCTAGTTTATTCTTCGCAAAAATATTGACAAACAAAGAGACAATACCCAATGGCAAAAATGGCACGAGATTCAATACCTCAAACTTCGAAATCAAATAAATTAAAGACATATTTTGAGATAAAACAATGAACGGAAGAAATACGCCTTAAAAATAGGCAATCGATTACGCTCGCTATTTCGAGTGTTTTCCGGAACGGGACTCGGAGGGAACGCGGAGGTCGACATTTTCGAAGTGCAATTTGTACAGTAACGCATAACTTTGTTGAAATGCTTTAAGTTTTTGATGTTTCTCTTGAGCCGTCAATGCAGGTGATTCGAGCAATGTGTGCATCATCTAAATCGAATTTGTTAGACTCGACAGTTTGTTAGGAATGAATAATTTGGTACTAGCCTAGTTGGGGGAGGCACTTTTTTTCTTCAAAACCACTTTTTCTGGGTAGTTTTATGCGTAGATTCCAAAAAACACAACGAGAGCTCGGGGAAATGCATTTTAAGCCAAATTTCGGAGCTCCAAAGTGCGCGCTCATACAGTGTGATGAAAGCGATACACATAGGGAAGAGGTCTAGAAATGGTCTCTCAAAATATTTTTTCTAAATTTCGGCCATGTGGTCCCCCCAAATGAGTCTAAATCGGTCAAAATCTCAAAAAAAAAATTTTCAATTTGTTTTGCCTCTACCAGTCAATTTCAGTTAGAAAATGAATATTTTTACTGATTAAAAACGGTTTTGGCCCTAGTTTTGACCTTGAAAAGTGCCCCAATAGTCGATAGCTTGGGCTCCATATAGTGAAGTACACTATAGATGCACTTTGGAGCTCTGAAGCTCGCGGCTTAAAATGCCTTTTCCCAAGCTCTTATTGTGTTTTTTGGAATCTATGCATAAAACTACCCCAGAAAAAGTAGTTTTGAAGAAAAAAAATGCCCCCCCCAACTAGGCTAGTACCAATAATTTTTTCACCTTAACAAGTTCCTTTTGGGTGCAATCATCGTGTTGCTGTGATTGAACTTGACAGAATTGCACTACAGGAGCATCCTCTAATTCGGCATTACTGAATAATAACATATTGATCATATAATTCCTCCAAAAGTTACAGCTCTTGATTTGCAACAGTTTCCTCAATTTCCCGCGGCACCACCCCCATCAAATTGTCGTTGAATAAAGCAACAAAGGCTCTGAAATTTTATGATTAGATTTGTTTTTTAAATACCAAACTTACTTGATAAGTATATGTTGTTTGTAGGTTCCGAGTTCAGCAGGCAGAATGAAATTTGTTACACGTTGCAGAGCGATCTCAGCATTATCACAAAAAGCCACGCGTTTCTAAAATAAACATTAGGGTTACACTTCTAAATGGTTACATTGGCAAGTGGAGGTGCTCGTTGATTAAATTGCCCAAGAATGCAATGAGCTCGCGTTCCGCGCGTAGCAGATAACCAATGTATCATAGCGATAAGATGCTTTCTGAAATTAAATTAAAATCTGGACTGGAATGAAAGCTTTTTAATGGGGTATAAGTTTTTTTATCGCGGTCATAAAAAACTATGGGGGCAGTAAAAAAGTTATAGGGGAACATAAAAAGTTGAAAAAAAGTAACGATCTATGGGGGTGGACCGGGTACTTCTCTTGTTTTGAGTAATGCAATCCAGCCGCTCATCCTCCAAATGTAAAGCTGAGCACCCTGGTAAATGAAAGTAAATAGTTTTAGAAAAACTAACTCAAAAAACTAGATCTCAAACGGGATTTTCGCAGTTTTTTTCAAAAAAAGTTGACCCCATAGAAAAGTTACATAAAAATGTTTTCATGTAGCTTCATGTGTCATAACTTCTATGGGGTCATAACCTTTTCACTGTGCAGATTTTGATTTACTCTCACAGTCAACCGGTTCCAAATATAACTTTTTTTTTTCTACACTGCTGATTTCGACAATTCCACTATCGACATTTCAGTAAAGTATACTTGTTACTTCATTTCCAAAGCACCTTACCCTTAGCATATCATTCTTCAAACCTTGATATGCCAGTTGTTTTATCGTATCGTTACATTTGCCAAGCATACCTATCTCTTTTTATGAACTATTTTATGACCCCCCATAACTTTACTTTTATGGCCCCATAAAATTTCGATTTCATCTTAGCCCTACTTTTTTTTTGAAGAATCTAACCTCATGACTGCTGGAATCATTATGACTAGATATTGCAAACATTTTTGTTCGTGCTTCCAACGACGATCATCAAGAAGAACCTGAAATAAGTCAAAGTTCGCCCCATAGACTGAAAACTTACTTGATCAATTACGGCCTTGCAAACGCCAGCAAACTCAACAGGGATTAACGGATTTTGTCCACCATGTGTAAGATCGTTCAACCAGGTGCAAATCTAATATTTTTAGATTGTGTACATTGGAGTAAAATTACAGCGTGAAGACATTGAGAAGTCCAAAGGGAGCATTCTTCAATTGGGTTGTTGGGAAGTTCTCTCTTGAGATGAATCGATGGCACCAAAATTCTAGCCGTGTTGAAAAAAGCCAGCAAATGATTTCTAAATCTTAATACTAAAAAACTAAACACAAAACAGACTTGGCGATCATATTCTGGCTAATGCATTCATCCGTTTCTTCCTCTGCGAACAGATTTCGTGGTTTTCGGAAAGATCTCGATGCAGCAAAGCCCATCTTGGAAAGAATCGACGTCAAATAGGAGACATTATCTTCTGTCTTGTTGTCACTTTCCTAAAAAAAACTATGTGCAAAACCGGTGCAAAATGTTTACATTTGGATTTGCTATACCCTCTAGATTCTCAACTTCGACAAGTAAAAGGAGACGATTGAGAGCAACTTTGTAGTACAGCGCGTCAACTAAAAGACTAGATTTTAAGTAGTTTCCAAGGACGTTTTACCAGTTGAAATGTTTTCTTCCGATGAAAAGGTTACTTCCGAAACGTTATCCCTCTCACTCTTGTCTTTAGACTTCGATCCTGAAAAACTGTTTCTGACCATCGCTGATGTAATCCTACCCCATTGAATCCCTCCTCGGAAAAACCCTTTAAATGATGCTTTTCTGCCCCGAGATGGTGATACTGATGGTGTGCGAGCTTGAGCGGGTGTTGGCATCATCGGAAATGGTGGTGCTTGCCTTCCAAGCACGCTAAAATGATAATATAAACTGTAGTTGCTAATCTAGTAAAATATACGTAAAGAAAAAAACTACTAGATGTGATTTTGGTAAATATCAACATACTTGAAGTTCTCTACAGGTAACAGCGTGTAGTGGCATTTCTTTGAATCGACAAAGCTAGATAATCCCTCGGAGCACGAGAACACGTTCATACGCATCAACAAATTTAGCAACTAAAGACCTTATTTAATAATAAGCAGCGTCAAACTCACATTCATTGCGCTCTCTCTGTCTCGATTCGAATTTGGAAAATCCTCCTTGTGATCGTCGAGATATTTGAGTATCTGGACAATTGCTTGCTCGCTTGTAAAAGAGTCATCGTTACTATAAAATTGCCAATCTATTAGTCACTTTACTATGATATACCTTTCCCTGATTTGCTCCCGAAAGTCGTTTACGATTCGCATCATCAAGTCAGTGCTAGAAAATTGACCTAGATACGCACTGTTAAATAATGTGTCTTAGTGCAAACTTTTCTTGGCACTTTTTGCCTCCTTGCTTTCGCTAATATTTGCCTCATCCTTGAATCGAAATACTTCGATCTCTAAACCATAAAATAATTAAAGCATAAGAGGTGATTACAGAAAACTAACTATTGGAATAAAAAATTAACGTTAAAATTTTACTAAACAGCCAATGGGGTATCTTGCAAAAGTTCTAAATTTGGCAAAATTTGCTTGCTACATCGTTTTTTTTCGTAGGCCTATATCTGCATGTCTTTGTATTAAACCCTAAACATATTTAGGTTCAAAATACTAAAAAAACTTTCTGACAAAAGTGGTAGGGTAAAATTATAAGTCGCGCACTGGAGCAAAAAAATTGAACTTTGCTAAATGCTAAATTGGTGTTTTTTGGTGAATCCGGGCCCAGGATCCGCAACAAGCAATTTTCGCTTACAAGCTGATCTTTGGGCGAATAGTTAGGTATTAGCAAGTGAGGAGAAATTGAGCAAAGTTAGAAATGGCAATGATCCATTCAATAACTCATATAGCCTTAAGCTACAGTGTTACAGTAGTCGCCAACCGATTTTGCCAATGAGCGGTTTTCTAACTGGTGAAGAGCCATTTACCCGGTAATAGTTAAAGTACATTTGTTCAATATTAAAACCATATGAACTAGATTTATTGAATTGAGTCGATCTTTACCCACTTTCTAATAATATTCACCTGATTGCTCAGAGTAAATTTTGGGACATGCAAATGATGGAGGAAGCAAAAGTGAGCTTTTACTGAAAAAGTTACATACTTTCTTGCACTTCCGCGAAAACCCCCCGCGGCGGTTTTGGCGGCGGAATCGAATCGGACATCAACAAACACTGAAAGAGGCTATAAATAACAAAACCATTTTCATAAAATGACCAGTACCCATGACTAAAACTAAAACGAGCATTTGATAACTTTCATATGCAAAAAATATTTATTCAGCTAATAAAACAACTTCTGTATGACTAAAAAATCACAAACGTCATCACAAGCTTCAAGACATAAATTGAAAGCAGACGAGTCTACTTTTTCTTCAGTTGATATATTAAAATATCGTCGTCAGAAAACCTAAAGTGAGAAACTTGCAATTTACACTAAAAAAGCATTATTAAATTACCTGCAGTATTTTTGTGCCAAAGCTCTTCCATTATCGGTTGGTTCGGAGAAAGCGATTTGATTTCTTTCAAATGTCATCCCATGAATCGCCCATCGTCTCGCAGTCCCAAGTAACGTTGAAGCGATGCCTGCAAAAAACAACTATTGTTTCCAAAAAACTCTAACCTTTCCCGCGTTCATGCTTGTGCACCCAGATTCTATTCACACCGAGAAGTTTCATACTGCTGTGTGACTAAATTAGTATTATTATCGTGTTTACTCTTGTGCTTACGGTTCCCGTTGTCTCCCAAAACGCTTCTTCTAACAAGTCAAATATACCGATTCCTAATACCTAAAAACCAGTAAAATGACAACCGAACGGGTAAACCAACTTTGAACTGTGTTCCATTTTCTCGTGCTTGAATCGCCATACAACCAAATCTTCCGACCTCATCGCCCCATACCGTCAAGCTCTCGCAAAAGCCAACTTCTTTGTTCGCAAAATTCTAAAGTTGTCATCCTATATTATTGATCAAACAGTAATACCTCAACGATATCCTCGAAAGGGCCTCGTAAATCTTTCACAGACTTGTTGATGTAAATTATGTGAATTCCAGCAACAAACCAGTGTTTTGTGATTCTAAAACAGAGTTTCTATAGTCAATTAAAAATGCAAACCGCTTTGCCTTATCTATAGAAAATCGAGGTGAGAGCAATACTACGTTGGCTTGGTCGTGAAATAATTGGTGTGCGCGAACATCTTTGGGACGATCAATCGAATAGGCCATTCCACACTAAAATTAATTTCTGATTTAGTTAGTAAAACAAAATCCAATTACCGTGTGACACTGTGTTAGTCCAATTTCTTTTTGTCCGGCATCAAGCACGAGTTGACGGGAGTCATTTCCAACCCTGGCGAAGGACGTTTTTAAAGCTTGCTTTCTTTTTTTAACACTAAAAACTATGGATAAAAAGGATGAAATTTTAGAGTAAATGATTGGAAACTTGAAATCCAACCTGAAAAGGGGCTTGGACAGAGTAGGTGACGCAGACACCGAATTACCAAAATATCCAGTGATCAAGTTTTTTGACATTAAGGTTCCTTAAATAGACTTCTTTGAACTAGTAGCACTTGATTAAGATCGAGAGCATGCATTTGAAAAACACTTTCCACCTCCAACCCGAACGTCGATAGAAAAGAAGGGAGCATAAGACCAAGTGCACAAGTAGTGATCATAAAATAGGTATATATCAAAAGCTCTGAACGCATTGAAAAGGCAAACACTTGAAAAAATTTACAAACTCTTTATTAAAAACAAAAAAAATAACAAAAGTTATACACCCTATTCGATAGCCATCTTTTCTTTTAGCCTTGTTCGTTTTTCTTCCAAACTAGCACATTTCTGTAACTTCATGATTGGAGTGTAGTTTTTCTGCCATGGATGGGCCTAAATTGAAATAAAACGAATAAAAATAAGCAATGAACCTGAGTGAATTCATTTAATCCCCGACTTGTTGTCTCTTCTTCGATAGAAAATTCTTCGTTCGCCACCTTTTCCATCATATTTTCTAGCATTCTAGCTCTAAACATAAATAAGTGTAAAATCAGATGAAAACTTGGGCTAAATTGTACTTTATGGTCCAGCTTCAGATCTCAATGAAACCTATTTGATTTTACTTTACTTTACAGCTCACTGATACCGAAAAAGCTAAAAATAAATGTCGGAAACGTTTTAGAAAAAAAAAAAAAGAGTCAAAACACTGCCGGACCATAAAGTATCATGCTATGGGTTGTACTTTATGGTCCAGTGAGCAAAACGGCTCATAATACATTAAGAATACATTTAAACCATGCGCGTAATTTCTTCTTAGTTGAGGAAGCCCATGTATGCAACTAAAACTAAGTTAGAAGCACCGACCATTAGCAAACTTGGGGCTATATGCGTAACCACAATTTTGCCAGTGACATTTTAGTTTTCTTGGGTTTTCGACAACGCTGACTAAATTGCAAATAGTTTCAAGGCTTCATTATAACTAAATAAACGTGTATTAGAAAGCCAAAACAACAAATTTAAAGTTAGGATACTTTTTCTGTTTAGCTTGTTTTCTGTTAAATGTATTCTTAACTTATTATTTTTGCTCACTGGATCAAAAAGTACAACCCATACATGATACTTTATGGTCCAGCAGTGTTTTGACTGAAGTTTTTTTCGTAAAACGTTTCCGACGCTTATTTTTAGCTTTTTCGGTATCAGTGAGCTGTCGGAAACAAAACTTAGACGCTCGGGCAAAGTTCTAACTCTGGGCCATAAAGTACAATTTAACCAAAACTTGGTTACTTTGTTCGTAGCGTTGCCCACTCCTTTTGAAGAGAAAAAAGATTTCGCTGGCTTTGCTGTTCATCATAAATCCAATTTAGGTGATCTTTATCATAAGCACAATCGAAAAGGCATAGCGGTGAATCTGCAGCCAATCCATATTGCGGTCTCGCCGGGTTACTCGTGACATCCAATAGTGAACTGATAACCTGAATTTAATTGTTTTGATCCTAAGGATCTTTTCACCTCTGGTTTTTCGTGCCCGCATCCAACTTCGTGCAGAACCGTCACAATATAACGAATCATATGCCATAGAAACCCACTACCATCAATTGTCAATTCGATTAGTGAAAGCTTATCTGTCGAATCACTAAATGGTACTTATTTCACTACCTTTGCAAATAAGCTCACCCAATTATTTCTAATTCGACGCGATAAATTGTTCGAACGTATGACATTGCTACTCTATCCGCGTTCATATCGATCTAAATAAAAGTCAAAGTTTTAATTGAAAACTTTTACTTGACAAAAATTGCGAAAATCGTGTTCTCCGACAAGTAAGCTCCCAGCTGAGCGCATCGACTGAACCCAATTTATTATTATATATTTATCTAGCTCAACGAATACCTCGAAATCCAGATTAGATCTTGGCATGGAATATTTATACGTCCTTTTGGTACACGAATGACGAGCATTAAAGCTTTGTGCAACTGGGGCCCAACTGAAAAATGCGGTCTTTAGAGCCAAATACAAAATAACTAACCACATAACTCTTATCGACTGAGGCAAGCACCCATTCAACATCTTTACATAGGGCAATTCTTGTGTTGATTTGTATGACTCAATCGTTGAATTTGAAGTCTCATCAGTCCAAAACACCCCTTCTCCATTAGGATTCGAAGACCTAACAACATTGAGTCACTAAATCCAAAGAAGTTCAAACCTGACAACGCAAGCAGCAACTTGTCGAAACGCAGAGACACGCTTGTCGGTCCGACCACATCGAGTGAATTCGCAAGTGCTCCATTCTTCAACCAACTTTGTCTTCAACAATGCATCCATTAGATACTAAAAGTTTTATTTATTGCACTTAAGAAACTTGAACAACCTTTTCTACGGTGTTATCCGTGTTGTTTTGCTGAACCAATCCATCGTATTCCCACCCATAATAGTAAAAGGCAAAAGCAATTTTACGTCTTGGATGTCGCGCGTGGAAGTCGTCGGGAAGATTTCTAGCTTTGCATTTCTTCTTTTTCTTCGGTTCTTCTTGCAAGCTAGATGAAATTTTCCGCGCTACTTTCATCCTGAACCAAATTTTAAACAAATGCAACAAACCAAAATTTAAACAAACACAACAGAAAATTGAAGTGTACAAAGGATCATGGTGTAAACTTTTAAAACTTTTCTTGTGAAAACGTGTAAAACAAGACTCCCATAACCCATAAAGTTTCCAGTGCAAGTGCTTTGCCATAATTGTTCATCTTGGTCAAAGGCGATAACAAATTTTATTCGGTAGTAACAAATGAAAACAAGAACGGATTTAGTGTGTGTGAACAATGCAAAAACTGATATAAATCAAAAGAACGAGAAAAATTGAAGGGGTTAAAGTTGTTAGACATAGATCATAATTTCCCCGTACGCCTTCTCTTGGACCACTTTAGCAACTTTCTTGCGCTTTATAGCTTCTAAAGAAATTCCCTATAATGTTACCCTGGCAAGAAAGGCACGTACCCAAGAGAAAAGCAAAACGTCGAGCAGCAGATGCCGCATTGGTTGAGTGGCGAGGGGCTACTTCGGAGAACTTAATGACTCCATTGGTAGCCATATTGCGAAGCTCGCTAAAAGAGACTTTTTTTGAAAATAACAATTCATACTTTGCAAAATTCGACGATTGATCGAATGGATTTACAACGCTTGAGTCACGTTCGGATACTAGATCTTGCTCCTGATTGAAATGTTGTCGTTGCTTCTCGATCAACGAAGGTCTTCCGGATGCGTCAATCATCGTATAGTTAACTAAATGGAAATGCTTTTTGCTGTAAAAGAACTCTTAAAACGCACTTGAGCTGGCTCGGCGGCGTCGTTCCATTTCAAGTTCCTCTTCTGTCATTTGCATGTTGCCAAAATGATCAAGATCGACGTTAATGTTGGGCATTCCATCAACATCAGTTAATGGTGGAAACTGAAGTCAAACTTTCAAAAAGAAAAATTTATGCTAAAACCTCGTACAGAAGTTGATCATTGAGCTCTTGTCCAGGGAGTATGTCAAATTCAGTGAGCATATTGCTAAATACAAATAAACAAATTTAATAGCCATTTTTTATTTACTGACCGTTCACCAACATTTAATTCATCTAGCTTCAGCTCCTCTCCATGCTCGGGTTCTTTTTCCCATTCTTTGCAAGCGCGCATCTCTTTTCGAGTAGGGTAGCAATCGATTAGATCTTGGTTACATCCTAAATCAACAAATATTAGTCAAGAATAATGCAAAGCCATACCGGGAATTGACAAGGGTCCTGCTGCAAACAATTGCTCGCTTGTCAAAAAGGCAAATTTTCCTCGTTGCTGCACAGCCGGTAATTCACGTCGTCGAAGCGTATCATACCAGTGATCCAAGTTCTTCTTTACAGTAGACTAAAAGTAACATTTTTGCTCCGAGCATACTTCGTATCAACTCACTGATTTGATTTGAACATTTTCGTCAACGATCAGCGACTTTGGGACCTTTGCTTTATAGTGTTGCGCTTCTTTGGCCTGTGCTTCAGCGGCTCGAACATCTCCCGAAGTCATCGACTCCAACAACAATTGAGTGTCACTCACAAGCAAACCTTCAGAATCTCGTTGCATAGTTTCTAATTTTTAAAAATATTTGCATTTGCAGACAAAATCACCTTCGGGGAAAAGTGCAATATGCTGAAAGTCTTCTTCCATTTGGCGACATAACTAAATAAACGACATACAAAATATCTAGTTGCACCGTAAAAATACCTCATCAGCTCTTGGTGAAAGAGCGTCAGCGCCAATTTGTGCGTCCAAGAAAGGATCAGTTCTTGAAATTTTTAACTTTGGAGAAGCAATGTTGAAATTTGTTTGATTCTCGAGTGGATTGTAGAGTGCCTAAAAATGATGTCTTTTAGTTAAAAACAAACACTTACATCTACTGGCAAAAGCTTATTAGTAGATTGATCCGACGATCTTTGATCACCGATTGGCAGCATTTCACCTTCAATACTGTTCAGCATCATCATGTTATCTTTTGTGAAGAGCGGAAGTTCGTGACCACCAAAGACTGAATCTTCTCTCCAATTCAGGACTTTTCTGAAGACTGGTTCTCGCAGGGTGATAGTGTCAACTCCGACATTGATGACATTTCGATCCTAAACAAATATTAACGGAACCTATTCAGAAGCACAAACCACTTCGTCCAAGTTTGCTAATGGTACAGAGTCTTCCGTTTTGTCGAGATCAGGAGCTTGGAGCTTCCTTTTCTTGGGAGCTCGGTGTTCCTCCAAAGCTTGTCGCTTTGATGAAAAACTTCCGCTAAAATTAAAGATAATTTGAATAATCAGTAGTCTTAAACAACCTGACATTGATCTTATTAAAATCCTGCGGCAGGTTCTTCAATGACATCAAAATGGCACTAGCATCCACTACAAGATTTCAATTGAAGCATAGGCAACCAAAGCCTACTTTCAAGATAGTTGACTTGTTTTTGATAGAGAATCACAATTCCGTACGATAGAAGACCAAGCAAATACAACGAAAACTTTTCCTTTGTTCCCCTTATCGTATAGTTTGCTGGTGGAATGCGATCGACAAGAGCTTCACTAAAACAAACGTTTGTAATAGATATATCTATTATACTTCCTACGTATCATCAGTTACCTTTTTTGACATAAAGACTCAAATTAAACTAACCAGGCATCAGCGACACTTTCTTGCAAACATGCTCCTCTCTGGATTGATTTCAATGTGCGGGCAGTCGCAAGTCGCCTAAACACCACATGGAATAGCAAGCAGCGATAATGACCCACCAAATAAAGCCGAATTTTGAGTCCCGGCTTGCAAGTAGCTGGTGATGAAAAAACATCTAAACGACAAATATGTATCTTCTTACAAAAGCATTTAAAAAAGGAGGGGAAAGGGCTATTTTCGTAAAAATAACAACTTCCAAAGTTAGGTAGTTTTTATTTTACTTATCGATTTACAGAGCAAACAAGTAGCATGCTATTCATTTCGCAGCACCACTTGCTGTGAGAAGTAACGCAACACTTTTACGCAAGACTTTTCCCCTCAAAACATTTGCGACGACACGATATCAATTTTGAAATGCCACAAATAGTAGCTTACCCGAAGGTTTGTAAAGAACATTTATTGAACAGAACGTTTGAAAATTCACTCGATAAAAGCCTAACAAGGCACGAAAATACACAAAACAGACAAAATAAATTTAAAGGTGGTCTCCAAGCATTTCTCTCGTTTCCTCCTCGAAATCGCCTTCTTCTTGCACCTCAGCTTCGGCCTCTTGGTACTGTTGGTATTCGGAGACGAGGTCGATCATATTCGATTCGGCTTCCGTGAACTCCATTTCGTCCATTCCTTCGCCAGTGTACCAGTGGAGGAAAGCTTTGCGACGGAACATGGCTAAAATAAAACGCATTAATATCCGATGTTCGAAGCAAAACCCACCAGTGAATTGCTCAGAGATGCGCTTGAATAGTTCTTGAATGGCGGTTGAATTGCCGACGAAGGTTGCAGCCATCTTCAATCCTCGAGGTGGAATGTCGCAAACGGCCGTCTTCACATTGTTGGGGATCCATTCGACGAAGTAGGCGGAGTTCTTGTTCTGGACGTGCATCATTTGGTCATCCACCTAAACAACAAGTACATTAGTCGAACCATCGTTAAAATCTAAAAGGTAATAATCAAGAAAAAACTAACCTCGCGCATACTCATCTTTCCACGGAACATTGCTGCGACAGTCAAGTATCGTCCATGGCGTGGATCACAAGCGGCCATCATGTTCTTGGCGTCGAACATCTGTTGTGTGAGCTCGGCGACCGTCAGAGCTTTGTATTGAGTGGTTCCTTTGGCGGAGAGGGGAGCGAATCCAGGCATGAAGAAGTGGAGACGTGGGAAAGGCACCATGTTGACGGCAAGCTTTCGAAGATCTGCGTTGAGTTGTCCAGGGAAGCGAAGGCAAGTTGTCACACCAGACATCGTCATAGAAACTAAACCAAATGATAAAACTGCAAACTTTTACAAAACCAACCAAGATGATTCAAATCGCCATAAGTCGGGTTATTGAGCTTGAGTGTTCGGAAGCAGATGTCATAGAGTGCCTCGTTGTCGATGCAGAACGTCTCATCCGTGTTCTCGACGAGTTGGTGGACAGACAGGGTTGCATTGTATGGCTCGACCACCGTATCGGAAACCGAAAACAGGAAATAAGCAATCATCTTTCAGAACAAAGTAATACCTTTGGCGATGGGACGACCGAGAATGAGGACATGATGCGATCCGGGTATTCTTCACGGATCTTTGAAATCAACAGGGTTCCCATGCCAGATCCGGTGCCTCCACCAAGCGAATGTGTGAGTTGGAATCCTTGCAAGCAGTCGCATCCCTCGGCCTCTCGACGAACCACATCAAGTACTTGGTCGACCAACTCGGCTCCCTCAGTGTAGTGTCCTTTGGCCCAGTTGTTTCCAGCACCCGATTGAGCGAAGACGAAGTTGTCGGGACGGTAGATTCCTCCATAGGGTCCATTGCGCACCGTGTCCATTGTTCCAGGCTCAAGATCGACCAGCACGGCGCGAGGCACGTATTTGCCACCTAAAATAAAAGATGAAGAAAGCTAGGTATAAAGAAGCAAACGAACCATTAGCCTCATTGTAGTAGACGTCGATGCGTTCAAGTTGGAGATCCGAGTCGCCTTTGTAGCTGCCGTCTTGTTGGATTCCATGTTCGTCCGAGATGACCTCCCAGAATTTTGTCCCAATTTGGTTGCCGCATTGACCGGCTTGCACGTGCACGATTTCACGCATTGTCTAAAAATCAACCAGGCTTTTTACAGGAAAAATTAAAATTAAAAACATTGCTTCTAGAGGACTTTAAAGAATAAAATCAAAGCGGGGGTGGGACAAATGCGACCTTTTTTTTGCTGGAAAAGGCCTTAGGAAAGGCCGTAGAGCTTCAAAAATATTTCGAAAATGTTTCCATAGAAGGGAATCGTATGCGTAGATTCCGAATTTCGACAAATCGGACCTCGCTGACACGTCAAATTTGGGCTAAAAGGCAAAAACTACGCAACTTAACGCTTTTCCGCAGCTTTTGCCTTTTAGCCCAAATTTGACGTGTCAGCGAGGTCCGATTTGTCGAAATTCGGAATCTACGCATACGATTCCCTTATATGGAAAAATTTTCGAAATATTTTCGAAGCTCTACGGCCTGGCCTTTTCCAGCAAAAAAAGGTGCGCAAATGTCCAGGTGCGCAAAAAAAGGTCGCATTTGTCCCACCCCCATCAAAGCTGGAAAGCGAACGGATGAAAAAGAAAAGTTCCAGATAACTTTTGCCACAGAAAGATTTTGATATTTAGTCAAACAATTGAAAATTCAAACTGTAAAGGTAAAGCCACATATTTTGAGTATATTAATTGGGGAATTTTCCCACCTCAGCAAAATGTTCCGGAGCATTGGTTACAATAAACTTAAACTTTTTTCCAAGTTAGAACCGTTTTTCTTTCAGTTTCATCTTTATTTTTTACAAAGCTACAAAAAGGTTTGACACCATGCGTTGAAATGGCCGCCTCCAGAGAGCTTGCCGTTGTAAGTGCTTATTCCGCATAAATATCTACATACAGTGGTGAAAAAAGTATTGGCCGCTCATGACAGAAAAAGTTTATTGTAATTTTTTCTTATATAGATTAACCATTTTGTTGTATCCTGTTACTATTTGTTAGAGTGCTTGTAGAACTATTAAATGAAATTTCTCCTTTTGCAAACTTTAGATTATTTAAAAAGTTTTGGAACAAAAGAAAAAACTTCTGATTTTACAACACTGTTTCTGAGCTCAAGTAGGGGATTATGGATCACTAGCAGCTCATTCCAAAAAACTTGCTCGAAAAGTTGGTCGACAGCATGGAAAACAGAGTCTACGATTTAATTCGCGAAAATGCAGGGCCCATCAACTACTAAATATTTTTTTACTTGTTTTACTTTAAGTTAAAATGTTTTAGATAAGATTTTCGTTTAAATTGCAGATAATTTGAGTGCCTATATCATTTTGAAACGGTCGATTTTTAAAAATTGTTTAATTTTTGCATGTTTTTGTTAGTTTTAGTTATAAATGTTCAATTTTAAGCTATTCAAGATGAAGAAAACGTGGTGTTATCAAAATCTAACAGAAGTTTTCCGGACGTACAAAAATCCCATTTTTGGGGCCTTTATTATTCTGAAACGCACTGTATATGGGTTTTTTCTTCCCTGCATTTAGGCCTTAGCGGTTGTGCTTGTGTATTGTTTGTACTACATTATTCCTGTGAATAGTTATTCATTGTATTAAAAAACTCAACCCAAAAAAAGGCCCCAACTTTCTTTGCACTCTTTATTTTCTTTGTACAATCTTCGAATGATAAAAGGGTATTTTTTAGAATGTCTACTTGCCGCTACATTCAACTGTGCAACTCATCGAGGATCCACGAGCCGGTGCTCCGAGTGCGGTCTCGTTGTCGGCGATAGGTGAGCGTTATGACATGTTTAGCTGCGCCTAAATTCCCTAATAGACTCGTGTAGACTATATTTGCCAACCTTTGGGGCATTCGGGCAGAGGTCCTGTCATTGTTGTTACTTATGACGGACCTTATTTTTAGCTGCCCGTCAAAAATCTGGCGCTGAATACTTTTTGTAATTTACATCCCTAAATATCTTTGTATTGAAATTGTTTTTCATTTTTAAAATTTAGAATCGGTGATGTTGGAACTGAGTGGCGTTCTTTTTCGGGTGAAAACAGTGGAAATGATCCATCGCGTGTCGGCGCTCCCGAAAATCATCTTTTCACCAACTGTGACCTATCTACGTATATCTCTGTCGGCCATGGAGCAAGCACCAACGATCAAAGGTATAACTTATTGGCAAAGAAAGTGCAAGAATGTTAGACGTCGTTCTTGCTTTTTTGCTCAATGGTATCTTTTTAGTTTGACAACCAATCAGCGCAAAATTATTAACTATGCTGATCGGCAGATGAACGCCGCTATTGGAACGATTCGAGATATGAGCGACCGAATTCACATCATTCAGGCATTCAAGATATTGCTGCAGAAACCTTCAAGGCTTCCTCAATACAAAGGAACTCAAAGGAAAGAACAACGAGGCTCAAGCCGCTGCATGCAAAGCAGTTCTCGCCTGATTTTGTCTTCCTCACTTTCACTCAACAGCCCTTGAATGTTTTTTCTGGCAATTTTGTTGTATTATCTGCATTTTGTCATGTTTAATTTTTTTTCCAAATGTTGTTCTCTAGCTAAATGGTTTATTTTTCTCGTTTCAATTGTAAGATTTATTGGCGCGCTTTATAAACACATCACAACACACAAAGATCTTTTTTTCTTTTTTTTAAAATTTCTTTTCATCCATCGAATGATACACGCATCAAATGACGACGGCGAATCATTTTCTCGAATTGAGTCTTGTCGAAACTGGTGGTCGATGAAGAAATGAATGCATAGTCGATAGCGACCTAAATATAGTTTGAAATTGAAGACGAAACCCGAATCGAATTAGGGATATTGAGAGGAATCCCGAAAGTGTTTACGAAACTAAATACATCACCTTATCACTCCCCGAAACAATTTCATCACAGCTCTCAGAGATGGCAAATTTGATCTAAAAATTAGAATAATTCGACGACAACTTTGTTTAAAAACCTCAGTCGTCTCTTCAACGGGAATGATTCCGCAAGTTGGCGAGGCTTGGAGGCGATCGAGTGCATTTGTCTTGAGAGCCCACATCTAGCAAATACTTTTTGAGTGCTAAACTTTCCAGAACAGTAAACTTACAACGTTTTGTTGAGATGTATTGACGACAAAAATGTTCGATTGAGCTCCCACTGATCTACCCACAAACTTGATCTAAAAAGATGGATAGTAAGTGTAATTACCAAAATATCTACCAATCGAGACGGTTTTGTATCTATATCATCGTATCCAAGAGGAATCGTGCAGAAGCTGCTCTGATTTGTGATATCGCCACTAAAATAGGCTCAATTTATTGCGTTTTCCACAAAGCCATACCTAGCCACATGTCGAGAGTGTTGCCATTTGTCGCCTTTTGTTTGTTGGTCAATGTTCATTTTGATTCCTCCATCCTCCTTTTCTTCTCCATTGCAATCAGCCTTCAGATCTAAAAATTTGTTTAAAAGTCTAATAGCAGACCACAAACGTACCCATAGCTGCATCATTTGTCTCAACAAGTGTCTTTTGTTCATCATACGATTTTTCATCGATTATCGGGCGTAAATTCAAATAGCTCTAAAATACTTGTAATAAAAAATGGAGAAAATGTACAGCAGATTCCTGTTCAACAAATTGCTCCACTTGTTGATTGTAGGACCAGAAAGGTGGCGGAGAAGTGAGAGCACTAAATGACGACTTTACTTCGAATATTAGTTATAACAACATACTAATTATTGGGTGCTGGTTGGAATGGATAAATTGGCTGCAAATTGAAATGTTCAGCTTGTTGAAAGTGCATCGATGGGGAATCAAGAGCCGTCGAAGTGGTGATCATCGTTTCGTTGAGAAGCGGCTGGGGAACATCGTTTTGATGCCTAAAAGAACAGATAAAAAGATAAATTGTGAATCCTATGTTAAAATAAAATCTCAAAGTCCGACACGGTAGGAGTTACCGTACTTTGTAGGCATTTGCGTGCATTCGGTTGTGTCGACAAAAGCACTTTTTGCTCGTTTCTCTTTTGTCAATCCTTCTTCGTTTAATTGTGGAAAGGCGATGTCGAATGTTTGTAAAACCTAAAATGAGAATATAAATAAATTATTTTCACAAAAAATACCTCTTTATTTTCGTTGAGCGCTGATAAGAAGAAAAGCCCAAGAGTGGCGTATTTGAGGAAGAAAAATGAAGAAGTTGGATTGAAGAAATGGACGGACGAAGAGAAAAGACCATGCATGACCCAAAAGAAAAGAAGTGAACGCTAAAATTAGGTACGTAATAAAAGTTAAAGATGGAAGTTATAAACATACATATCCTTTCTGCAGCTCATCTTGACATAACAAAACTTTATAGGTGAAAGCAGCCGGAATTGCGCCTAATATGAAGGAAAGTTTGCGAATTCACTTTTGAAAAACCTACCGAGAAGAATCTCACAGAACACGTGCGATTGTCCCCCGCAAAACGCGTAGAATATGGCCAAAACACCTAAAATAACAAAGTGTTAAAAGTTTTATCACCAATATACACTCTGATAAAGAAAAACCGTACCTGCTGCAAAGATATGGTCCTTTCTGTCCAAAGTCGCGAAGGATTTCGACAAAAAATTGACCATAATTTCTAAAAAAAATCTAAAGAGCAAAAGATTTCTTTTGGCAATAAAAAGCAAAAAATCAGCTTTATGATTACCGTATTTCTTCGAATAGAAGACCGGGTAAAGAGTATCATCGCGTACTCCTGCGTAGCAGCCCTTTTTAAAATTTCTTTTCTGCATAAAAGCTTTCAATCAAGTGCTATAGAGCTGGAAAATGGCTCAAAAATACCACATGAGCTAACAGATTTTTGAGCCATTTTCCAGTCCTATAGCACTTCATTGAAAGCTTTTATGCAGAAAAGAAATTTTAAAAAGGGCTGCTACGCAGGAGTACGCGATGATACTCTTTACCCGATCTTCTATTCGAAGAAATACGGTACCTTGTCGGGGAGTGGGACAAATGCGACCTTTTTTTTGCGCACCTGGACATTTGCGCACCTTTTTTTTTGCTGGAAAAGGCCTTAGGAAAGGCCGTAGAGCTTCGAAAATATTTCCATATAAGGGAATCGTATGCGTAGATTCCGAATTTCGACAAATCGGACCTAGCTGACACGTCAAATTTGGGCTAAAAGGCAAAAACTGCGGAAAAGCGTTAAGTTGCGTAGTTTTTGCCTTTTAGCCCAAATTTGACGTGTCAGCGAGGTCCGATTTGTCGAAATTCGGAATCTACGCATACGATTCCCTTATATGGAAAAATTTTCGAAATATTTTCGAAGCTCTACGGCCTTTCCTAAGGCCTTTTCCAGCAAAAAAAAGGTCGCATTTGTCCCACCCCCGCACCCGGACATTAGCGCACCTTTTTTCGCGTTTTAAAAAAGCTCTAAAAAGCTAATATTAACCAATTTCTACTCTAAAAGTTGTTTTTCTAGGTAATTTTAGGGCGTAGAAGCGAAATTTTGACATAACAGAGCGTGTGGAACCAATTTGAAAGACAAAACGGCTAGATCAAATTACAGAAAATTGTCGATTTTTCTCTTTGTATAACTCCGCCCGTTTGTTTCCACGTTTGTCCCACTCCCCCTTGTCGTGTTCAATTTTAAATGTTAAATGTTAAAAAATGGCAAATCTAAAAGTATTCAAACCTTTAGCCGATCACTAGTAGAAGATGAAGAGTTTGATTTGGTAGAAATGATAAATTTCTAGAAATTTATTTCTTTTATATGAAAACAATAAATGCCAATCGATGTATTTAAAAGTCTCAAATTTTAAATTAACATAATGTCTGAAAGCATCAAAATTTGCATTTTTCGGTTAAATAAAATGAAAGCGACTGGAGGGAAAATTCATCAGAAGAAATCTCGAAACTTCACCGATCCAATCAAGATGTCGACCCTCACCGTGGATCCACCAGCCGCTCAATTGGACGCTGCCGGAGGAAAGAGCTGCCACACGCTCATCAATGGAGGAACTGCCAAAGTCGTCTTTAAGGTCAGGGTTTTTGGTTATTTTTCTTATTTTGGCGCTTGCCTGATAGTCTTTAAATTTTGTTTTGTTACTATCCCATTTGGGTTTTTGTAAGGGTTTTAGTCGAGTTCATTGGCGATGTTATATTCTTTATTTAGGTGAAATCATCGAACAACACCGAGTACCGTCTCAACCCTGTCTTCGGATTTGTCGAGCCTGAAGCCGCAGCACCCCTTGAAGTAACCCGTTTGGCCGGCCCTCCGAAAGAAGACAAGCTGGTCATCGAGTTCGGAGATGCACCAGCCGATGCCGAAACTCCTCAAGATGCCTTCAAGGTAAATGTTTTTGTTTGTTACTAGTTGATTTCTTGTTTTCAGTGTGTGGCCGCTCCTCAGAAGCTGACGATCCCCCTCACGGCTCAATAGACGACTACAACTCTTCACGGCTGATCTTCAACGGCAATTCACTGAACAATCTGTTCCTCATTTGAGCATTGCCTAATTGTATTTGTGATCTGCCGAATAAAAATTTTGAGTAAAAATTTAGAAACTTTACTAGCGAACCAATGACAATTACACAAAAAAACTATAAAAAAAGCAAGAGAAAAATGATGGAATGGTTGGATAATTTTATCAGAAAACGATCAAAAACAATCCAGAGAGGATATTTTAAAGGAGTGAAAAGCTTTACTTAAAGCTTTTCACTCCTTTACTTATTTACTTAAAGCTTAACAAAATCTAGAAAACCCTGATAACAAAAAGAGAAATAAAAGTGGTAATGAAAGGAGAAATGAACGAAATGAGGAGATGATTTCCGGCTTTGCTTTTCACTTCGTCGATTTTCTCCTTGGCCGCCGATTGGGCATCGTTCAACGCGTCACCGGCCTGCAAATAGATTTTGGTAACTGTAGTTGCAAGGTGTCAATTTGTAAATGACCTTAAAACTAATGATTTTGTAGAAACTAATGATTGACACTTAATAGAGTGATCTGCAAATCCATCAGATTTCCTCTTTGGTCAATATGTTATACTGAAATTTGAAGGCACTCAGAATGGACTCATTGAACATTATTGCACTAATAAAAGTATTTGCCTAAATTTGAATGCCACCCTTGACTAATCCGCTTTCTAAAATGTGTTAATATTCGAATTATCGTAATCCGATTCTCACCTTATTCGCCGCATCTTTCCCTGCTTGTTTTGCCTTGTCAGTGGCATCTCCAATCGCTTCTCCTGAAATCGTTTTCTTTGAATTGAATATCTAGAAAGTTACGATCGATATAAACATGGACAAACCCGCCGAATTGAATCCCTCTTTTATTTTCTCTCCCGCATCGCTCGCCGCACTTTTCACATCATCAACAACATCCTGCAATCGAGAGATTACTGTATTGGGTACAAGATTTAGCTACAGCTACAGCTTTATTTCTACAGCTACAGCTACAGCTTTATTTCTTTAACAAACCGATTGCACGATGACAAAGGCGACACAGGAGGCTACCAGCAAAATTTTGAGCATTTTTGTGTGGAGAAGATTATCTGAAAAGTGATCGCTGTTTAGAAATAAATATCTAAGATCTAGAAACGGTAAGTTGAAAAATAAGGAACGCTTTCAACTAGATTTGAAGTTGCAAATGAAATGTTAGGAGTCAGAACGGTAACTAGCTCAATAACTCTTTTGAAAAGATACATGAGAATTTCGTTTTGAAATAGAAAAGTTAAGGGGAACGCGTGGTAAAGCTGGTGCTTCTCGTACTGGTCATTTTGGGGGCATTTTGAGAGAAAATTCCCGAGGACCGGTCAAAAAGAAGAAGACAAATTTTTGGGGATCCCCTAGAGATTTACATTCGAGGGAAAGACCCAAATGGATTCTTTGCCCGATCCTTTCTTGGCCATTCCTTTTGTCCACCACCAAAAAAGAGAAAATAACCTCATTTGTAACATTGAATCGACAAAGGGAAAAGGGGCAATGTTTCAAAAGAATGTGTTTTGTCTCGAATGCAAATTGATGGAGAGGGGAGGGATGGATGAATCACAGCCGATGAAATCGAGAGACAAGGCTGACAATGAGTACGCTTTAAGTATCAAGGTCTATCTTGCTGAACATCTTGACGATATGCAGGAGTTCAAAGCTATTAAAGCCATTCTGTTTCTTATTCCAGTTACAGTATCTCAAATGCAAAATTGAAGATGCAAGAGAAATTTGAATTTTTAGAAACGGACAAGTGTGAGAATTATAGTGTAAAGTGTAGGATACTTGAGATAAAAGAAAGATCCAAAGCCCAGTAGAAATTTCAAACCTCAATCCATGATCAGTTCTAGATAAGTACCAAGTGCCAAGCTTTTGCCGAATACTCGGCCAAACATTCACAATGTACTTTTGCGCAGAACTTTTTATAGACTTATCAGCTTTGAATAGTTTTAATAGCATTTGATGGGAAGATCATTTTCTAGTAAAGCTATCAAGTCTATGAAAAGTTATGAACTAAAGTACATCGGTAGATCATCGGATTACTGTAAATTACCATATTGTAGTTTGACCATACAGTAGTAGGTACTAGACATGGGAAAATTCCAACCCGAACTTAATTCCACTATCATTTTCTTGAGCGATTGCTCTAAAATTTTGTCTACAGATAGAAATCGACATTTTCAGCTTGTAAACAAAATTGCAGAGCAATCGGCCAAGAAACGGACGAGAAAACGAAGGTGGAATTAGGTTCGGATTGGAATTTCTCCAATTGTCTAGTGCCTACTACTGTATAATAAAACTACTGTAAACAGAATGCAAAAAAAGTAAATTCGTTAGCCAAAAGAAGCGTTTCATAGAGGATACTAAAATTTGAGGATCTTCTTGTCCTATGACACCACGGATCAGCTCTCCAACTGATATATGAATGAAATGAGAGGGGAAAAGAGTCACAAATGGAAAAGGGGAAATCTTCTTGAATTCATTTGAAATGTTGAATGGTTTTCCTTTTGAAATCGATGCTTTCCCTTCCCCTCATCCCCCAATCCACCGCACGCAATCCTTTCTCTCCCAATTGGTGCTTTGTGTGACAGCTGGTACCATTCACAAAAAGCCTATCTTAAAAAAAAAGCATTAATTAGTTCCGAACATCATTATCCTGTCTTTTACAAATTCAAGTATATTTTTGGCAATCTGGCATCATGCAAAACCCTATTGCTAACAGGCTAACGCCCATTGAGTGGTTGTTGCTATATTTTGAGCATAAATCTGATATCGGAGACAGCCTAGTACGAGTTGCTTTAGAGGTGAGTTACCTGTTGATGCACCAGTCACAGCAGTATCATCAGTGGTTCTAAATTCATTTTTCTAGGCCAAGACGAGGAGCAGACCGGTATCTACTTTCTAGTTTGTCTTCTGACTTGACTCGGTTTTATCTGGTTGATTGGACTGGTTCACGTTCTAGGGTCAAGAAGCCAAGTCAAGCCAACCTAGCCAATGACCTAGCCAATGACCTAGACCTAGCCGGTCTCTAGCTGGCTTACCCTGTTAAAACATCTCTCACTAGTCTAGTCACGAGTCACTAACTAAGGAGTATTCATGACTTTAGTGATATAACCTTTTTGTCTGATAGCAACTAAGCCAGCTAATAGAACGATGAATGGATTTGGTACTGGAATCGGTCTGCAAATATCATATTTTTAGACAGGCAAGGTCATTGTTCTAATAGAGTTAATTGAAATAAACCAGTAGCCTATAACTACCTAAAATACAAGAAAGATAGATATAATATCCATCAAACTTTTAAAAAAGAAACATTGCATTACAAATTTGAAAAGCAGAGGGGCAAATAAATCGAAAATCCCTCGAAAATCCCCTCGAAAATCTGGTGGATTTGGATGAAATAAAGAGGGGAAAAGGGCAAAAAAAAGAAAAAAAAATTTTAAAAAATCGATCGAGAAAATGAACATTTCCTTTGAATGGTGAGAATTTTAAAGAAGTCTCAAAGAAAAAAGTCTCAAAAAAAAGTTTATTTAAAGGGGTAATTATAGGGAAATTTTTGAGGTCTTTTTTTGACTCAAAAAGCGGATTATTTTGATTTTTGTGATGAAATTTTTCTACCGATCATCAACAAACAAGGGAATTTGAATAGGAAATGGGGGTGAGGGATTGAAGGGGGACAACAAGTATGTCTACTATTCGAAATCATAAAATATTTGGAGTAATAGACGATAATTACAGTAAGAATCTATAGAAATTTGAGAATAAAGCATTTTTTTTTGCAGGAACAGATTGCCGGGTTGACTCTGGTTTTATCTATAATCCTGTAAAGTTAATCTATTCCTCGAATTGTGGCAAATTGTAGTAATAAAGAAAAGTTTTTGGAATTGGCAAAAAAAAAGTCGATTCTGGAGAGGGGATTAAACCCTAGACCATTCGCTTTCCGAGCAATTGTTCTACCACTCAGTTATCTGGACTCTTACTTTGCCAAGACAAAGAAGGAAATAGGAAGAAGAAAGGAAGAAAGGAAGAGTCACATTGTTAGATATCATATGCGTTTCATGAAGCCAATACCAATAGCCAAAGTTTAATCAATCCAATCCATGAATCGAATATCCATGAATCCAATCCAATCATGAGTCAGATCAGATTCATTAACAGATCTAATCCGATTTTCAGCGAATTAAACTCGCTAGGGTCTCGAGTTGGGAATAACAATGTAAAATGGGTAACGCCGGGCTCTCGCTGGTTCGAATCTCGCTTCCCGAGCGAGCGTTCTATCAATGAGCAACACTAGTAAAGTAGTTGCAGAGTTTAATTGTTTCTATGCAAAAGTGAACTCAAAGCTTATAGATGATCTGTTTTTCCAAAGAATAATTAAAACTTAAAATTTGATTTCCTTTGAAAATCCCTGGGAAACCCATTGACAATTTAACGATTTAGAGTACCAATAACTTTTTCAAGGTGACAGTATATAAAATCCAAAAAAATGTTCAAATATCTCCCTAATTTTAGCTAAGAATTGATCCCACTTTTCTCATCGTTTTTAACATGAATATTCAGAGAAAAAAGGGAAAAAAGAGGGGAATGGAAAGGAAAGGAATGATTACTCATTTGGAAACGAAAAGAAAAAGTTGTATTTTATTGCCGAGAAAAGAAAAGAAGAGAATGTGGTGATGGATAAATGACTTTAGATGAATGAAGATTTCCAGGGAGTACCAGGTTTATTGATATCCAAGGAGGTGAGTCGGTGCCATTAGCTTCTCAAAGAGAGACTCCTTCAGAAGCTTTGATTCTTCAAAAAGCTCAAGATTCTTCGAGTAAATCTTATTAACCGAACTCGATAGTGAAACTGATTATTCAAGTTCTAAACGGGGAAAAGCCTGGGATCTAGGGTTCGAGGGTTCGACTTCAGTCAGTCAAAAAGTAAAAAAGTGCAGTCAAAAAGTATGCAAATTTTTGAATTTTCGAAAACGCGTCTCCCATTATTTTTAATTCTCTATCTGCTGCCAAATTTATAGCCAAATCGGCCAAATTTACAGCCAAATGGGGCTAAGATTTGAAAATGTTGACAGACGGACGCGCTAGACTTTTAGATATAAGTGAGATCACTAGGTAATTGGGCAAGAGCCTCAAAGCGCCCGTAGCCTAGGCTGTTATGATTGATTGGTACGGCTCACAAATGAGGCTTACGATAGAAGACGACGGTTCGGTTACGGTAGCCGGGCATGCTCTAGAGCGCCTTTTTTGTTAAGCTGGGTTACGGTGGCGTGTCCAAGTTTGTCACGAAGGACGTTCAGTGGGTCAATTTATAGTATTCAGGGTGAAGTAAATACACTTGAACTTTTCAGTTACGGTATTCGGAGCATCTTTTTCAGATGGGAAAATTTCTCGACTTCATCTTTTCTGTAAACTTTGCTACACTACCGTAACCCAGCCTTGGCCTTCTATCGTAAGTCTCATTCTCTATAGATCTATTTTTAAAAAAGTCATTTAAACTCAGCCAACAAGTAGCTTTGTCTGGAAGAGAAAAAACGGATACTATTTTTAAGTGATCTACAAAATGTTTCTCGTCGGGGGGTTCGAGAAGAAGAACGAATGGATTGAATGGAAGGGAAAGGAGAGGAGGGGATAATTTGCTTGGGATGAGGCTGAGGCCTGGGGTGTCTCCTCCTCTTCTGAATGTGCCTGTTCCACTGCCCTCCTCCCCTTTCCCTCAAAAACATTCTCCCACCGTTCTCTTCCCTTCTTTCTATCCAAAAGCTTCGCTCTTTTCTCTAAATTTCTTTCAAAGAACGAGTGTTCGAATTCAGGAACATTTCTAAAAGGAAAAGGAAGCAAAAAAAAAAAAGATTGAAATTGCCCGTTGCATCGCAAACGAAAAATATAAAAATTTTCGAGAAAAGAAAGAAAATTTTCTCGTCAAGAAGAATGAATTCATGCGAAAAGCAATGAAATGAATTCAATGGTCAACAGGAAGTTCAAAGAAAAGACTCACGAATTGTTCGATTGAGTGCCACAATTCGGAGATTGTAAATTTCGGCTTTGATGTGTAAGTTTTTTCCGTAGAGTCAAAATCAGAAATTTATTACGTGAAAAATACGTGGATTTTGAGCTGATCCCCTATTCACAAAATCATTAAAAAAACAACTTAATCTTGTTGTGTGACGCCTAAGACAAGACCAATTTTTGACACCAAGATGAGCCTTGAAAAATCAACGAGAAAATTTTACCAGGCTCAAACCGATGACCACTTTTTTTTCAGACATCCTGTAAATGGTAATTAGCATTAACCGAACAAGACTCGCAAATGTAAATTGGATACGAAGCAGTGCTCTTCGATTAAAGACATCGGCTTCGTTTCTATTTAACACTAAGAATATTCAAGTTCTACTTTATCCTTCAGATTTGCAAATTCATTTCAAGAGAGGATTGAGGGAGTCAATTGATGAATTCTGGGAAATGAGTGGAAGAAGAAAAAGGATGATTGGTGGGAGAAAGGAGAACGTGTTCATCAATCAGAAGAAAAGACTTTGAAAGGGAGGGGAAGCTGTCACAAACAGAAAAAGGGGAAAGGAAGAGGGGACATTCATCTTTCAAGGACACTCATTTACATGCAACAACTGAGATGGATTAAAGAATGGGATGGATGAGGGATTGAGGAGATTAAGGAGATAAAATCTTCTGAAAATCTTTTTGCCATGACACTGATTCGGTATGATAAAAGTTCGCCAGAGTTGGGCTAGTCGAGCTGAAAGCTACTACAATCTTTTTGATCTATAAAATTCATCTTTCAGTGCAACAATTCCCCAGAAGTTTAGCTTTATTTAAATCGTATAATACACCCGTAAACAGCAAACTTTAAAAATTGGCAAAAATATGAAAATTACAGCTCTTTTATGACTAACTAACTTTTCATCATAGACACTAGAAATCCCAAGCGAAAAATTACAAAAAAAACAGGAATCATTTTCATTCCGTTATTCATTCTTCAATTGATTCGACATCCACCTCAATCTTTGACTTGAAGCAATTTTTGTCATTGAACTCCTTGATGAACTCATTTGTTGATTTCCCGTTTGCTGAGAAGAGATAAGTTGACGGGACTTTCACCTAAAATAGCAATCGTATGACGAATATTTATACAACTAACATTTAGTACATCCGGAAGCATGAACGGTTTCAGCCATCCGACAAGAGGATTTTGACCGGCAATATAGTGAACCTAAAATAAGGAAAATCTACAAAAAACAAAGACAAACAACCTCGGAATAGTAAAAGAGAAGACCATCGAGTGTAAATGGAAAATTTTGTTGCATAAAAGTTTCCATTGCAGAAACCTCACATAAACAACTGGGCAAAAGGATGAATTTCTTCTCATTGCTAAAATAAAACTTTAGTTACAAGTTTGAAAAATTAAAATTGCACATACTTCCTTGGCGACGAGAGTTCTTCAATCCGTGATCTCAAGAAAAATTGTCGAAACGCAAAATCGTTGTCCGTGTACGCCTAAATACATACAATTACATGAATAATCCCCAAAACTTACAGCTCCTTTCCAACACAACAAATCCAAACAGTAAACATTTCTGTCTGATCCAAGAATACAGTCGAGAATCGTGTAAGCCTGCGTCTCTAAAAATATAACAAAATATCAATTGAATCAATTGAATCAAAGTGTTGTTGATTGAATGAGACAAAAACTTACTTTGGCTACCACGTCCTCCCGGAAGAGCTGAGGCAAATTGTGAAATGAGTTTTCCATTTTTTGCATAAGCTGTCGTCACTCCTTGACTTGCAACAATTAGACATCGACGACCGACTGGACATGGTACCATTATCTGAAATGGCAATGATAACAAACTTATTCAGTGTCCGTATTGCTGTAACAATATAAGCATTCTCACATATCTCCCACCCATTCATGTTGCATCATCTCTTTATCGGGAATGTCCACCAACCACTCGCTCGTCATCAATTGATTTTCGTAGGGACTATAAAAAGTAGTTAATAAAAATCTGTTTAGAGCTACTTTCTCTTCTGTCGAGGTTGTGTTCGAGATGTCGATTCCGAGCTCTCTTTCGTTGCATCATCAAGTTCAAGATCTTCTGTAGCTTCAGTAGTCTCTTCATCATCCTCTTCTTCCCATGGACCTTGCGCAAGTTGCCGCATCTATAATATTGAATTATCTAGCCAACGATTTTAAACTCACTTTATTGTGATGATCGATGCGCGCATTCCGTTGACGATCCAATGCGTCCGCCCTTCGATTCGCTTGAGCCTCGGCTGCCTAAAGAACAAAATTATTTATGATACATATACGTTCCGAGTAAAATCGAATAGTCGTTAAAACTATTGTAAAAGAAAGCACAAACCTTGGCTGTATTTTTGAACATCGAATATCGTGGATGCGTCCCGAGAGCATTCGGATCCACCTGCATTCCACTGGTCATCGCTTCCGTCAAATCGTCCATCTTTTGTCTCCTGAAACTAGATCATAATACCTAATACAGTTTAGTACTGTAACTCTCCAACCTTGCAAACAGTTACAACTTCAAATAATAATCATTAGACGGCATTAACCATTTCCTCAAATTAAACAAGCTTGTATAAGACTTTATTTCACAATAAAATATAGGATAAAATCCAACAACAATAGGCAACAATCAAGCTAACCAAGCGCATAAACTCTGTAAAATAAACAACAACAATTGGAATAACTAACAACTAAATGCTTGTTAAAGATCAAAAAACAACTTTTTTTGACCATTTTTCCCTTTCTTCGTCGATTTCTTTGATGCAATTGGGTCGGCAACAGGTTCAGCCTAAAAAACAATCATTTACGAGTTTCCAAACTTGAATATACCTCTTATTTAACATTTATTGGCATAAAACTATTTGCCAACAAGTTCCTTCGTCATTTTTAAATTGATTAACAATGTTTGATCTTATTCTTGAGCGGTTATTCTATCTATTCATCGCTTCACAGGCATCACTCATCATCGTTTGTGGTGGTGGTGAGAAAAAGATTTGGAACTTTGATTTTAAAACATTTAACGTCAAACACCCTTTAGAAACCACCTCTGAAACGAGCCCGGCACGAGAAAAGCATGATGATGAAAAAACAATGCTATCCAATAAAGTCAAGGGACCCAACTTTTCCGTCATAAATTTCTTCAGTGGGGTCTAAAAGAGAAATCACAAAAATCCGAAGCGCTCAATAGGATAAATCTCGACTAGGATAGAAAGCTGAGGGATTTTTAAGCTATAGTGGTAATTTGGCCTTAATAAACTTTAAAACTAAATATTATTTTTCAGGATGTTTAAACAAACTCTTCAACGCGCAAGCTGCCCAAAACAAGAAGTATTTTTACTTTGTTTTTATGAAATAAAGATTTACGTCATTTTCTTCTACTCAACAAAGCACAGTCTTTCGTAGACAATAACCCCACATTAGTTTGAGCTGTTTAAGGGTTATATTTTTTTAAAATAAACTACCTTTGCTGCTCTGCTTGCACTTTTTCTCTTCAACTTTGAAGCGACCGTTTGTTTGCGATAGCTTGGCTAAAACAACGTGAAAGAAAAGTTTTTGAATAGTTGCTTACAGTCAAAACTTTCATTTTCTTCGATTGACCATTTTTGCTGGGATTCTAAATTTTAAAGTTAACCAATGAGTGGCATTAACTAATACCTTTTTCCGATGTTTGTTTGATCTGACATTAGTCAGAGCTTTAGATTCCTCTATTTCTTCTTCATCATCTTCTTGTTCTTCCTCAGCTTCGGATCCACTTGTAGAATCAATGATCAACATCTAAAAAACTATTAAAAGAAATTAAAGTTTATTCACTTGTTTTGGCGAATTAAACTTTGGCGCAGTGGGATCTCGTAGAAATTCTTGAAGGGCTGTTTTCATTTGAGAACCATTGACGACTTTCTTTGGTGTTTCTTCAAGCATCTTTCCATTCATCCCAGGAATCTAAAAAGAATTCTTAATATCTTTTTAAGTTCTAATTAGCTTCATAAAACCTTACATTCTTTGATGAAGTTTCCACCGGCACATTTTCTTGCTCTTGTTTTTCAATTAAATTCCGCTTGCGCTTCGAAGACTAAATGTTAATTGTGGGCTTTTTCAATCAAATACTATTTTTCTACTGCACAAAGATACTTACATTCTTAGACGTGCTTTCGTTTAAAACATTTGTCTTTAGAGTTGTCATTAATGAGCGTTTAGTGTCGCTTGGTAGCTCCGACATACAATCATCACTCCAAACAACTAGATCTTTTTCCAAGATTGTTGAAACCTGAATTACCATAAGATCAAATTAATATTGAACACTTTACCATTGCTTTTCCCATTAAACCGATTTCTTCATAAATCTCTCCTTTGTTCACCACCATTTCACCCTGTTCATCGCTGTCGAGTTTGTAGAGAGAAGCTTTATAAATCTAAAGGCAATTTTCACTTCTGCTACAATACCCAAATACTTTTGCTTTCATTTTCATCACTGGATCATTCCATTTGAGGCCAATCTCCCCCGCCGAATATCGATCATAAAAGAATAGCGCCACCTGAACATTAATCTATTAAAACAATTATTGAATCCTCATACCTTTTGGAAATCATTTTGTAACCGTTCCACAAATAGTTCCACTGGATGAAAATCGAGAACCGGTAGATTGAATTCGGTCTAAATAAGAGTATTAGGATTATCGAATCTTCCACCGAACCTGTAATCCCTTAATCTTCACTCTGTGACGGTCAACGTGAAAGCTAGGATGAATCATAATCTTGGCATCAAATTGGAGCTCTTGCTGTTGAAAAAGGTGCTGAAATTAAAGAATTAAAGTTTTTTTTACTTCATAATTACATTCAAATCCCCAGTTGTTTCGCTTGTAAAACAATCTTCAATTGACTGACACGAGAGTGAGGCAACGGCAATTAAACGTCGCATCAAAGTTGGCGTTGGTGTTTCTGTTGTCCACCTAATCGAGAATTGAGAGAATAATTTTGAAAACTCAATACATTGTGCCTATTGGATCTTCTTGAGTTGCGATAACCATTGGAGGGAGAACGAAACGCGTTGCAACGAAATCAGCTTCAATTTTGGCCCGAGATTCATCTAAATCGATTTTTTCGCATTAGTTTGTTTTGATCAAAAACATTTACCAGTCGATTTTTCATCAAGGTCCACAATCAGCGGTTTCTTTAGCCAATCATGTGTAGTCAGAAGAAGGAGAACTTTGTAGAAAGCAGCAGCGGCTGATCTAAACCGACAATATTGGTTGGTACTTATTAGTTTATTTACGCACCTTGGAATTGAATTTGTCTCAAAAACTGCAGCAACTAAAAGTTCGATGGCCAAATTATGTAGATATTCGGAAAGCATTTGACGACCTAAAATTATGTTAACAATAAACTCGCGTGAACTATTACCTAGCCAATGCTTAAACAGTTGACACGCAGCTGCAAAGTGTCGATACTTCAGTGAAAGCGCTCCCAACCGTTGCTTAATACCCAACTCAGTTTTGTAACTAAAGATTTGTTTAATGAAAAAAGATGAGCTGTTAATTACATCTTGGTAAAGTGAGCCAATCGAATGTTTTCTGTTGATTTGTCGACCCGCTCCATTCCACTATTCTTCATATTCTCTACCTAAGGTTGGAAATTGAGAGTTAATCAGAAAAAGTTTCTTTTTCTTACCTTTTGGCCCAAAATTGCCAAAATTTTCTCATTTACAATAACAATTCGAAAAGCCGTTTTATCCTGAAAAAGATAATGCTTGTTGAACGCAAAGACTTCAATACCACTTGCACATAAAGAGCTCCCGTAGTTGGATGGCAATGAAGACCGCACTGCTTTCTAAAAAAAAGCAATGCATCTTGTACAAGGGAATCAAAATACTTGAGTTGTTCCGACAAAAGCACATAAAAAGCGATGATGAATTGACGAATGAGCTCCACATCGTTTCCCCAATTATAGGAATATTCAAGACGGATGAATACTAAAAAGAAAATTTGAATTAATTAGATCGATTTAAATCAAATTCCGCACCATCAATCGATCGAGTCCAAAATGGCCCCTCTTTTTCATTGGGAAGAGCGATGCTCAAGGAGTCATCAATTTTGCTCGAATCCACCGTAAATCTCACAGAAGACTCCAATGGCTAAAATATAAACATAATTTCTTTATACCATTCAAAAGTATACCTCAGTTCCTCTCAAAAATGGCGATGTTCCAATAACAGTGGTCACTCTCAATGGGATATCCTTTAATCCACGAAGGTATTCGTTCAATCGTGCAAAAGCCTAAATTAAAAGTAAATATTGTTTTTAGAAAGAAAAACTGCCTATGTTGATTCGTAAGTTAATAGTGTTTTCTTTCATGCATAAACCCACCGAAGTAGTGATATCAAATGTGGGCTTGTGTGGCAAATACAGCGAGTTCACATGGCAACATGAAACAATCGAAGATGGAAGAATGGAGAACTTTCTGAAAGGGGAGAATGATAAATAAGCTAAATCTGAGCTAACGTGTCAAGAAGGAAAGTCAAAATTTGATTTGGTACATCATCATTTCCATTCTTTGCCCACAAAACCGCTTCTTTGATCGTGTTGTCGCCAAATTTCCTTAACTCGGATTTCTCGCCCCAGAATCTGAAAAAAATTTAAATTAGTGCTAGCTATGTTGTATCAATGAGTATTTAATTCGGAAATGGAGAACGCTTCAAAAATATAAATCTTAGTATAAAACTTACTCTCTAAACGTCGCCGCTTCGGGAAGATTTCCAATAGGGCCAGTTGTCAGTGGGTTTGACCAATCTGTAGATGCTCGAAACGCAATAAAGAACTCAAAGTTCGAGGCAAGAATCTAGAAATCGAACATAACTAGTTAAAACTTTCTTCAATCACCTGCTTGTCTCCAAAATGTTTGCAATAAATGCCGATGTCGTCAAAACGTTCACCCATTCCTTCAGTCAAAGCGTCAATCAAATGTTTCGCGAATGTTTTGAGGCGATTTCCCTAAATAAACATTGAAAACAAAATTTTCCTTCAAGAAACTCACCGATTTTGAGCCATTTGTACTGTGCACTTTCTCATCAAGACAATCCGTCGAGACAGAAACCCTAAAATGGAATATTGCGAAAGGAATACACAAATCATTTACCTGTAATAAAAATCGAAAAGTTTGCAGAAAGTTTTTTTTTCGTTGTAGAATTTGTCGTCTCCGGATGATGGTGATGGTTCAGTCTCGCGACGAGATGATTTTGACTAAAAGAAATGATAACTTCGCGGAATCTTTAAGTTTCCAACCCCTTTTTCCTCTTTCTCAACAGCCGATGAAGAGCTCCTTTCTCGTTTCATCTGCAGCTGAAAAAAAATTATTATAAACGCGGTAAGAGAATTTCAAAGAGGAAACAAAAGCAGTGAGCACGAAACGGTAAAATGAACTAATTCGATGATTTTGCATTTTATAGCTTCTTTAAGCATTAAAGATATTCAGTTCAAAACTTGAAAGTGCTTTTCCAAACAGTACCAAGCTAGTACTACCAACATGACATGTGCTATCGTGTCGCCAAAAGCCGTTTGCTAAAATGCATTTGGCGACCCGATGGCATATGTCTACTACCAGCCTACTAATAACGCACTGCCTACCGTAATACCTGTAATAGTAGCGCCCGTACAGTCGCGTAGTAGCAAAAAATTTTTACTAAATCATTTTTCTAAGCATCCATAATTTCTAAAAATGCATGTTTGTTATCAAAAAACAGCCTTGAATTTCAGCTTTCATTTGATACTTAAGGGCACACTGTAGCATAAACGGGTGGCGAGAAAAATGCGTTTAAAGTTAGACTACGCGACGCTCCGACTGTCATTATGGGCGGCGCTACTATTACGGGTATTACGGTAGCCATTTTGGGGAGTGGGGAAAATGCTATCTTTTTTTGCGCACCCGGCCCATTAGCGCACCTTTTTTCGCGTTTTAAAAAAGCTCTAAAAAGCTAATATTAACCAATTTCTATCCCAAAAGTTATTTTTCTGGGTCATTTTAGGGCGTAGAATCCAAATTTTGACATATCAGAGCATGTGGAAGCAAAGCAAACGGACGGAGTTATACATAGAGAAAAATCGACAATTTTCTGTAATTTGACCTACCCATTTTATCTTTCAAATTGGTTCCACAAGCTCTGATATGTCAAAATTTCGATTCTACGCCCTAAAATTACCCAGAAAAACAAACTTTTGGAATAGAAATTGGTTAATATTAGCTTTTTAGAGCTTTTTTAAAACGCGAAAAAAGGTGCGCTAATGGGCCGGGTGCGCAAAAAAAAGAACGCATTTGTCCCACCCCCGCATTTTGCATTTTTCGAGAGATTTTTGATATCTGCTTGTGTTATTTCAACAAGAATCCCTTGATAACTCGTAATTTGAAAGATTTATTGCCTTTCAATCAGAAAAGAATCGACGGAAATCACGGAAATCGGTAGAAATCTTCACAAAAACTAATTGTTAGCCAGCTTTCAAGAAAGCACACGGATAATGGTGATATGTTCTAAAGAATCGATCTAAAGAATTATGGGGAAATCGTGTTTTGATGGAAATGTGTAGGAAATATGAATTTCTGGAGTGAGAAATTAATTATGCCTTTTTTTTGTTGCTAGTGTTGGAAGAAGTCATCACAATTGCGGGAGAGAAAGTTTGGAGAATGAGAGAAAAATAAAGGAATAACAAAAAAGAACCCGAATCTCGAATACACTCAGAGTCAGAGAAAAGAGGAAAAAGAAGGGGCAATGTAGGAAGTTCAGAGGGTTACTGTATCCAGATAATTCACCGATACCCCACAGGTACAGTAATCGACTTGGAGAGTTAAAACTGTTATCAAAAGGTTATTTTGTCTGATTGCTTGTTTGAACTTCATAAAACCCATTTAAACTTTCTATATTGCCAAGAAAAAGAAAAGATGATTTTGTGTTACAAATGGGAATCACCCGAAATGAGTCTCGTTGTATCGGATCCTTGTCGAGTAAGAGAACCCTGGCGACGGAGATATTTGCCGCCTGAAATGTAAGAAGTGATAGTGATGACGAACATGATTTTAAATCAATCTGATCGTTTGGCCTACTTTGTACTTTGGGTACTGTAGTCTACTAGTACTTTGGGTACTGGAGTCACTTTGGGTACTGTAGTCTATTAGTACTTTGGATACTGTAGTCTACTAGTACTTTGGGTACTGTAGTCTACTTTGGATACTGTAGTCTATTAGTACTTTGGGTACTGTAGTCTACTTTGGGTACTGTAGTCTACTAGTACTTTGGGTACTGTAGTCTATTTTCTCTAATTTTAGAAATCTAATTCTCACTACCAGAACTTTGCCAAGAGATCAAGCTATTTGTATTTGACTTTATTTTAAACTCTGAATAGCTTTGTTCTAGATCAAATAGTACCGTGCTTTGTGCTTGCATAAACGCACGATCTCTGGCAACGCTCTGATTCCTTAATGAATGCCAGATGAGTATGCCAGAAAGAGCACAAAGTACAACTATAGAATATCCAAGTAATCCAAAAGTAAATCCCTACCCGCAGGCAGCATTGGCAGCGTCGAATTGATCAACAAAGCCAACAACACTAACAAAGCGCCGACAACAAATGGCGGACCGGGTATCAATTGCCAATCGAAAGCCGGCTTATCTGTGATAACCTGAAAGACTTTTATTGGAAAGCATTCCTTTTTCCCAAACTGTTTCATTTCTTCTCGGCGTGAGCACTTTTTCGTTCGATTGATAGGATATCCGTCGAATATTCGGTACGGGGAATTGAGGTCCAACCTGGGAATTTCATATTTTTGTGTATCTTTAAATTGTTACTCCAAGGTGTCCTGTTCCATCTCCATCTTCATTTAAATCGACATCAAATAGATAGAAAATGAAACCGAAAAGAGCTGGGCCAAAGCCTGAAAATATTGGATTATCAATTCCGTAATTACACAAGGGTGAGCCGGCCAAATGCTATGCGACCTATACCATTCGACGCAGAATTTTATGCTGATTCCGAATCTGTATTCCGTTTTCGTTAAATGACAATCTGTCGGGAGTTACTCTAAAGTTTTGTTAGGACTCTAAAAATGTGGTCATTTGAGTCTTAACGGTCTCCTTGAGGGTCAAATTTAGTGCAGCCGTGGCCGAGTGGTACAGCGTTCGTTTCCAGGGCGAGACCGCACAAGTTCGACCCCTACTTTGCATTTTCCTTTTCTTTTTTCAATTGCCGACTAGTGTTGTCACACAAGATATTTCTTGTTGTCATGAATGGTCGCATAGCATTTGGTCGGCTCAGCCAGTTGACCTTCCCTTGTAAGATGCATTCAAAAACATGCCCGGCTATCGTAACCCGGACCAGCTTTACATCGTTTGATCCTTAGGCTTGCGTTACAATAATCTTTACGACTACAATAGGATTACTGTAACTATTAACTAGGGTTACGATAGCTGAGTCACTCTTTAAAGTGGCTTTGAACTGAATCTACCTTGGCACAATCCCCTTATTCCTGTAATGACTCCTTGCACAGTCCCTTGTCGATCTTTATCCGATAAAATCGATACAAAAGCCGATATTGATGGATATGTGATTGATGACATTGCAGCTAGGATCCCCGCAGCCCACATCATCCAATATCTCAAATGGGGAAAGTAAAACAAGGCTACAATGATACTTTAGTAGGAGTACTGTAGCTTGTTGTTGTTGTTTAAGCTCGTTTCAATCACTTACTGTGTCCCCAATCCATACCACAACAGCTGTGCTAATTGGAATACCAATCCGAGTGTTATCGTGTGTTTTGTCCCCCACCAATTCGTCAACAAAAGCAGGAAACCCGTCTGAAAATTTGCATATAAGATAATGTATGGTTTTTGAAATAACTTTTCTACATGATTCACTGACTTGTGCAATCACTGATAGAATCCCGACGACTCCAATAAAAGCCGAAACAGCTTCCGATGAAAAACCGACAACCTGAGAAAAGATTGGAACAAAAAAAAATGAAAGTTAACGATAAACAAACCAATTTGAGATACACAAAGAAACAGCTGAATTGACCGGATTCGGGAAGATATGAAAGGAAAACGATCGTCGACAATTGGAGGACTAATCTGAAATCGAATCCGGGTTTTAAATTCTTAAATAATTTGGCAACCTAATCTTTCCTTCAGAATTTTTTTCTATTATACTTAATTTAAACTCTTCGATTCACAGTTTAATTCCTCGACGAATCAGAAGATTATGATTAAGTAAAGTGATTAAGTAAATTGGACAAAATCTGAAAGCAAGATTGTAGGATTGTCAAATTACGCGCACTTTTCGAAAACGCATTACTCTCGAGAGGACTCAAAGGTTTCTCATTCTCCTTTCTGCTATTGGTACTTCTTAGTCTTTTGATCACTATTCAAACTCACTTATCATCCCAAACAATTCGCAGTGATGCAAATGGATCAGCGGTTTGCCAACTGAATGAATCTTGTGACATTTTCTTGTTTGGCAACGATTCAGGCACAAAAAAGACGATAAAGAAGACATCAAGAGCTGCGACGGCAGTGGCCTGAAATGAATGAGTTGAAGAAGGTGATGGCTCTAGTAGAAAAGTACTGAATACTCTTTAGTCTCTTTATTACAGAATAGAAAATGATAATATTAAAAGCTAGGCTCAGATCTCGATCTTCAAAAAAAAAACTTATAAGGTACATCTTTCGATGATAGTATTTTGTCAATCGGAGATCCATTTTCTCATTGCAAAACCACAACCACAATATGATGTCACTCTTTTTTTTTGTTACAATTTCACAAATTCTCACCAAAAACACGACCACTCCATCACTGTATCTTTCAGACAAATACGCACCCAAAGCCGGTGATGTAACGAGAGAAGCGGCAAATGTCGCCGAGACTGAAACAGAAAAGAAACTCACAGGTTTACAAAAAACAAAGGACTTTATCTTTTAACCCTGAATACTTCTTTCCGGCTCCAAAAAAAAGCTACCCTGATCGAAATACCTCAGAAAACCGGATTATCGATTCAATTTGTAACTCACCCAAACCATAAGCGGCACTTCTATCCTGTTTTTCCGTAATATCGGCCACATACGCGAGCACCACCGAGAAAGTCACCGAAAAGAGGCCCGAAATTGAGAAAAGTGAAAAATACCACCTGGAAAATAGTTGCACTTTAGGAAAGTGTTTTCCTTTCACTTACCAGGGACTAATTTTTAAACACGGAATAGGCATACATGTACAGAAAACAGTGAGAATCAAGAAGACTTTTCGACCCCAAATATCAGATAATGCACCGACGAGTGGAGCTGAGAGAAATGAGAGAATACCCTGGAAAATCGATTCGATTGAATTGCGCAATTTTTTGTTAATCCCTGTTCTAAAAAGCCGGGCCAGCTCAGATAATATCAGGGCTGGATATAAGCCAGAAACAAGACCTAGGCCCGGTTGGAATAGCCCTGCTGCTTTTAGATTGCTTTAAGCTGACAATAGGCTTACTGTAACGGTTTATTGTAATCAGTCTAATATCCTAAAGCGCAATTTAATCAGAAAGTACTGTAAAAAATATAGTAATCTTATAATATACCTTGATCCCGAGCACCAAACCATTCATCAGAAATTTGTTTGTCGGAAATGTTTCCGCCAATACCTAAAAGAGAATGAGTTTGTGAGCAAAAGAATTCTGGAATTGAGTATGGAAAATTTTAAAATTATTCAAAATCTCTGAAAGCTCACATTAATCACAGGCACAGTGAGGAGACCCCAAGCGAAATATTCGAGAAAAATGACGACAAGTGCGTGGGAGACTGAAGCACCCGAAGAATGACCTGAATAATTATTATAAATATATCTTATCAATATTTTCATTATATATGTCGTAGCCGCTTACGAAATTCGGCCGATTACGAACGATTCGTTAGCGGCTAGCGAAAAACTTCATTCGTTAGCGGCTGAATTTCGTAAGCGGCTACGACATATATATAATCTAAAATCTCTTTTATTTCTTACCTTTCAAATCGAAATCTTTACTCCGCCTTTTGCCCAACATTAACGACCAAAATGAGCGGCGGCGAATTTGCGTCTGAAGGGAATCTTTTAGAATTTGATAACAATTAAAATTATCTATAAATTCTATGAAAGATATAGATTTTCACCTCTCCACTCATCGTGAGCTTTGTTGTGATGGGTAATTGAAAGGGTTTCTTTTTTGACAATTTCTCCTCGTTCGCACACAATTCAACTAAAAATGGTCAATCAATTGATATAATGATTTTCGAAAACTACCGTATACTTTTCAATGTAGTAATTTGTTTTCTAACATTTGTCCACTTTTCGAAAGCTACCGTTACCTTCACTCGAATTTTACCCAACTATCACCTTTTGAACTCACAGAATCAGATCAAAAGCATCGATTGGATAAAAAAAGAGGTACGATTATGGTGATCAAGAAAGAGGGCACGTTTTAGAAAACAAATTCTAACTCTAAGATTACAGTAATTGAAACTTTTCTCACGGAACACTTCAAAAGATTTTCTTCCAAAATCTCCACTCACCAAAATAAAAATTCTGCATTCAATTTGTTAGCTTTGTTAGGAGAGATAAAAAAATCTCTCCAATATAAAAAATTAGAATATTTCTCTTTTCCAAATGTGTTCCACTTTTGCAATTTCCTTCAAATTTTCCCCATTTTTTTCTTTACCTGGATGTACCTTTGCGGGAATTGAGGAATGAGTGAAAGAACCGCGCATCACCTGAAAATAAAAAGAGAAAATGAAGAAAAATAGAAGATAGATATAATTATAGATTAGATAAATTAGATATAGAAAAAGAGAGCTAGGTGTTTCTTTTTATTGATGGATTTTTGTGGATATCACAGTCTCTTTTCCCCCTTTCTCTTCTCTTTTACATAAAAAACAGGTTCCACTTGACGCGCAACGATTTTAGACAAAAAAAAGAGAGGAAAAAAAGAGGGAAAAGCTGAGATTATTGATGACCTTTTGGAATAAAATGGAGGATTTAAATTTCTTTTTAGAGTACCGGCCGTAATCAGCAAATTTCTAAAATGTGTCAACTTTTGTCAACTACCGTAATTCTGTCACTATTTTTTATCCAATCCATCAACTTTTCGTATTTTTACTGCTATCCTTCGTGAACTTTCACAGAATCAAAACAAACTAGATAGATTGGATAAAGCAAGATGAGAGATTACTGTAGTCTTTGAAAGTTGACACGTTTTAGAGAACAAATTGTTGAGGGGAACACACTAAAATGATTTAAAAGTCGATCAAAAGGCGTCAAAATGAATCATTTTTATCAAGATTCGATTTGATTTCGTTTACGATTGCCATTGGCATTTTGGGGACAAAAAAAGGGCGGCAGATAATAGATATTGATTCACTTTGTAACTGGTGGGCTGAAGGTAAGTATAATTCGTTTGGCTCATTGAAAGTCGTGTTTAAAAATTTCCATATTGTAAAGCGTTCGGTGACACTAATACCTGTCGATAATTGTCAGGGTTTTTGAAGCTACGTAGTCTTTGCATCAAAAAAAACGTTCTTGTAAGTTCTCAAATGAAAAGTAGCAAATTTGGGGGTAAAGATCACAATTTTCTCATGAACTCCTTACCTGTTCATGTCCACGATTGAATGAGTGGTTCTTTATTTTCTTCTCGTTTTGACGATTTTGTAAAATTTTATCGTCGCTTTTCCTGGAAGGGCTTATAATTTTAGACTGATTGATTGAAAAAGAAGATTGGATAAAAAAATGAGGAAATTCAAGCTTCAAGATGTATGAGTTGCAAGATGCAGAAATTCGGAAATCCAGAGACTTTATCAAAAACCTGATCTTATCAGCGTAGCTAATACTTTTATAGATCCAACTTTAGATTTGGAATCAAGATTTTTACATAATTCATAGCCAGTGACTAAGATGAGTCAGAGAAAAGTTATTGTTGCCATTAAGTTGAGCAAAAAATGTTGAATGAAAGTTTTTTTTGACATGTGCACGCTGCATGCAATACATAAAAATAGATGACCGTAATTTGGAATGATTTGGAAGGGAAATCGTGGTGGGACTGAGGGGAAATGAAAGGGTGAAAGGGAAGAAGGCTGAAGAGTCATTGAGTCTTTCAAGGAAAGTAATCCTGCTTTTGAAAAGCGATTATCTTGATGGAAATTTCTTGATATTTTAGAAGCAAAGAAGGAATTTTGGGGTTAATCTGGGATAAAGAATGAATTGAATAAGATTTAATGTTTTCGAAGTATTGAAAGAGATTAATTCTTTTTCAGATAACGTAGAGCATAGAATTCCTTTTTGAATCCAACAACTTTATTAAATTCTCTCAATAAATCTTCTTTTTTTCACTTTTGCACAGACAATCAGTCAGATACAACATTGGTCAAATACCCGTACAAAAATACATCCCGAATGGATGAAGAAAATGAATCCAAAAATCCTAGATTATCACAGATTTCTCTAAACAAAAATATCACTCAAAATATGTTTGATATGCAAAACTAGCCAAAGCAAAACTAGCAAATTAAAATAGTCAAATAGAAAAATTACATATAATAACATTCTAAAAATCGGTTTCTTCTTGTTTTTGTTTTTCGCTGTAGAAGTGACGTTTTCGAATTTTTGTTGGAAGCTCAACAGCGGCAACCTAAACAAATAAACATGAAATTATCAAAATTGGGTCACATTTGATGCTATAGTATGCTCCATAAAATTCTGACGAAATACCGAAAGTTTTACCTGCAATGGCCATCCTCCACCAATCACTCCTGCTTGTACAGAGGCTCCAGTTGCAACTGCCAACTCTGGGTCCACGCCAAAATTTGGTGCTTTCCTGAATGAGACTATGCAAAGTTTCAACCAACTAACAAACCCAAAGAATTGTCCAACAATTTTTCGTATTCTCGGAATTCGAGTCGATCCTCCAACGAGTACAATTTCATCAACACTTGCCGGCTAAATCGAGCTTTTCAAGAAAACGCTAAAAATGAAACCTCTAAGCGAGCATCTTCTAGAGCAGCAATGATCGGTTCTTTAATCGATTCGAAGAGGTGTTCGTTCAGGTCTTCAAATTCTTTTCTCGTAATCTAAACAGAAATATTTTTCAATAACCGTAATCCAAAATTCACCTCTTGCTCATATTTCCCGATCACTTTCAAATTGAGTTTGATGTTTGACTTTAAATGCGTGGTCAATCGTAGTTTTGCGGCCTGAAAAAATTATCAATATATAAAATCAATAAATCAAAACCTCAATCTCCATTCTGATTTGTTGAATATCTTCTTTGTCTTCAATTGGTTTTCCAAATTTCTCTTCAAGACTCTAAAAACAATGACTGTTTTATTAGAACATAAAAACAGACCTTAATTAAGAACTTTTGGACATTATCATTGAAATCCTGTCCACCAAGACGATTATTTCCGGCCATTGCTTGAGTGACAAATGTGGCGCCTTGAAGACGAAGAACAGACACATCCAAAGTACCGCCACCTAAATAGATAATACATCAGAGGTTAATTATGTGAGTAATTTTTAATCTAAAACATACCCAAATCAACAACAACCACATCTTCGACTCCTTTCTTTTTATGCAATCCATAAGCAAGTGCTGCTGCGGTTGGTTCTGATATTACACGCCGAACTTCCATACCTGATTGAAAAGTTATTCAAATCTCAAAATTCCTTGCCAACCTGATAATTCTGCAGCTCTTTTTGTGTAATTTCTCTGCTTTTCTTCGAATTCGGCCGGTACAGAAATTACGACCTAGAAATTGCTTATTAAATAGTACAAAAGGCACAAATACCTGTTCTAACGGTGTTTTCAACTTTTGTTCCGCAAAGTTTCGCAAGTATGAAACAATCTTCGATCCGACTTCTTCGGGATAAACAGCTCTAAAATAAATGATTTTTAGCTACAAAAATGGAATTACTTGTTCCCAGTATCAAGCGGAATCTCAAAATAAGCATATCCATTCTCATCCAGCTTCACTTCAAACGGATAACGCTTCTTATCACTCTGAATCAAGACGGTTTTTAAAACAAAAAAGGCAAATTACTTGAAATATAGGATTAGCCGCATCAAAAGTTCTTCCAATAAATCGTTTTGCATCGTAAATCGTTCTAAATATATCGATTACCAAGGAATACCTAAGAGAAACCAATACCTGAGTGGATTGTGCTCTTGTTGTTGAACGGCGTGCGTTCCCACGAGAATTGTTCCATTTGGCCTAAAGTTGAATTATAATGGAATCACTGATACTTTTTAGTAGGTAGTAAGCAACTTACAGCCAAGCAACCACTGAAGGGATCGAACGTTTTCCCAATAAATCCGGCAATATTTCGGCGTTTCCTAAATTCGAGAATAATTTTGGATTAAAACAGCATTATCCGGGTAACTTTTGCAAAAATACAAACCTGATACGGCATGATAAATTCCTATTGAAGAGTATGTTGTCCCTAGGTCGATACCCGCAATTTTCGGCGCTGGAGGAGGAAGGCCATATTTCTGGGCTAGATAGCCGGCAAGGAGAAGCATTAATACAGAGGCACCTAAATGAAAATAAATGCATTTTGACTGTATTGAAAGCTTGATTAATATTAGAAGAAGATAAAAATTAAAGTAAAAACTTACCAATAACTGACATAGACATTTTCTCACGTCACTTTATCGTATCCGATCCATACAAATAACCAAAACTAAAAGAAAAACAGCATTAATATGGTTGGGTTTTTAATGATTTTGAAATAGAGAACCATGAAACTCTATATTATGATTTTTAACAGTATCGGATAAGACTACACACTCCCACCTTGAAAATCAAGAATCAAAGGTGATACACCTTAAAATAAAAATCCAATAGATAAATTGAGTCACACCAATATAATATTTGGAATGCTATTTATACATACAGACTCCCAAAAACGACTCGTCATCGAATAATATCCAATCCTTTATATTGTCAAAGTGTTTAGTTCAGAGATGTACACGAAAAGATTTAGCCGAAAAAACACATAGAGAAAGGAGAAAGGGACAATCAGAATACATTGCAATTTCACTTAAAATGTTTGAAGTATACAAAGATTAACTCGATGATAAAAGTTTACACATACACAAATATTCACAGTTTGAATTGAAAGAATATAAACAAGTTAAAACTTTAAAAAAACCATTAACATTTTAGGATCGTTCATTTTTCAAGGAAGGATTATCGCCGCTTGCAAGTGTTCGCCCATTTGGTGGATAGATTTTCGGGCTGGCGAGTCCTGTGCTAAATAAAAAAATAGATTATTAATGACTGTTTTATCACTGCACCTTCTGTTCGAAATATTCATAAATTGCATCCTAATATCGTGTACATGTTCATGAATGTCCATCATCGTGTGTTCCAATACGGAACCAAATGGTCGTTGAGGTCCCTAAACAAAAAAAAGCATAAAATTAAACCTTTCAAATATTAACCTCTTGAAGAATTGGTGATTTTGGATGATGATTATCCCTCTAAAGAGACAAAATTTGCGCATTGGCAAAAAAAACCAAACCCGGATTTTATACAAAATTTTGCGTAGATTGTTCATCACATCATCGTCTGAATATCCAAAATTGTCCGAAAGTCGACTTTGAATGAATTCCATAAACTTCTCAAGGGAAAGCATTCGGATTGTTCCTAAAATAAAATAGACTAAGTTTTCCAATAAATCACTAACTACTGTGCATCTCCATGATATTCAAAGCCATCGCCATCAAAACTTGATCTCCCTCGAGCAAAAAGATGTCCCAAAGGCGTAAAGCCAACGGAAATGGAACACGATCCTAAAATTTGATACATAAACAAAGATAAGCTTAGGTTTTTGTCTTACACAAACATTAACAAATAACCATTAAACTTACCAAAAAGCATCCGAACCACCACTTTGTCACAAAGAAAAACGGGATCAGCTCTCTTTCCTTAATGTGCATTTTATTGATGACATTTTCTTTAACTTACAAAATTTTCGTAGATTCTTGGCTCATAGTTTTTCAGTAACGCTTTAAAATGGGCTTCAAATCGTTGCAACTTTGGAAATCCGCTCACAAAGAAACCTAAAAAACCGAACTTTGAAGTATCCTTGAAAGTTACCGTGCATTGAATGTTTAGGAGAAATCATTAATGTGTGGAGGCACCAAAAGGCTTCTTCTTCATCAAGAAACATTAATAAAAGAGCGACAATTTGACTCATTCCCTGGAAAAAAGTAAAACATTATTTGAGATTAAATCAAACCTGACAATAGCCAATTTCTGTGTTATAAACCGAGTAAGCAACCAATACATTGAAAAGCGATTGTTGTCTGGAAGTAGATTTTTAATGGGCCTGCGAATTAACTTACTTTATATCATATCGTCGTCGAAATGCCACATGATGGCGATAAGTGCGACCTATATCGAGATCAATTTGTTTCACATGTTTTGAGATAAGACGTGCCCGAGCCATAAGTTCTATGTAAATCTAAAGCCAAGAGGTTTCAAAAAGGTTTTTGAATTTCACTTTGTGCCCTCCATGAACTTTCTTGAAGAAATTGACGTTTAGTAAATGAGGCCATGCCTGCAAAAAATTAATTGTACGTGTACAAATTCATAAATAAACCTTGATCCGCAATTTGTTTGGTATCCCTTCCCACACTAAATCGGTTAACTGATTGCATGGGGTTGATCGAGGTTGTTGCTTTAAAATGCTCAACCATCGCTTCTCTCGGCGTAACTAAACAATAAAGTTTTTGAATATTTAAATTAACATATCGTCTCATTTTCCCTAATCTACATTGGAAACCCCCAAAATTAGCATTTATCCGTCAAATAAAACGAATCGATTTTGTCGAATGGGCATCAGTCTTCTCGACTTCAACCCGACAAGATGGCTCAATCGATCCCACCCGGCGACATCATCACTCAACCCAACGCGAAGGTCGTTTTCAACGCCCCCTACGACGACAAGCACACCTACCACATCAAGGTATGGATTTTTTCGATTTTTGTTTACTTACCCTACTTGCTTAAGACCCCTTTTTTGAACTTATTTCCTTGGCATTTATTATTTTTCTTGTTTAGGTGATCAATACTGGCGGTCGTCGTATCGGATGGGCCTTCAAGACCACCAACATGAAGCGCCTCGGAGTCGACCCACCATGCGGTGTTTTGGACCCAAAGGAGGGTGTCCTTGTAAGTTTTATTTCCCTTTGTCTTGTTTTCATTTTATTCTACTTCACTAATTGTTTTGTTTAGGTTGCCGTCTCATGCGATGCCTTTGCCTTCGGCCAAGAAGACACCAACAACGACCGCATTACGATCGAATGGACCAACACCCCCGACGGTGCCGCCAAGCAATTTCGTCGTGAATGGTTCCAGGGAGATGGAATGGTCCGCCGCAAGAACCTTCCCATCGAGTACAACCCATAGGATGAATGATCCCCTTTGAAATAAATCGTTCATGTATTTGATTGTTATACTGATTGCTCACCCAAGATACTAAAACTATTTGATTTGCGAGTGTTTGTATGTCATTGGTTTTTGGTAGAAAAAATAAGGGTACCCATGTCATCAAGGGTTTTTAAGAACTGCGAATTCAACTTCTGTTATAAAAGTAAAATGTACCTCGACAGCTAATTTCCGTGGTGAATCCTGAAGAACAAAATTTGGATCTTTTCTAAAAGCAAAGATTTGTATGAAAATCCTCTAAACTAACTGTACAAAGCCGTATCTATCCACTCTTTTGTATCCTTCCCACTCCGAGCGTTCCCATTGTCCGATATTTGGATTGTCTGGGCCCTAAAACATTGCCTGAAATGGTTCCAAGAGAAAGACCAGTGCTTACCTTATCATACATAGCAACAATTCGGTCTCTTTCCATTTGTTCTCGATGTTCAATATCTTCGCCGTCCAACGAAATGAATGAGGCTGATGGAGACTAAAAGTAAATCAGTTTGCTATGTTACAAGTGCTATTTCTCTCAGAAAAATGATATTGTGATTGAATTTTAAAAACCGTTAACGTTTCGTTTCATGTAAAACAATGCGCAAAAAAGTGTTCTAAAAACAACAATGGGCACATGGAGAAGCATACTACCTAGGTAGTTCTAGTTTAATTTTCAATCGCATTGCACAATTTTTCCACAAAATACTCACTGGTGATGGTGCTGAAGCTCCGTCTTTTCGTCGGGATTTCGATGAGCTGAGAAATTTTGCTTCAAGTAGCTCTTGTCGTAGAATTTGCCGAAATGAGGTCCGAGTCGACGAAGAAACAGATGGACTTCGAGGAGTCCTTGAATGTGATCGCATCGCCTAAACAAAAAGTTAAAAGAATAACAAAAATTATGGAAAAAAAAGAAGTGGCGTAGTTTTTAGTGTCTAAAGGAGTAACATACTATCGGTGAAGTACTAACAAAGCGCTCTAAAAAGATCACTAGATCAAACTGAAGCTCTAGTTGGCCATTTAACAATGCGTCAACCTTGCCGCAACACACCTTGAAAGAAAAGCTTCCAGAAAAAAATGAAAAAAAACAAATTGGGCTTCCTCGATTTAGTTCCCGAATAGCGATTAGCCGCATTATAAAGAAACAAAAGAACAATAGCATTGAGTTGTCGCTACCGTAATCTCCTTTTTACTTTGCACTCATAAGCTGCGTGCATATACTGTACTGAAACATTGGTTTCTGTTTAGGTGTAAGATCCTTCGACGACGATTGCTGCCGACAAGCGTTACAAGGGAATCATTGATGTGCTCGTTCGCGTCCCCAAGGAACAAGGTTTCACAGCGTTCTGGAGAGGTTGATTTGCGCTATTGTTGTATTTACCTTAAGCTTTAGGTGATCTCACAAATGTTATCCGCTACTTCCCCACGCAAGCACTCAACTTTGCCTTCAAGGACACCTACAAGAACATGTTCCTCAAGGGAGTCAACAAGAACAAGGACTTCTGGAAATTCTTCGCCGGAAATCTCGCCTCTGGAGGAGCTGCTGGAGCCACGGCGCTTTGCTTCGTGTACCCGCTCGACTTTGCTCGGACCCGTTTGGCCGCCGATGTTGGAAAAGGAGCATCTCGAGAATTCAAGGTAAATTAGAGACGTGTTAAGTATAATGGTAGTTTGTTTAGGGTCTCAGTGACTGTTTGGTAAAAATCGTGAAATTGGATGGTCCGATCGGTCTCTATCGAGGATTCTTCGTGTCCGTGCAGGTTAGCGCTCTGCTGTTGGATTGGTTTTTCAAATTGTTTGTGTGATTGATTGGATACAATTTTGTTTAGGGTATCATCATTTATCGCGCTGCCTACTTTGGATTGTTCGACACGGCCAAGCATGTCTTCAGCCCGGGTCCAGGCAAGAAGCTCAACTTCTTTGCTGCATGGGCTATTGCTCAGGTAGATTTTGTTTTGCTTTTGCTGGTCTATTTTATTCTTAGGTGGTGACTGTCGGATCGGGCATCTTGTCATATCCTTGGGACACCGTTCGCCGTCGGATGATGATGCAATCTGGTCGCAAGGACATTCTCTACAAGAACACATGGGATTGCGCTGTAAAGATTATTAAGAATGAGGGAATGAGTGCCATATTCAAGGTACTTTTTATACTGGTTACTTTCTGCTAGTCAGCTATATTCAGCTAATTGTTTTGCTTAGGGTGCCCTGTTGAATGTCTTCCGTGGAACTGGTGGAGCACTTGTGTTGGCCGTAAGTTTATTGGTTTTTTTTCGTCAACATTTAAAATTTAGATATACGATGAAATCCAGAAGTTCATTTAAACGATCAACAAGAATTCGACAGTCCGCACCAAGCTTTATTCATTCTCAGTGACACTGTATCCGTCTTTGATGTAATAAATTGTCATGGTGGTGATTCATTTGTTCTTGGCGCACAATGTACTATCACAGGGTTTTTCGCAAAAACCACAACGAAGGCTCTGCCAAAATTTACTAGAGAGCAAAAATCCACACTTTTTCGTGTGGATTTTACCATAGAAAATATTTTTAGAAGATTTGAAAAGATGTTAGAAGGTGTCGGATTTAGCAGCTCATCTTTCTTTAGCAGCTCTTCTTCTTTATCAGCTCCTCCTGCTTTAGTGAATTCACTTGGGTTTTAATTGAATTCACTGATTAGTTAAAATTTCATAGTTAAAAACTTAGGACAAAAATGAGTTTTCAATACAACGAGTTTTCAAATGATTCGACTGCTAAAGAAATTATGCTGCCGCCCACGGTTCTTTCAAGGTTTGTTGCCTTTTTCTTGGGTTTAATTTCATTGTTTTTCTTATTATATAGGCTTTAAGCACAAGATATTGAGCTGAACGAGCTGAAGAAACAACAATGATTTTGGGGTGTAAAATAGAATGCACAAAATTTCCTAAATACCGTCGAATCTCGATATGACGACTTTTGACTTTGATATAACGAATTTTATCGATTTTTGTCGATAAATTATCGTAGCTATAGTGCCTCATCTAGGTATTTATCACTAGAAAACATTAAATATAAAATATTTAAGGAAAACACTGACGTTTTGTCGTTCACGTCATATTTTTGTTTACCTGATTTTCTTGAAATACCAAAACTAGTTGAAACTTTTAACTTGTATCTATTGTGCATTTTGCTTTTTCTAAGTTTTTCTTTTGTTTAGATCTTTAGGATAAGGAATTGGTTTTAAAAGACCCGTTGTAATGACTATAGTAGTTGCAGTTACAGTTGTAGTTGGTTTTATAAATAATCTTTATTACAACAATAAAATAAGGTTCAGTTGGTTCAGAATTAGAATGAGGAAGAGCATAGAGACTCCACGGAACACATCGACCGCTCGTTGTCATTGCTTTTATACAGAACTTTGGAACTGATCTCGTCAATTATACAACGGATTTGATCGGAAAATCTCGCACAATAGGTGTTCGCCCGCGTTGGCTAATCAGTCAATTAACTTATTTTAGGCTGATCGTTCTGCGCAGCGCCAGCGTCAACTGAAGAGGCAAATTGAGGAACTCGAGGAAGATGTGAACCGGGAGAAAATGAAAAACCGTCAACAAATGAATCACCACCATGACAATTTATTACATCAAAGACGGATACAGTGTCACTGAGAGTGAATAAAGCTTGGTGCGGACTGTCGAATTCTTGTTGATCGCTTAAATGAACTTCTGGATTTCATCGTATATCTAAATTTTAAATGTTGACGAAAAAAAACCAATAAACTTACGGCCAACACAAGTGCTCCACCAGTTCCACGGAAGACATTCGACAGGGCACCCTAAACAAAACAATTAGCTGAATACAGCTGACTAGCAGAAAGTAACCAGTATAGAGAGTACCTTGAACATGGCACTCATTCCCTCGTTCTTAATAATCTTTACAGCGCAATCCCATGTGTTCTTGTAGAGAATGTCCTTGCGACCAGATTGCATCATCATGCGACGGCGAACGGTGTCCCAAGGATACGACAAGATGCCCGATCCGACAGTCACCACCTAAGAATAAAATAGACCAGCAAAAGCAAAACAAAATCTACCTGAGCAATAGCCCATGCAGCAAAGAAGTTGAGCTTCTTGCCTGGACCCGGGCTGAAGACATGCTTGGCCGTGTCGAACAATCCAAAGTAGGCAGCGCGATAAATGATGATACCCTAAACAAAGTTGTATCCAATCAATCGCACAAACAATTTGAAAAACCAATCCAACAGCAGAGCGCTAACCTGCACGGACACGAAGAATCCTCGATAGAGACCGATCGGACCATCCAATTTCACGATTTTCACCAAACAGTCACTGAGACCCTAAACAAACTACCATTATACTTAACACGTCTCTAATTTACCTTGAATTCTCGAGATGCTCCTTTTCCAACATCGGCGGCCAAACGGGTCCGAGCAAAGTCGAGCGGGTAGACGAAGCAAAGCGCCGTGGCTCCAGCAGCTCCTCCAGAGGCGAGATTTCCGGCGAAGAATTTCCAGAAGTCCTTGTTCTTGTCGACTCCCCTGAGGAACATGTTCTTGTAGGTGTCCTTGAAGGCAAAGTTGAGTGCTTGCGTGGGGAAGTAGCGGATAACATTTGTGAGATTACCTAAAGCTTAAGGTAAATACAACAATAGCGCAAATCAACCTCTCCAGAACGCTGTGAAACCTTGTTCCTTGGGGACGCGAACGAGCACATCAATGATTCCCTTGTAACGCTTGTCGACAGCAATCGTCGTCGAAGCATCTTGCACCTAAACAGAAACAATGATTCAGTATTATTCGCAAAAAAACAAGCAGCAATAAAGGTGGCAACTTACTTGTAGAAGTAATTTTACACGCTCAATGGGAGCAACAGCGGTCTTCGAAATAGCAGCAGCTGTCCCGCCAGAAGCGAGGTCGATGAAGAACTTCTGGCTGTTGAAGCCCTAAACGAACACAATTACTATCAACCGCTCAAAAGTCAAATACCTATCTAACCAGTTACTGTGTAAGCTTCAATAAAACCTAAGCTGACGCTCACTAATCGGTGAGACTCAAAGAAAAACATGATATAATGTAAAAATTTACGCAAGTAACGAAAAAATATCAAAACGCATACCTTCTTCTTTTTGTTTTCCTTTGATGAGGCGGAGCTCGATACGGGTGCCTCAGACATCTTGGTTATAAAGAATTTGTCGAAAGACGAAAATGATTTTCCAAGCAGAAAACATTTTTTATTTGAATATCAAATGTAAATTTTTAACTTCCCATGAAATATAAACAAAAATTTGCATATTGTCTGGTTCTTCGTTCTTTAGAAAGTTTCGGAAAAGTTTGACGATTTGACGATTCTAAAACTTTAATTTCAAGTATTTGTTTTCCTCAAATTTTCTCCCCGAACCAAAGTGTAGTAACACGGAATTGAGTTTTAAAGCAATCTTGACCGTCTGGCTTCAGTAATTTACCGGATTAAGCTTTTGCTTGTTTTCCTTTTTTGACCGTATCGGTACTGTTTCTATAAGTTGTTTCATTTAGAACACAAAAATCTTTCGCGACAAAATGGTTGATTATCCTCGTGCCGGTCGAGCTGAGGACGTGGTTCGCTTTGAATGCCGTTTTCTATGCGTTAAGGTAATATTCCAAGCTTCGTTATGATTGAGTTTTATTGTAAAAACTCGAATCTAGTGAACTAATTGTAAGATCAGCTTATTACTGGTTGCCCGGGTTATATCCTACCAGATTTGCTAAGATTTCACACCTTGTAATAAGCAATTTCTTTTAGATCACAATGTGGGCACTTTTTGTCATTGAGCTACTCTTTCTGATTGGCTCCCTACTTTACAACACGAGCAATAGTACCGTCGGAAATGTGAGACTTTCCAAGGATTTTCAACGCATTTTCAATTTAGTGGCTCATCTTTGCTGACCGTGCCATCTCCTTTGCTTTGATGCTTGGCGCTCTTCGGGAGAATTTTGTGATGGCTCGCGCTCTTTTCTTCTATACGGTGTGTTTATTTTTTATTATGAAAATTATTTCCGTTTAGCTTCTCTCTGCTGCAGCGACGTTTGTCTACTACTTTTGGATAGCTTTGTGTTTTATGGGTGTTTCGTAAGCTTTGTTTGGTATCTTCGAATGGTAATTAATTTAAGGACCTGGTGCGGGTATCTTCCAAAAGAAATGGTGCTTCCAAATGATGCACCAGTTGCAAAGATCGGTACGCGGTTGATTCTTATAGTTGACTACTTAGTTTGGTTTTTTTTAGTCATTTCCATCTGTCTGCTCGTCTACATTTGTGCTACAGCACTGGTCCTCTGGTTGTTCTGGATTTATGGCAGCTACTTAAAGTAATTTTTACAACTCTGCTCTGGTAGTATTACCTGTTTTAGGGCCAAATTCGAGCATTTTGACATTGAATTTGGCAACAAAGGAACATATAAGCAGGACGTGCGCTTTTATCAAATTTTGTCGTTCTATTTTTTTGTTTAGGAGATTGCCTTGATGGGACTATTGAATCCTTCGACTTCTTCGGCCGAGCAAGCAAAACGTGCGCCCTATGCCGGATCAAACGTTTATTAATTTACCTTGTTACGTACCCATTTATTGCATTTACATTTGTTTTTTTTACACTATCTTTATCGGAGTTCTGCTTAATAAGCCGTTATTGCTTTAGTGATCTTTACAGGATGATTAATACCGGTTGACCGTTAAAATCTTTTGAGAAGTAAAACTCTTTTTGAACTTTTTTTTCCCTGTATGTTTACAAACGGTTTTTTCGTTTTCATACTAATCGACGCTACCCAAATTTTAACAAAGTGACTAGTTAATCACCTTTTGTCACTTTTCCGTTAAAATTTTTGACAACATCATGGTGGACTATTTTCTGCCGAGTCGAAATGCGGATAACGAATGTCCCTACACCTTTGCTAGGGTATGATGCTTTTAATGTTTGAACTAGTTGTAAGAGTTTACCACAACTTTAATCTGTAAGACCTTACAAAGAGTAGCAGCGTATTTATGGAAGGAATCTTATTAGTTAAACTTCGCAAGGATTTGGTACATATTCTAAGTTTTTAGGTCGCGTTGGTGGTGTTTTTCGTGTGGGATTTGTTCACTTGCAAAGTGATCACTTGCTTTACTAACACTACTGGAAATCGCACCTCGTCCATACTTGTGAGTTTTCCAGGCTCTTAAATTTTATTCATTTTAGTTGGTTCTTGCCGGTTACTATTGTATTATTGCCATTTTGATGGTTAGTGCTTGTGAGTAGGTTAGCTCAGACTCTCTTCTACCTTACGGTAAGCTCTGCTGTTTAGTTTTTAAAAATGGTACATTTTAGCTTTTTTTTGTGAAGGAATATGGCTCATCTTCCTATTTATTGTCTTTTGCTCCCACGGACGGTATTGGTGGGTTGGAATATTTTTTATTAAAATATTTCGTTGTCTTGAGGCCTTTGCGAGATATCCTTCTAGCAGATGCGAGATCTGATTATGAAATGCCTTTGGGTTTTGGTATGTGGTCTTCGTATCATTCCTATCAATATTTTCAGCGTTCATCATCCTTCTTTTTGGTATTTACATTGGTATTGTCGCTTTTGTTCTCAAGGTGTACTGGATTTACGTAAACTACTTGCAGTATGCCTTGAATATTTTTTATTTATTTACTTGCATTTTAGGGTCAAGAAGTCTGTAATCGTGAACTCTTCAAATGACGATGATATTATCTATATTTTCAAGCAGACCGTGGACTTTGTTAAATTGTTAATTTGTTAAACTATGTTTTGTTTAGAAGGTAGCAATGGAACCGTTGACTCCTTCTGCGCCTTTGTTCATACAACCATCACCTTATAGCGTTCTTTGTTGAGTTGAAACATTCGCATTTTGTCATGTTCTTGTGTTATTGCAGTTCTCATTTAAATAAAACATTTTTCTGGAAAGAAATTGCTTATTTCAGGTATTCAGTCCAATTTACTGCTTGATTTGGTGAGCAAAGACATCAACTCCATGCGACACTCAAATTACGCCATGTTTGCCATCTGTTTTAGGCATTCGAAAGAAGTGTTTACCGGCATATCACTCTACTTTAAAAACTTTATAGTGTTTTGCAAAATTTCTATTGTATTTTTTTAAACCATTTACAATGCAATTTCAAAAGTCAATTTGGAAAAGAACTTTTTGTGTAGTCGTATCATAATTTTCTTTTTTTTCTCGTTTCTTTATGCCTTACATCAGGTTTTTCAGATATGGGCCTACTGACTTGGACAGAAAAACAAGATCTAATACGCGCCGAGAGAGAAAGGAGGCGTTTGATTCGTTTACAACAGGTAATTTTTGTTGTTCTAGGAAAGTTTCTCATAGTAGTAGTGGTATGAAAAAGTTTATCAAACTAAAATTTAAGTTTTAGGTTCGCATGCTATCTCGTGAAGCAGCCGCCACAATTAGAAATCGTGTCATGAAAACGAAGGACCAGGAATTGCAACAAATTCGCGTGGAATTGAGTCAGTTTACATGTTTTTATTGTTTTTTTATGAGTAAATGACTGATGAAGTATTTTCAAATCCTAATCCTTTTAAATTGTTTTAGACGTTTTTCCTTGATTTATTGAGTTTTTTAGCAAACGCAATTCGAGTAAAAACACCACAAGTACTGGAACAAAGACTATCTCAACGAATTGCAAACAACAAAAAATCACCAGCATCGAATTCTATTTGTCCACGAAAGATTCGAAACGTAAGTTTTTGCTGGCTTAGTGAGTTATAATCGATTAAATTTAGAGATCGCTCTCGGCTCAAGATTGTGAAAAAGCTGTGCAAAGAGAACAAGCAGCTCTAAAAACTCAACGAGCACATAAAGCGGATACAGCCAGAGAAAATGCGGAAGCAATTTTACGAAGAAAAAGGTATTTAATGTTTTGCCATTTTGTTTTTTCCAAAAGCTATGAAAGTTATGTATAGCTTTGAGTCTCTTAATGTTACTTAAAATTTAGAGCTCGAGATTTTGCGAGTGCAGAGACCCGGGAGCTTTCTTCTGGTCAACAACGACGCTCAAATTCTAATTGATATGAGAATTACATTCTTACTGATATTTATTACTTGCCTTTGCAATACCCAAGTATTTGCTCCAAATTCTTTCAAATTGTGATAATCTTTTGCTCATTGCAGGCAAAATTTTTCAACAGATGTGTGCATTTTTTCATTTTTAACGTAAGAAAATGATTATCACTTTGTACAATGCCGTTCTATTATTCGTTTACTAGTCTTGCATATGATTGGTAGAATTAAATGTTTATTCAATGTAAAATTGATTTGCCTAGCGAAATTTGAAAATGTAGACTAGAATGAAAGCGAAAATGGGAGGGACCCTAAGGATGAGAAGCATTTAAAAGATTTTGGTCCGATTGAGATCAATAAGAGGAAAAAAGAAAACAGATAGCTAAAATTTTTTGATTTCTCTCAATTACATGTATAACGAGCTCGATCTCCAAAAGATATTCTTCTTGGCGGTCGTTCACAAACGTCAAAGGTTAATTTTAGACAGGACATCTCGTTCTCGTAGATCAACCACGGTAAATAGTCCTCCCTAGATGGAGTACTTTTGTCTCACTTTGTATGCAAATTCAAAACTAGGTTAAAGCTACCGTAATCTGGCTAAAGTACGGTTGTTTTTCCTCTGCACATTTTAGGAAAATCCAGTTTTGTCCGCTTACTTGTGCCAAATATTCTTCCGATATTCGATGTACCATTGACGGAACTTATCGAATTGGCCGTTGTTGACGTCCCATGTCCTGCAATGTTACATGATTGTTTACTTCTCCCTTCCCATTCCCTCACCTCCTTCTTTCCTCCAATTCTCTCAATACAGTCTCTTCAATTTGTGTTTCTTTCATCGCTTTCTTTCTCGCGATTTGTCCTGTCGCGTTGAAAGCCATACGAATTTTCGCGATCACCGATCCCTGCAATAATTTTAGCTCTAGGTTAAACCACTACCGTAGCTATGCAATTAGAATAGCTACGGTAGAGTAACTTTTTTTTTTGCAACTACTATCTAGAGTGTGGGACAGATAACATGGCGTGCCTTACTCGATTTCTGGATTCAACTCACATATCCGACTTGTTGTAATGATGCGAATGCTCCTTTATAATCTCCTCTGTCAACATTCAGAAAATCCATTTCACAATCGCCATCCGCATCGAAAGCCGTCCAATCGTTGAAACAGAATTCCTGCAAATTCGAGGGTAAATGGGGAAATTAATTGCCACATCAATGCGTCGAAGAATAGCTTGTTTTGTTTCGAATCATTTACCGTACTCGACGCACTGTAACTCCTACAGTAACCCCTACACAAACCTTTCGAAATGTATAAAATCCGGGTCTTTGCGGACAGTTGATTCCTTTCAATTGTGATTGAAATGAATCACTTTTCGGCTCATCCAATTCGGTCAATGCTTGACAAATATCACAATAATAACTGAAAATATCATTCCTTTCATTGAATATCTTTTCCCTTTTTTCTCACCAATTATTCCCATATCCTCCACATCCATCACTTGACGAATTCTGACATTTCAAACTCGAGAAATCTTTCACGTTCCACCATTGGAATTCGGCTTTTGCGAAAAATGAGTTACCCAAGGCTTCGGCTTTATCGTGGATCTGAAAATTGTAAGTACTATGCTAATGGAGTGACACTCTTTGAATACAGGATTCGATCCATGGTAGACCTGGAAATTTTTGGAATGAACGTCAATAGGTGTTCAGCGGAAAAATGCTATATCTTGGCCAATTTCACTCTAATTTTTTTGTCTTTAATTTCAATTGATAGAAAATGAAATTCTGCGTCAATTGATATTAAAATCAAAAAGCTCGGAGTGAAACTAGCCGAGATATGCCATTTTTCCGTTGTACGCCTATTGGCATGTGCACCGACAATTCCCAGGTCTACTACATAGTATTTGAGTGTTGTTTAGAGTGTGTTCCCCTTCAACTAACGTATACTCGAATGCTTTAGTATCAGAGCCACTGCTATGCGTCTGAGAAAAGACTTGAACAAGATTTAGCATTATCTAGCAAGATCTAGCATTGCCAGACGCATCACCCAAACGCACCTTCAAATTCCTTATCTCCAAGGTGAAACAACCGGGAAACTTGACGACATCCGGATGAATGTGAACATTTGATGGCTGAATATCGATTATATGATGAGCACCGGGTCGAGCTGGAAATAGGAATGGGAGATTATGGGAAGGGATTTGTATCACATACTGCACGATGCATCCGCTCGTCCCGGTATCAACCAAATGTCTTGATAGTTACAATTCGAGTTCACCTGAAAAACTTGAAAATTCTAAACATCTTAACAATTTCGCGTCCAAAATGCACCGTTTCTGATACACTCAATTCCACCATTTTTCTTATGGTAACGATTTGAAGCGAGAGAGAAGTTCAATGCGCCAGAAAGTCAAATGTGTTTACATTTTGCGCGAACGCTTTCATTACCATTTTATTGTTTCTTATTTGCACCCACCCTTCTCCTCAGCGTTTGCCCTTTTCGATTAATTCTGTCTCGACATGATGGATCGCGAATATCACAATCGATTTGTGATTGAATAAATGTTGGCAAAGATAAGAAAACAAGGAGAAACTTCCGAGGGATCATATCAAATCTGAAAAGGAATCAAATTTGAAAGATAACACAACGAATATAGACAATAAAGAAGTACCGACAATTCAAAGCCACACTCAAAGTCTCACTATGTAAGATTTGAAAGGGTAAAAGTGTAATGAGTGAAAAGTTTTTTAAAACAATATTTGATTGATTTTTCACTGATATTATTATATTCTTATTCGAGGAACTTTTGAAAATAAAGCAAGAATGATCGAATTCTCGTTCATTTATGCAGAGACAGGGAAAAGACAGAGAGAAGAAAGACGAAAAGGGACAGAGAGAAGAAGAAGAAGAAGATCAACTTTTTTCTCCATTTTTGATCGAAATAATTTTTCACACCTCACCGATTTCGGGTTAGAAAAATTGAAAATTTCATCTTTTAAGCAAAAGGGAAATTTTTATTGAAATTGGGGAAAAGTGAGAAGAAAGATTAGTGAGTTGGTTTCGGGGAAAAGAAAGGAAAAGACGGGGAAAGACGGGGAAATTTCCGGGTATTCTATCATATTTCCTTGTAATTTATGTTTTAAGATATCATTTAGTGTTAGACATAAAAATGAGATGGACCATGAACTCAAAATTACTTTATAAATGACATCTAGACACTTTTTTTAGATGAAATTGGCGGCTGAACACTGGGAGAAACTCATCAAGGTCATACACACAAAATTTGTCGCTCAAATTTTTAAAGTGAAAATTTTATGGAAAAATTGAGTACTTGAAAGTAGAAAAATCTGGACTAAAGGAAAATTTCAAGTGGAAATTTGGAAAAGAAACGAAAAAGAAAGGAAATCGACGGAAGGATTTGTAGGAGGGAAACTTTTCGGTTCCAAGAACAGAAATAAAAGATGATTAGAGATGCTTTGCGTACAGGTAATCCCATCAAATAACTTGTTTTCTAAAATGTGTCAATTCTCAAAAAATACCGTAATCAGAAAAAGAAAAGATTAAAATGTTTTCTAAAAGATAGGTAAGAGTTACCATACTGATCCGATATCAGGACCTTTTTTTCAGTAACTTGTAATTTTAAAACCTACCGTAAATACTGTAATAGTACCTCACCCTCCTCGTACAGTCGCGTAGTCGCAAAAGTTTTTTAGTATTTCATTTTTTTCAAAGCGCCCGTATTTTCAAAAAAATGCGTCTTTGGTATCAAAAAATAGCTGAAATTCAGGGCTATTTTTTGATACCTAAGCGCGCATTGTAGCATAAACCAGTGTCGAGAAAAACTCGTTCAAAGCTAGACTACGCAACACTCCACACCGTCATTATGGGGGTGGGGTCCAATTACAGTATTTACGGTATATCGTAATCTGCTAGTTTTTACCCAATATATCTACTCTTTTTATCTTTTCATTATCCTTTATGATCTCACACAGAAACAGATCAAAAATAGATTGATTGAATAAAACTAGAGACAGATTACGACTACCGTATCTGTCTAGACAGACAGACAGGCAGACAGATTACGGTAGAAAGGGACGAACATTTTAGAAAATGGAGGTTAGTCGAGGGGAAGATTGAGAGCTTTTTCGATCAATTTTTATTTCCGAAAAATCGATAAAATATAGATGGGAATGATTTTGAATGGATTTGCCGAAAAAAGAGAGTCTAATCCATTGGCAAAGTCGGGCGATCACAATGAAAAAAAAAGAAAAGAAAGATCGAATATGGAAAAGAGAAAAATGGAATACAGAAAAGAACGGGTTATCCTCGCTCTTTCTTTTCTTTTCCTTTCTTTTTTGAATCTCAAATCTCTTTTCTCGCTCTTTCTACCCCAAAATCTTTCTCTTTTGTTGATCAGCTCACTCTCTTTCCCCTCAAATTGGCACGTTGTGAATTTTGCGAAAGATTTCACAAAAAATAATGTGTTTGATCGATTCCAACAGTTTAGACAAATTTTCATACCATTTTTTACACATTTCTAACTTTTTCATACCAAATGCGGTACTGATTTCAGATGCATACAATAAAAAGACTCTTTCTGGCGCACTCAATCTCTTCTCATCTCCATTTAGTATCTAAAGCTTTTATCTAAAGTATCGCAAAGCACCAGTAATCATTTCTAAACGTACGAACTTCTTCCAAGCTGGTGTAGGCGTTTTAAAGCATGTTCAAACTACTGTAGCCCCGTCTCGATCTAATATTTCTGTAGCTTTTCTACCTCTTTCTCATGGTAATCTCTATGAATTGAATTAGGGTTACTATAACACCAAAGTGGGTATAGGTTTGAGATGTATAGGTTCCGGTAGCCGGGCCCCTTATTCATCGTTAGTAGATAATCAATCTTACTAGCAACTGTATCTTTAGCTATTGAGTGCGCCAGAAAGGAGGCGTTTCCAGCAATAAGAGTATTTACTCAAAAAGAAAGCTCTTTTTGATAGATTATATTTGATATCCAAATTCATTTTAGATAATTGATGTTTTTTCAAATTTCCTTTTTGAAAGCACGATTTATTAACGCCGCCTGTTTTGTCGAGAACAAAAAAACAAAGGGAAAAAAAGCAAAATTCGATCTGAACAGATATATACAATAAATGAAGGGAAATTGATGGATATATCTGATATATTTAGATCTATTGACAGATATATTATCTATAATATTCCTTCATTGAATACTTTTCACATCTCATAAATTATGGCTGAAGAGAAGAGGCAAGGTGGATTTACTGAAAAGGGAATGGTTGATTGATTCGATATTTTTAAAGTTTAATGAATCGATATTATTATTTACTTACAACTTTAGCTCTACAGTAAGACTTGGCTCAAAGAATTTTATAGTACTTGGGGACTACCCTGGGATACTGTAACTTTAAAGTATCCTGTAGTTATCTAGATAACCTTTCAAAAACTACAGTGTGACCTGCTTGGAGTCTTACTGTAGTCTTGCCACACCCTTTATCCAGTAAAGATCAAAGAGTACTGTAAGTGATCCAGTTCATCTTTAGATATATTTGCGAAATAACTTACAAGACGTGATTGTCTTTCCATCCATTTGTTGATCGACGATTCCATTTTCTCTCCATCTTTCTTTTCCTCTTCATCAACGGGCAATTGCTTGGCTGGCTGAAATGTTTCGATTTTTTAAGTTTTTAAAAAAAATATCTAATACCTTTTAAACTTATAATCAAGTTCTATTTCAAAATTTCTACAGTACCTTCTTGCTCTTGGCTCCTGGGGCGTAAACGGGGAGTCCGACGGCACCGGCTGGCCACGCGGCGGTCATTCGGAGAGCCTGCAAGGATTTGGTTTTAAGATAGTTAGATATCAGAAATCTCGACATCAAATAAATCTAGATCTAGATCTGTTCATTATCAATTTCTCACCTCAGGCCAGTTGGCGGGAATTGGTGGCACGTAGTTGTAGAAGGGTGTGGCCGGACGCCAGGCGGCTCCATAGGTGGACCCTGGAAATTGATTGGATATGATTAGATAGCCAGATATGTCAATTTTTTTAATCTACTTGGAGAACTGCACGGTGGCTGGGATTGATTTGTTTGTAGAATTAAATTGTTTAAGGTCCCATAAGGAAACCGCGAATGCAAGTTGTTTAGATAAGTTTTAGAACTGAGCCTAAGAATCCAGGTTTTCGTTTTTTCCAGTTTCGAATCCTGCCATCGGATTGACAATGGCAACGAGTCCGGTTACAGAAAGGGCCCACTCTCTTTTACAGTATTGTTTGCATAGAAGAAAAAAGAATCTATGGGGACCGGGTTACGTGAAAGACTGGATGGAAATGAAAAGAATGAAGGGAAGAACCCGTCCACGGCTGGGGCTTCATCCAATCCATTCATGGAAAGGGGAAAAGGGATCAAAGAACAGATCGGGGACACTCCAGTGCCGGCTACAGCACTTCTAGTTACCCAAACTGATAAGAGTGTTACTATGGCTTCTCATTTAACACTCAAAACTCACAGACGGGACAGCAGAAATATGGTCCGATGTCGACGGAGTTCGTGGCATAACAATACGATTGTGGAGGGCATTGAGGCCATGGACGTTTAGGGTCACATTCAATTGGAAGTGATGGACCGCCGGGACATTGACCGACTGGGGCAACGGGCACAACGGGTGCGGGTTGAGCGAACTGAAAATGTGGGTAAAGGAGTGTGCCGGGTGGGGAACGTTTAAAAGATTACATTAAGAGATATTTAAGAGATTTGCTTAATACGGTAATATTGTAATACTGTTTACTGTAATAGCACTTTTTAAGATTCTTTAAAAACGAACGGGAAGAGCAGAGGCAACAGGGAGAGCTGGAGCGGCCATCATCGGTCGGGGAATCTGAAAAAAAACGATAATAGATAATAGATGGATATGTATTGATATCTATTAGATAATAAATAGACTAGAGTACAGTAGTTGTCACGGTTAAAAAGCACTGAAACTTTAGCCAACAATGGATAGGTTAAAGTGAGGCAGAAAAGGAGAGATCGTAGACCGTAGAAAATCAAATACAAGTAGATCAAGTAGTAAGTTGAAGACTTACTTCAACTATTACGATAAGGATATGATTATGTCGTCAAAATTGAAATGTTCATTGCTATGAACTGACCGCTGGCGCGAGGAACGGTGCCGGCCTCAATGGGCCAGCGATGTACTGTCGTCGTTTGCCATCGGGTTTCGATGTGGTCTCCTCTGGAAAATGGAAATTATAAAAAGATATAGATGAAGGATACAGTATTCAAATTAAGCACAGTTTAAGACTGTAGCTAACGTAATTGTTTAGGTTTAAGCTAACGGTATCCCGAGAAAAGAGGTCACATTCTTTTTGAACGGTTATGAAGTGACACAAAAGATGGCAAAGAAGCAGTGTACAAAGTAAATATACAATGAACAATGGTAAACTGTAAGTTAAAAATGTTTGAAACCTGATTGAGGATCGGTGTCGGTGGCAAGGGCGACTGCGAGGAGGGCAAAGACCGCGGCAAGACGACGTGACATGGGCGGATGGGTAATGGATGGAATCAGCTCACAGGAATCGCTTTATATTGAGGGGAGGGGTGGGACACCCTGGGTACTGCACGAGGTGGCATGGTAGAAGAGCTAGAGCTGAGCGAGAGGGAGAAGGGGTGCAAGGGATCACAGACGGGCACCCAGAGTATACCAACGGGATGGGAATAGCTAGAGAATTGTATGCAGACATCCGGAAGAGGTTGCGCAAGAGGTGACAATGGTAGATGGGCCAGGCTACAGGTGTGAAGGGCTAGAGAAACACAGAAAAACTTCTAGAGTGAGTGAAAAGTTAGATAACTGAAATTTTATAGAACCTGGATCGCAGAGAAGGAAAAAAACATGGAGAGTATGTGAATAGAGAACGGAAAAGGGGGAATTCTCATGGAGAAGAGCGGAAGTGAGGTGTGGGAGAAAATGGGGAAGGAAAAGGGAAAAAAGGAAAAGTATGGGGAAAAAAAGAGTGCCGTGTGAATTCCCCTCTTCACTTTTCTCTCCTTTTCTCCTTTTTTGTAATTCTCATTCCTTTTCACGTGCAATTGTTCTCATTTTTTTTCTTTCTTTTTTTTCATTGTTGTCATGATGAAACAAAAACAACGTGAATGGAAAAAAATGATGGAGAACAAGTTGGAGAAAGATTTTTGGGGAATCGGATTACCCAAAGGATTCGCGGAGTTGAAGAGACTTATGGGTTGATCACGGGAATGAATATCAAATGAATTTTCTCGATCAAATGAATATCCAAGTCTCAAATTGTCTCTAAATACCGGACTCCTTTTGGAGTCTGATGAAGAAGAATCGAATAGATGGATATTGAAAGTTGTAGATTTGTTTCATTGTTGTCACCGACATTCACCCAATCATTTGATCATGACAATGACAATGACAACTAACATTCAATTATGCACATTGTCAATACACTACTCAAATACTATAAACGACAGTAATCAACAAGTACATCCTCTTTCTGATCCAATATGGTGCAAGAGTCATCGCTCTCCTCTATGACAACTAACATTCAATTATGCACATTGTCAATACACTAACTTAACTCAGTCGATTCGTAGGCTTTTGTTTCATCAAGTTAGATAAGACCGTTGTTTCAAATTCAATTTCAGATGAATCCAAACTAGCTCTTGCCTCGTGAGAGTCTACATGAAACCATACTTTTATGTGCTTGAAATCACATGTTCGACTCCAGTGTCTTCAGAATTCAATTAGATCTTACGGTAGTTGTATTCAAGTTTAGGTCTCTTTTTCTTCTAAACTCTTAGCTCAAAGTTCACCAAATATTGCCCAATCACCGAGAGTCATATCAAACGGGTCTCTCACGTATCGAAAAGGAGAAAAGAGAGTCTTAAGATCTCTTTTCTTTTTTTGTTTGTGTGAAGTGTTTCTTGATTGTCTGGATTGTCTTCTCATCCGGATATGATCTCACTTGAGAAAGTTGAAGAAAAATCGAAAGACGAAGAATAAATTTGTTCAAGGAATGAAAGGGGAAAGGATTGGGTACGGGGATAAGGGAAGGGTTGGAAGGAGGTGATGGAAGGGGGAGGGGTTGAAGGGGAAGGGGTTGAAGGGTACGGGGAATGACGTCATCTTTCCGAGTGAAACCACAAACCGCTCAATGATGCGGAAGGGGAAAAGACACAGTCTGCATGCAAGAGATATCCAACAAACGTTTTTTCTATTGGATCTTTTGGATTCTGTAGGTACTATAGACGCGGTGATCTGTACAAAGTACAGTAATGTATTACCGTACCCTATTAAATCATTTCTTAACTTTTATTCCAACTCTGCAAGGGTACAGAATAGAGCTTTTTTTTCTACCAAAAGATGCGCTCAAGCTACCGTACTCCGTACGAACCCGTACGAATAGGATTACGGTAGATTGGTACTGAGTAGTTTGTCTTGTGTGTTTATTTCAATTTTGAGCCTAGTAGTATTACAAGTGAATTTTGGACCGTTTCATTTGAATTCACCCGGAATTTTGTCTACTGTAGGGTACTGTACGCCAAATAACGTTTGAGGTATCAAAGTGAACTACATACTGTACAAAAATAGCACAGTACAAGTACGCTTTTCCGTACTCCTCGATACATTACAGTAGCACCAATCCTACTCTTCCCACACACCAAAATGACGATGATTTAGGCGTGAACACTTTCGGTCACTCACTCATTCACCACCCAAAAACCTGTCCGATTGTTTTTCCACCTCAAAAAAAGAGGTGCGTAAATATTTTGGCATCTTTTCTTCGAATCGGCTGGAGCTTAGACTTAGGTTGGGAAAGGAGAAAAAAAAGAAAAAAAAGAAAGGATCAAAAAGGCGTCACCGAGTCTGAATAAAAAGAAAAGAGAAGAGAAAAAGAAGGAAAAAAAGAAGGAAAAAAGGACGTGGACATTGAAGAGAAGAAGATTTTGTGTGACCATCACTTGAACAAACAAATGAGAATTTTTTTGAAAGAACTAGGCCATGGTGCACAACGGGAGAGGTGGAGGGGTACCCGGTGAACCCGACACCCGGTTTTCTTCTCTTCTTCGCACTTCACGTGGGCACTGATCTCTTTGACGGACAAAATCGAGTTGATCTGGGACCTGGGAGAAATACTCTAGCTTTTTGAAAATAGGGTTATCTGTTACTTTTGCAGATAATGACATTGAAATGGTTTAAATATAAATTTACTGTATCCTTTACCGTACCCACTGACGTAATCGATTGCCAAATAGCATAGGTTACGGTTTGTGCCAATATCTCCTACCAGTTCTCCTCAAAATACTAAACTTTATCCTTGTAAAGAAAAAGCCCTAAAGTATAGTATCGTGTATGTCGTTTGATTGTCTCTTTTGTGTACTCGCAATCACTCAACAAGAGCAATTCAAAGAGGTAGACGGAAAAAAAAACTGAGACTATTTGATGTCGACCACTCTTTTTGTCTTTTTTTTCCTTTTCGGTAAACAAATACCTCAAAAATGTAACATTTGGCGGAGCAGGTTGTAAAGAAGAAAAGGAACAACTGGAAAAGAAAGAACATTCCATTGGCAATTGAAAAACGGGAAGTTGTGCGTAGTGAGTAATCTATTTGAGGAATGGCTGAGAAACTGGTACAAGAATATTAAATTTCATCACTACTATGCAACCAGTGAAACCAGATAAGTAACGCTGTTTATGTCTTTTGTTTCCATGCATTCATGACACTCTACAGAAGTCTACCTTATCGACGGCTTTAAAGTAAGCATGATACTAAACCATTTATTCAAAACAAGCCAATAAAATATATACATAAATGACTAAATATTTCCGCAAAATTCATACACATCTCCGCGTGAATGGCGGTAGCTGCTTTTATCTCTAAATAAAATGCCCTATAAAATATTTGAAAAGAAAACCAACTTCAAGCAATCATCATGGCGTTTATACGCCTTGCTCTATCTTTTATTTCATCAATGATACATATTCATCAGCAATACATAAAACCGTAAAAATCAACAGAATTCAATACAGCTAAACAAAGAACAGTAAATCGTTAAATTTCACTTGTTTTTTCTTATAACATTGAGTGCACTAGGCAACAAAAATATTTCAAACGTAAAGAAATCAACTGAAATCAGCTTCAAAGGCAAATATAGCGTTATTTATAAAAAATTTATCAAAATCCGTGATTGTTCGAAATTGCACATCGATTGACCGGTGAGTTTCATTTTGCACAAATTCCTCTAATGTGTCGCAGTGTGTCGTCATGTAATGCGTCCACAGGTGAGCATAAACACGTCCGGATTTATCCCTGTAGCGTCTGTTGGGACAATGGCGGGAGTAACGGTGATCTCCTTTTCGAGTCGAAATTCGATATAACGAACCTCAAGGGACCGGCCAAAAAGTTCGTTATATCGAAGTATTTGTTGTATCAAAAAGCATTTTTAGATAAAACTCTTTGTTGTGACTAAAAATAGTGTTCGTTATATCGAACGTTTTGTTGTATCGAAGTTCAACTGTACTTTGTAGATCAGAAAAAATAAAAATATGCAAAAGTTTAATAAAATAGTATAAAGTTCAAAAATAACACCTTTCACACGAGTCGAACTGCGAAGTTGTTGGGCCTAACCGGCCTTGTGTGTGCCCACAACGTATTCGCACCTTTGCAAATTGTCCATTTAACAGTTCTAGAAAAAAAGCATTGCTTGAAAAACGTGAAAAAACGACAAAAAAAGTGCAAAAAAAAGTAGGGGGACAGATAAATCAAGAGATAAATCTACAAAAACAAGATACTTTTGGGGTGGGAGTGTTCTAGTTGTATGTGTTTTACGGGAAAACAAAAAAAAACACTATCGCGTAGCTAAAATTTGCGCAAAATAGTTGAAAATGGCGAAAAAATGTCGAGGGGGACACTCGAAAACTATAGGGTTAGTTAATCGTTAACGTACGTTTAGTTAATCGTTAACGTTCCTCTTGAATTCCCGCTACTTCACTGAATATTATGAAGCTTAATTAATGCTTGAAGAGCGAGAATTAACAAGCGAAAAATCTTTCATTCACTTTTCCAAAGTTCAGGTTCGGGATTCATGCACATTTTTCACCACATTCTATCTCAACAAATAGAAAATGATTAAAATTGGTGCACAAAAGCTGTTTTTTCGCGCTTTTATTAGTTTTTTTTTCAATTTATTTATTTGTTTTCTTTTCTTCTTATATCGGGCATTTTTATTCTAGTGTGGGTCATCCATGATAGCTAGTCAAATTTTTTACCTTATTCCCTTATCTTTTCTAATGGTTTTCTAATCATGGGTGGCCCACGCTGGAAGAAAAATGCCCGATTTCTAGAGTAAAGCGCAAAAAACAGTATTGGAGCTCCATTTTCTGTGTTTTCCCGCTCTGCGTCCGCGTCACTTGACGGTGAGCCATCAGTTGAACTTCGTCAATCCATTCACCGGATCCCACACGCAAAACATCGAGTCAATGTGGGAAGGCTTCAAGAAAGCACACATCAAGCGACCGAACGGTGTCAGCATTCGCTCCAACGACCGCTACTGACTACTTCCATGGATTCTTGTGGAAAAAGAAATTCGACGATGATTCATTCTTCCACTTCTGGCGTCAAGTCACTGAGATTTACGTTTGCAAGCGTTGAAAAACCGTATTTGAAGAAAAAAATTGCCCCCCCCCCAACCTCAAAAGTATCACTTTCTTTTTCATTGCACATATTCTTTTCATTTATTTTAATGTGAAAGCAAAGTTTCAAATTTGGGGTAGACTAATTTCCGGAATTTTTTTTGCGCAACAGCGTCGTTTGCGCAACTCGCCATAACTTTCTTCTAAGTGGGCCAATCTTTATGATTTTGGTCCACTTAGAAGAAAGTTATGGCGCCTCCGAAGAGCGACATCCGCCGTTGACCAGGCATCCTTCCGACATTGTACTTGCGCTTCGAGATTGCAGTTTCATCAATTTCGACATGAACACCGGGACAACCAATTGTGCGTGGGCGAGCGTTGAACCATTGCGTGAAGAGGCCTCGTAGCCACTGCTGATGAATTGCACCTCTTTAGCCATGCTTCTGTGAGTGTCGTAGTGGCGAAGGTGCAAGTACACGAACTTGAAGGCTTGTCTCGAGGTCAGATGGGAACCTTAAAAAAAGACAAAGTACCCAATTCGGTGCTTGCGATCGGACTGACAACATCGGCTCTTGTTGCACTTCCATTTGGGCTTCTGCCCTTGCAATTCAATGGCAGAAACATAATGTGTTGGGGTAAGAACCTTTTTAGTAAATTGTTTCTTTTGTCAAAATGTGAGCTTTTCTATCTACTTGCTTGCTTGAAACAACTTGCATGAAAATTGCGGTCAAGGTCTGAATCTTGTGCAAACGTTTAGCTGAATAGTCAACTGAATAGGGATGTTCAATTGTTCAATTGATTTTTACTTTTTTTTGTCAAAAAGCTTTATTTTTATGCAATTTTGAGAAAGTTAAATAAATTAATAAAAAAGTCAAAAATTTACATAAAAAACAGGAAATTTGTATGTAAAATTAAGCAAAATTAAGCAAAATCAAGCAAAAGAAAGCCATTTGTACTTGAAATTTCAATATTTTTCTGTCACTTTCGATCTATGGTGTCCTTTTCGTGATTTGAATCATCAGAAAGCTGTGTCAACTCGGCATTTAATGTCATTTAACCAGAATTGAGCTTGCCAATGATGGCTAAACGACTAGTTTATAATGAGGCTCCAGGATTACGATAGCTTTTTCCTAATTTCAGAATTTGAGAAAGTTTAGATTAGATTTAGAAAGTTTAGATTATCGAATTCGTTCCAAAAACATTGTGAGATCCGTGGTGTATTCAACTTAAAAGTTTAGGATTTGTATGTTCGAATTAAAGTGTTTGAAGTATCCCGGCTTTGAACCTGACATTGTTCAAAGGCTGACCTCCCCTTCACAACTGACAACGGCTCAGGCTCAACTCCAAGTAAAAGAGCATCCTCTTTAGAACGACCTGACTTCTAGTATTATTGTAGAATTCATAAGATTTATGTGCAGAAATGTGATCGACGATAAGAGAGTTAAGCAGAGGAGGAGGAATCCAAGTTGAAAGTAGGTCCGGAGTTCGAGTTGGGCCTAAAGGCACGCTCCTTCATTCTTCCTTTAGCGTTTAGATCCTACAGGGATTGTTAGGCAGAAGAGTAATTTACAATAAATCAAATTACATAAATGATACAACTTTACTAGCAACTTTTTATACTGAATTTTGAGTAAATTGAAATTATTATCTCCAAATGCCTGTTCCATTTGATTAACATTTTAAAAATCCTTTTAAATTCCTTTTGAACAAACCTCTTGAACTTTAAACATAAAAAGTGGCTTTAGAGCAAATATTTGGCTCATGCTTACAGCTTGAAGTGCACTTTGTGCTCAAAATTTATAAACCAACCCTTTATAGTGCACTCAATTCTTCTAAGGAGTTCAGTGAGCCAGAAAGGATGCGTTTATCGATTGTTGAGCACAAAGTACACAAGTTTTGCTTGCATATCTTGCATTGCATATTTATTTAAGCTCAATAGTTTAATTTGTACGATTAACACCTAGTCAAAGAATCTCCAGAGACACCTAACAATTCAACTGGTTTTGGGAAAATCACTTCCTAAAACCTGGATAATGTCCCTGATCCAAGATTCCCTCGAAACCATTGGCGCCAAAGGAAGTGATCCCAATTTGAGGGTGATTGAATGATGAAATATCAATAGAAATTACTTGCACCACATTGCTAAATTCATCCTTGACCAAAATGGCCGCCGGAATCACCCTGGAAATCAAATATTTCAGTTTTTAGCTTTTTAGCTTCACTAGAAAATTTGGTCTCACATGATACGCATTTACGAGTGCATTCACTCATCCACCGGACTCTCTTATACCGATTTCCCAGTTTCTATAGCTTTCAGCTTGGAAAGCTTGGGTCCATCTAGTTATACGGAGTTGCAGTATGAATCATCACGATAATTTCTATGATATACAAGGTGCGGCATATATACAGGGTGCGCCATAATTACCCGCACAACATTTCATAGGCAGGCCCACATTGTTAAAAGTCATCACGTTTTTTCCTCTCTTTTTACTGAACAACATTCTTTTGTAGTTCTTCTATCTGTTTTATTTCCTAATTCATTTGAAGTTTTTAGGTGAACGTAAAATGGTGAAGCCATCGGCAAGTCGAGGGGCGATACTCGATCTTCATCAAAAGGGCGTTTCTCCATCCGACATCATTCGACGACTCAAACTGCCTCGGCGTACGGTTTATGATGCTATCGCACTTGGAACGCTTAAGGACCGTCCAAGAACAGAAAGAAAAGTTACCGTCACGACCAACAGGCTCAAGAAAATCGTCAAGAAACGAATCCAACGAAATCCAAGAAGGAGCATTCGAGGCTCAGCAAAAGATCTAAAAATTCCCGAAATTCGATGAGACGACTTGTTAGAGAGAATGCATTATTTTGCCTTTCCAAGATAATACATTAAGCTAGGCTGAAAAACAAGAATTAATTATAAAATCTACGCGTAATTTTACATAGAATAGAAGAATCGTAACATTTTTGAATGACTTTGACAACTCAGTACAGTACAAAACCCAGTACAGTTGAACAGTATAAAAAATACTATGTGGCAGGAGGCTGAAAAACAGTTAAATTCGAGTTTGGGGTCTCTAAAAAAATTGTCTTTTTCCGTCTTTTTCTGCATTAATACAGCTTCAGAGTTAATTACTATAAAAGTAGTGCTTTTTTAGCTGTATTATTGCAAATCTTTTGGTTTTCGAGAAAATCATTCTTTTGTAGAGCGCAACACAACGCAATATGCCGCAAATACCCTTGATTCGGGTTCTTGTACTGATTTCAAATCGTTATTGACAATACTACAATCATTTACTGATTATACACACCCTAGAAGTTGTATCGTACTGTATGTACCGTGTAGCCAATGTAGTGTAGCCAATGTACCGTATACACGTGCTGTAACATCTCTTCAAAAGAACTTACAGGCGGCGACCCGTGTCCCAAAGATCCAGCACAAAGATTCCCATTTGAGATCCGCGCTTTTCCACCCGAAGCTTTCCACCATTCAAGTCTACAAATGAAATTTGCCTCTCAAATTAATTTCCATCAATACGAGCAAGTTTTCGTGTCCTGAATGGGCAGAGTGCTCGTTTTCAGCACATTCGATGGCCCATTCGTGTACTGGAAGCCGAGGGGGATTTTTTCTGAATAACTTGTTTGCTCTAGAGTAGACATGGGTGCCAAAAGCTACAAAAGTAAACTACAAACGCTTCTAACTTGCTTCAAAGCTGCCAGATTGACATGATCTATAGCTTAAAAAATAGAGAATCTCAAGAGCTTTCGAATGGACTAAAGCACACGCAAAATGTGAATGCCAAAGAAAGCTACACAGTGTTTTGTAGTTCTGTCTCAAAACGAACCGTACTTGCGCGTAGTCGAAGCGTCAGGCTATAAACCACTGCAGTTTTCTTTAGCTTTAGTTTGAATTAGGTAAATATCTAAAGTTAAACAATCAAAAAGCTAATTTACTTGAGAAATTGTAAAAGAAACGCAAGAGGTTTTTAATAGTAAACATGACATCGACATTTGTGAAAAGGATCAAAGAAACGAGAGACTTTTTGAAGAAATCCCTTCACTTTCATGTGCTTTCTGTAGTGAAAATTGAAAGTAATTTGAAAGGATTTTGTGTCGGGGAAAAATAGAAGATCTAATGAATAGAGAATCGACTTTCTCTCGCTGATTCTCTTTCGAAATGAGATAAATGAAATGACTTCATACGTTGATTGATCGTTATTCCTTTCATTTTCTTTCTCCAGAATCTCTTTTGTTGATGGCAAATTTTAAAGCCTTGTTCTTTGAGGAAAGCTTTTCTTTTCTCGAATTCTTTTACTGGATCTCTGGACGACCATCGGTAGATATGAGTGCAAATCGATCCTGAAAAGTTTGGGTTCTTGCTCGAAAATCCTTTCTTTAGAAGTATTTCAATAGATTCTTTAAAAATATCTTCTTTCTTTCAGATTTTTCGAATTGATTTGAGATTAAGACTTGCAAAATGCTCATAAAAGACCGGTAGGGGCAAATGAAAACTGAGATTTTTTCGTAATTTCATTTTTTTAATCATGTTTAGAAGAAATTGTACACTGTAGTCTGCATTCGATAAAAAACGAAAATGAAAACTTTGAACAACTTTTGGACAATAAGAATCAATGGTCGTTTCAAAAAGGGAATAATCATTGACAAATACAAGATATTCAGCTAAAGAAGAGAATTTTGGAAGGAAATCGAAAAGATTATAAGGGAAAGATGTGGGATTTGATGTTATTGATGGAGTCTTGATGAACAAATGGATTCGGATTCGAACAAATGGATTGGGTGGACGATTCGGGGTAGAGATGTTTGATTGAGATGGATCGGCTGGGGGTGAGGGGTTTTGAGGCTAAATATATCGATTAGTCTGACTTTTTGGTTTCGTAATCAAAGCTTATGTCTGGAAATTTAGTTTTTAAAGTTGACAACCCTCCTGAAAATTGTCTTCTTTAAAAATTTTGACATCTCAGAGAAGGACTAAAACTAAATAGGTTGGAAAAAGATCGATGAATGGACAGTTCGGCTTTGATACAATTTCATTCCTTTGCGATTGATCTCTGAACATTTTTTCTTTGCATGTCGTATTTGTTGTGTGGATGTGTGGATATTTTTGTTAAAGCTCCGAATAAAAGTGACCACATTTCCCCCCTTAGCCTATAACTGAACTCAGAAGCGTCGGGTCGTCTTGCGACTTGCAACTGGCGAAAAGAGAACTTGGACTTGCGAAGAAAAAATGCACAAGAGATATGTTTGTCACTAGTTGATTATCATGAATTAGTATCAGAATTCTATTATGATTTCCATTTGTAACAACTGCAATTGATTTATACTCGCTTTCCCATAATCATTAAATTTCTATTGTTTGTTTGAATACTCTCAAACCAAAGCCTTTATAAGCAAGGGTTCCTACCATTTTTGTCTCATTCTGCCCATCTTTCTTTTAGCATGTTGCCTCACTTTTTGCCCATCCTTCGTTCATTATTTTAGTAAGACGCTTTGCTATAATTGGTTTTAAATGTTGTAGTTTGTGATTGCTTTCCAGTGGATGTTTCGTACAAGTTTTATTTTAGCACATGTCAACCTCATCTTTCAACTTCCTCGAAGAACTTCCCGATGTCGTCTTCTATGCGGTGTTGGAGAGACTGCCGGGACGGGTCATCGAAAAGTTAGCGACCCTTATTTTCTAATTTTAATCTTTGCTTTAGCACTGTTCGACTAATCTCAAGAGATTGCTACAGAAGGGCCGAGTTGCGCAGAGGGAGACTTCCTCGTGTTTATAACGATCAACTTATGATTCTTGCAGGGAGCAGGGCAAGATATTATTGGGTTTGTTACAAAAACATCGGTTTTAGTTTGGGTATAGAAGAGAGCCTAGCGAGATAGCAAGGCCTTACTATGACTTTGACTATGAAGAAACGATGGATCCGGACAACTTAATTGAACATTTGAATCATTTGAAAGAGCGTGCAACCTTCAAGACCCTCGAATTGGTTAGTTTTCCGTAACATTTAATGGCACTTAAAATCCGTTTTTTAGGAGAATATCAATTGGGACATGTTTGCAAATTGCAAGTTGCAAATCGAATGCGAAGAATTGTATTGTTTTGTCAGTTTTACGACTCTTTCGCCGGAAAGTTTCATGGATATTTTTTGCAGTATAAGACCAACACGCAAGCTAAAGATTGGGGTAAGTTTGTATTGCACGAATCAAAATTAGGCTCATTAAGGCGAATGGGGACAACAAAATTTTTCCTGTGACGAGTGACTTTTTCACCAACAATTATGCGGCTCGATTGCAAGAAGTTTCGTTTTGCGGTTACGGGAATGCCATGGTTGATCCATTAAATGACACGGTTTGTTTTGGTTTGGTCCTTAATGAACAATTTGTTACGACCCTTACTCCGGTTAATATTTATTGTTTAGATCTTGTTGTATTCAAATCTTTCGATTTTTGAGATTTATTTTCCAACAAGTCTCGGGTGCACTCTTGATGGGATTCTAACGATGCTCCGAGACTGGTACACTTCAGAGCGTCGAATTGATTACATTGACCTTCTAGCAGCTGGCGAACGTCAAAATGTGAGCTCTTTTAACTTTCTTATTTTGCTGAAAATAATTTGGATGCGGTTTTTAAAAGAGCTGCAAGATCAACTTAACTATTCTAGTCTAGATAGCCTAGATAATCATTAAAAGCAATTCAAAGCAATTGGTCATTTTCCCGATATTCCCGGTGATTGTTCCATTTTTAGTTCTTGCGCAATTTACCTGGATTGCTCGTTGATAAAATGATCTACTACAAGGGTTGCTGGGAATTTAGCCGCGCTTTGGAAAGAGCGAATGGGGACGTCATTAAGCTTGATGTTTACATTGATCCTAGCATTGATCCAAAGCACGGCCCTCTTAGGTATGTTTTAGCATGGTTTTTTTTCTAACGTATGAAACGCGTTCAATGAAACTATTTATTACAAAATTGTTTTAGGATCGAAATGATTCGACTAGTGCCCGGCCCGAAAGCTGACTTATATAGGCGGTTTGATGACGCTGGTGGTCATGACGATGATGACGTGGATTCTGACGTGGATTAATGCACAGTGGATATTTATTCTCTATTTTGAATTAAAGCTGTATTTTGTACTGTAAATTTGTGATGTATTTTAAAGCTTAAGTTTCGATGTTGGACGTGTGATGGCTCTTTCTTGGAAAGTACCTGCTACTACTAATGTCAAAATTTGAAACTTTTCTCACACTGAATAAATCCTTCATGATTTCATTGTTCTTGGTGCTTTCCTTTAAGCCGAACTTGTTCAAGTTTTAAATGAACACTAATGAGTTTATGAAAATCGTACAAGTTTTCTTTCTTCCTAAAAGCTGCTCGGAAATTTCGGTATCGATATTTTGAAAGCAACTAAACCAAGCCGGTCTACATGCCACGCACGATCCATTTCGCCGCCTCAGAATCTCCCCAGTTTCCGTGTTCATTTCGATCAAACGGAACAAATGGGTTTCTTCTTTCACAAGGCAACCAATAGTTCAACTGTGAACTAACTCTTTCCAAACAATTTGTTCTATTCTCTTTTGCAGCAAAATATAGTAATCTTTATTTTGAGATGTTTTGTTTGTTTATTGAATATTTTTTTACAAGTTTATTTCACATTTACAAAAAATAGGAGATTTCATTGAGGCGATTGAGTCTTGTCGTTCTTGTCGCTTGAGTCTCTAGAAGCCGTGGGCGCCTAAAAAGAAAACTTTATTAAAAGAAAATTTCCCTTGACTGCAACATAACACTAACACATAACATTCAAGTATTAAATAAAATAAGGTACCTGACATAGCGCAATAGTTCGAATAAAAGGTTCCACTTCCAGTTCCACCGTGGCCCACGCCTCCTCCACCACCACCGCCATGAGGACCGTCTAAAATAAAAATGTTCAGGTAAAAAAAGAAATCAAATACCATCAGGGCCCATAGGTGCTGGTGCCATGGGGATTTGCACAGCCTCCTCGACAACGAGATTGACACGAATATCGAGATTGACACGAATATAAGAAAAAATGTTTTTTTGAAAAATAAAATGACCGTTTCGTATCAACAAACTCACCTCTAATCCACCCCAGTAAGTGAGCATTCGAAGCTGGTAGGTCCCTGGCTGAGCTGTCTGGTGAGCCAATTTGAATTTGATAACGCGACGAGGTTCAAGAGTGCCTGAGATGAATGTCCTGACACCATCTGGAAGAGCGGCGACATCTCGATCTTCAGTCCATCCGAAGTTCCAGTCGTGACATTGATCGTTTCCTTGCTCATCATAAGGACCGTCAATCTAAAACAAAACACATTGAAATAATCAAGGAAATTTAAACTTAGGACTTTTAAAAGATCACCACAAAAATTTTTTTGAATTTGAAAATTAACAAAAAAAATTCCAATTTAAAAGTGGTAAAGATTCAAAGCTAAACTTTGTAGGAATTTAGATTTGCTTTAATCGCAAAAAACTAACCGTAAAAGGGACATTGACAAGCGCACGGAGCTCAAAGTGACGGCTTCCATTTCGCTTGAATACGAGCGTCTAAATTTAAAATTATTCAAACAAAAAAACATGTAAACTGACGAACCAGCATCTTCGTCTCTTTGTCCGGCCAGACCCCGAGCAGACTCACAGGAGCGGACTTCCAGTAGAAGGGCGATGCCATTCTTGCAGCGTTCGTGTCTAAACGAAAATTAAGAATGAAAAACTATTGAAACAAAGAAACAATCCTCAGACCAAACCTAGTATTAAATAAAATAAGGTACCTGAAGCGCAGTAGTTCGGCAAAAAGGTTCCAATTCCAGGCAATTTAACGTGGCCGACGCCTCCTCCACCACCACCGCCATGAGGACCGTCTAAAATAAAAATGTTCAGATAAAGAAAGAAATCAAATACCATCAGGGCCCATAGGTGCTGGTGCCATCGGGGTTTGCACAGCCCCCTTGACCAAGAGATTGACACGAATATCTTGCATCTATAAGAAAAAATGTTTTTTTGAAAATTAAAATGACCGTTTCGTATCAACAAACTCACCAATCGGCCATCCACGTCAATAAGAATTCGAAGCTGGTAGGTTCCTGGCTGAGGTGCCACCTTAGGGTCCAATGAGATGAATCTGATTTGACCACCTTCAAGAGGGGCGACTTTTCCATCTCCAAGCCATTGGATCGTCCAGTTGTCAAGATGATCGCTTCCTTGCCGATCATAAAGTCCTTCAATCTAAAACAAAACACATTGAAATAGTCAAAGAAATTGAAACTTTTAAAAGAGCACCACAAAAATTTTTCTGAATTTGAAAATTGACAAAAAAAATTCTAATTTAAAAGTGGTAAAGATTCAAACCAAAACTTTGTCTGAATTTAGATTTGCTTTAATCGCAAAAAACTAACCGTAATGTTCACAGTGACATTGGCCTTGAGCCGAAAGTTATTACGAGATTCACTTGGATCGTATTCGAACGTCTAAATTTAAAATTATTCAAACAAAAAACATCTAAACTGACGAACCGGCATGTTGTCTTGGCATCTAAGCTTGTTGTGCTAATAAAATAAAATTTGTTACCATCAATTCCTCATCCGACGAGTCAGTCAACGCATACTCCTTTGCATTACTTGATGTAGACGAATCGACGAAACTTAGCGACGTAATATCGTGTGCCCGTCTTGTAGGGGAAACTCTAAACACAAAATTTTATAAGGCATTATTGATTCAAATCTGTATAAGTTTTGCGCAATTAACCCCGCTTGGAGTTGATTAAGGTAAGTATCTTTCTAAAGCTTTTAAAAGTCAAAATCTGATCACATTTTCCTTGTTGCTTTCCTCTGCCGAGTAGAAAGTCTCCCCCTCGATGTCCTGTATCGACAACATGCTAAAGTTGGCGATTTCCTCGTCGCTCATTTCCTAAAGTTAAATAATAAATTTATATATCGATCAAACTGAAATTTGAATCAAGAAAACAAAATCACGTTACATAAACAAAATAGCATTATTTCGAGTGCACATATTCATGAATACTAAGCGTCGTTTGTTCCGCCCATCGACCCGCACCAAGAACAATGAAATCATGAAGGATTTATTCAGTGTGAGAAAAGTTTCAAATTTTGACATTAGTAGTAGCAGGTACTTTCCAAGAAAGAGCCATCACACGTCCAACATCGAAACTTAAGCTTTAAAATACATCACAAATTTACAGTACAAAATACAGCTTTAATTCAAAATAGAGAATAAATATCCACTGTGCATTAATCCACGTCAGAATCCACGTCATCATCGTCATGACCACCAGCGTCATCAAACCGCCTATATAAGTCAGCTTTCGGGCCGGGCACTAGTCGAATCATTTCGATCCTAAAACAATTTTGTAATAAATAGTTTCATTGAACGCGTTTCATACGTTAGAAAAAAAACCATGCTAAAACATACCTAAGAGGGCCGTGCTTTGGATCAATGCTAGGATCAATGTAAACATCAAGCTTAATGACGTCCCCATTCGCTCTTTCCAAAGCGCGGCTAAATTCCCAGCAACCCTTGTAGTAGATCATTTTATCAACGAGCAATCCAGGTAAATTGCGCAAGAACTAAAAATGGAACAATCACCGGGAATATCGGGAAAATGACCAATTGCTTTGAATTGCTTTTAATGATTATCTAGGCTATCTAGACTAGAATAGTTAAGTTGATCTTGCAGCTCTTTTAAAAACCGCATCCAAATTATTTTCAGCAAAATAAGAAAGTTAAAAGAGCTCACATTTTGACGTTCGCCAGCTGCTAGAAGGTCAATGTAATCAATTCGACGCTCTGAAGTGTACCAGTCTCGGAGCATCGTTAGAATCCCATCAAGAGTGCACCCGGGACTGGTCAATGTCAATGGAAAATGAATGTCAAAAATCGAAAGATTTGAATACAACAAGATCTAAACAATAAATATTAACCGGAGTAAGGGTCGTAACAAATTGTTCATTGAGGACCAAATCAAAACAAACCGTGTCATTTAATGGATCAACCATTGTTGACAATATCGTTGATGAAAAGATGAAAAGGGAAAAGCATGGTTTGATTACAGTTACGACAGGCACAAGACAGAAAAGCCAAAGACGCACAATTCCTATCCTCACAAGGCAAAACATCAAATTTGAAAGAAGTAGAGAGACGGACTCGCGCTAGATCCTCTTTGCTTTGTATTCTAACCTACTGCCCTGAGCCACCACTTCTTAAAGACTCTGGGGAATCGGCTTAGAAACTCGGGGTGTGATTTTTGGAATCCCATACAAAACTTTGCACACTTATAACTTTTGACAGAGTGCTCCTTAGTCGAAACGGAAAGCATATTCGGAATCGGCGTCGAATGGTCTATGGCTCATGTTATTTGGCCGGCACACCCAGTTGACCTTCCCCTGTGAGATCTTCAAGGTAAATTTCAATGATTTGTTGAAAAGCAATGTGTTTTAGTTCGTTTTACTGTAGAAGGAACAAGTGGAAAAGAAAGAACGTTCCATTGGCAATTGAAAAACGGAAAGTTGTGCGTAGTGAGTAATCTTGAGGAATGGCTGAGAAGCTGGTACAAGAACATTAAATTTCATCACTACTATGCAACCAGTGAAACCAGATAAGTAACGCTGTTCATGTCTTTTGTTTCCATGCATTCATGACACTCTACAGAAGTCTACCTTATCGACGGCTTTAAAGTAAGCATGATACTAAACCATTTATTCAAAACAAGCCAATAAAACATATACATAAATGACTAAACATTTCCGCAAAATTCATACACATCTCCGCGTGAATGGCGGTAGCTGCTTTTATCTCTAAATAAAATGCTCTTTAAAATATTTGAAAAGAAAACCAACTTCAAGCAATCATCATGGCGTTTATACTCGACCAGCGTGCCGGCGGGAAGATTAAGAACTTGTCCGAGAGTGTCACGAATTCGATTACGTATTGGGAAGTCATCAGCTGATCTGAATCAAAAAAATTAAAAAACAAAACTAAACTAACCTGTTCCAAATCGAAATTATGTCTTCGTCCCTGCGCACACTGCAAACTGCTCCGCAAATATCATCTTCCACATCAAATTGTTCGCCAATTATCGCCATTAACAGGTTCTCCCAAATTCTGGAGGCAGTCCCCTTAAATTAAAAATCAATGAAACCATTTTCAACAAGAAACGCTATTCAACATATAAAATCTACCTTTTTAATTCGTAAAATCGACTTTCCGCCTTTTTTGTTTTCTTCGTCTTCCCATGTCGGTTTGATGTCTTTCTTGAAAAAATGAAGTTCTCCTTTTTTCACAAAATCTAAACAAAAAACTAAAACGTTACTCCTAAAAACAAAGGCATACCACAAGGTCGCACCATATGACAATAAACGCGCCAGAATTGCTCTACGCTGTTCACGATAGCAGCCGTTTGAACGTATTTTGAATAGTCTTCGGGATTGAAGACGCCGGCTGGTCGGAAGAAGTAGGAGAATTCGTAGGTATGCTGAAGGGGATGTTCATCAGGCCCACAAGGCTTCTCAGTCTAAACATAAATAAGTTAGCAGTGCTTTACAGGTACCTTTTCAGAAATTTAGAAATATGTAGATATTTATGCGGAATAAGCACTTACAACGGCAAGTTCTCTGGAGTCGGTCATTACAATGCCTGGCGTCAAACCTTTTTATAACTAAAAATAAAGTTGATGAAATAGAGATGAAAGAAAAACGGTTCTAACTTGGAAAAAAGTTAAAGCTTATTGTAACCAACGCTCCGGAACATTTTGCTGAGGTGGGGAAATTGCACAACTAATATTATACATTTCGAGTGTCAAGGTGTCCCCCTAGGGGGACACCTTTTTCAACGTATTTTGCCCATAACTTTCTTCTAACTTTTAAATCCAAAGTTCTTCCACTTTGCTAAATGCATACAGATAGAATGAAATTTAAAATATTGCTCGGCAGCAGAAAAATGCGTAAGATGTAATTTGCATGTAAAAGAGTCCTGATCTAGAGATCCTGAGGGCACGTAGCACAAATCTGATTGCAGATTCGGATTTCCTCATCCTCGAAAACCCCCGAGTACAATTTTCAGCTTTCTAGCTGACTTCGTTGTAATTTTACGTTAACGTAATTTGTATTGTCGCGTAGGCGTGACGGAGGGACGAACAGACAGACAAACAGGCGGACACTTTATTTTTTGTACATAACGGATATACCCAAAATATTTGCCCTTTACGGTTCGAATTTTCAATTGTTTGATTAAATGTCAAAAACTTTCTCAGGCGAAAGGCTTTTCTCATTTTTTCATTTCACCCATTCGATTTCCAGCTTTGGTTTTATCTTTTAAAAAGCCTGTTCATATTTTGTTTTTTAGACAATGCGTGAAATCGTGCACTTGCAAGCCGGTCAATGCGGCAACCAAATTGGGACGAAGTTCTGGGAGGTCATCTCGGATGAACATGGAATCCAACAAGACGGCAGCTACAAAGGCGACTCGGATCTGCAACTTGAACGCATCAACGTCTACTACAATGAGGCTAATGGTTCGTTTGCTTCTTTATACCTAGCTTTCTTCATCTTTTATTTTAGGTGGCAAATACGTGCCTCGCGCCGTGCTGGTCGATCTTGAGCCTGGAACAATGGACACGGTGCGCAATGGACCCTACGGAGGAATCTACCGTCCCGACAACTTCGTCTTCGCTCAATCGGGTGCTGGAAACAACTGGGCCAAAGGACACTACACTGAGGGAGCCGAGTTGGTCGACCAAGTACTTGATGTGGTTCGTCGAGAGGCCGAGGGATGCGACTGCTTGCAAGGATTCCAACTCACACATTCGCTTGGTGGAGGCACTGGATCTGGCATGGGAACCCTGTTGATTTCAAAGATCCGTGAAGAATACCCGGATCGCATCATGTCCTCATTCTCGGTCGTCCCATCGCCAAAGGTATTACTTTGTTCTGAAAGATAATTGCTTATTTCCTGTTTTCGGTTTCCGACACGGTGGTCGAGCCATACAATGCAACCCTGTCTGTGCACCAACTCGTCGAGAACACCGATGAGACGTTCTGCATCGACAACGAGGCACTCTATGACATCTGCTTCCGAACACTCAAGCTCAACAGCCCGACTTATGGCGATTTGAATCATCTTGGTTAGTTTTGTAAAAGTTTGCAGTTTTGTCATTTGGTTTAGTTTCTATGACGATGTCTGGTGTGACAACTTGTCTTCGCTTCCCTGGACAACTCAACGCAGATCTACGAAAGCTTGCCGTTAACATGGTGCCTTTCCCACGTCTCCACTTCTTCATGCCTGGCTTCGCTCCCCTCTCGCCCAAAGGAACCACCCAATACAAAGCTCTGACGGTCGCCGAGCTCACACAACAGATGTTCGACGCCAAGAACATGATGGCCGCTTGTGATCCACGCCATGGACGATACTTGACTGTCGCAGCAATGTTCCGTGGAAAGATGAGTATGCGCGAGGTTAGTTTTTTTCTTGATTATTACCTTTTAGATTTTAACGATGGTTCGACTATTGTACTTGTTGTTTAGGTGGATGACCAAATGATGCACGTCCAGAACAAGAACTCCGCCTACTTCGTCGAATGGATCCCCAACAATGTGAAGACGGCCGTTTGCGACATTCCACCTCGAGGATTGAAGATGGCTGCAACCTTCGTCGGCAATTCAACCGCCATTCAAGAACTATTCAAGCGCATCTCTGAGCAATTCACTGGTTGGTTTTGCTTCAAACATCGGATATTAATGCGTTTTATTTCAGCCATGTTCCGTCGCAAAGCTTTCCTCCACTGGTACACTGGCGAAGGAATGGACGAAATGGAGTTCACGGAAGCCGAATCGAATATGATCGACCTCGTCTCCGAATACCAACAGTACCAAGAGGCCGAAGCTGAGGTGCAAGAAGAAGGCGATTTCGAGGAGGAAACTACTGGCGGAGAAATGCTGGGAGACACGCTTTGAATGTATTGATTGTCAGTTTTATGTATTGTCTTGTCTTGCCAGGCGTATTATCGAGTAAATTTTCAAACGTTCTGTTCAATAAATGTTCTGTCTGACAAGTTTTGTAGAATGCAGCTTATTTGTGTCATTTCAAAGTAATACATGATTCGAAGCGCCATGTTTGCTCCATACATTTCGATATTTATCCAAAGTCACATACTCTAAATTGATTTTGCCGCTCATGAGTATGAACTACCTCTCGAAGTTATACAGATAGAATTATGCATTTGAATGCAGTCAGAATTATATTATGCATTTTTAGCTATTTGATCTGACTGAAATGCCAATTTGCGACAAGTTCCGAGTTCTTTTCAACCAGAACCATGTGTTTCTCGACGAGAGCCGCTACAAGTTCTGCTGTGGATTGCTTCCTGTCGAGGTTATTGTTTTGCCAAATTAAAGCCATTTTAACGTCTATTTAGATTGCTGCTTTACTGTTCTTCATCATGGAAATATTTGCTCTGGGCACGGCTTTCTCAAACGCCAGTATGCACAACCAGGCATTGACGGTTTGTTTTTTGCCCTTTTATTTTAAAATGTCTCGTTTTAGTGGGGATACTTCATGGGAATGATTGTGCTCGTCGGATGCATTGTCACCACTCTTTTGGGAAATCACAAGACGGGCAAAATTGTTCTCTTTTTGCTGGTAAACTGGCTTGTGTTGGATGGTAATACATAGTGTTTTTAGCCTGTATTGGATGTGATGAGTGTCGGCTACTACTTGATGGCCATCTTGTGTTTCAAGGGAGCATTTAATAGGTATTCTGATTCTACATACCTACCTACCTAATTCAAATGCTTCTAGCCCCCATTGTGCAGCTGGTAATGCAAGTTTCGACTCAAGCGCTCAAAAGGATATCAAGGGAAATTGTGTGTTTTACAGTTAGATAACAATAACTCATGCTTTTAGTGCTTATTGGCTCCCTCATCTTCTTCGTTCCACTCTTCATCTGGGAGTACTTGGTCTTCTATCTTCATTATACTAGCCTGAAGTATTTTTTATTTGCCAGATATTCTTATTTTATCGAATTAAGGGAGAAGCGTGGCAAAATCGACGTCGAACTTTGCAATGAGGTCAAGCTCATTCCCAAACCTCAAGGCACAGTAAGCTTTTGACAATTTTTTATTGAGCAATTGTTTTAGAGTGTTGCTGTGGGTGAAGTCTTGATGACCAACACTTCGCCAAAGAAGAACATCGCTCCCCAGCGCGTCAAGGAGGAACGTCGTGGAGCAGCTGGGCCATCGCACTAAGATTACAGAGGAATCTCGTTAAAGTCTAATTTTTGTTGTTACCGTTACAAAATTTTTTACCTATCTAGTTGTTTTTGTTGTTATCCTTACGTTCAGTTGTTACTCAATTAGATAAATCTTGAACTTTAAAACGAAATGTGCAGCCAATTTGAGTAGAGTACAAAACTTGTGGATAGGGAAACCAGTCGTGAGCGTTTTTGACAAGCCTCTTTCAGCTTTATTGTTGGATTTAAATGAAAGTCATTTTAATCCTCCGGGAGTTGATATTCACGCATTTTATTCTTTAACAAAGACACAAGTATTAAAACTGAAAACGACAAGATTGATAGAAATGTATTACCCGCCTAAAAATTAAGTGAAGGGGATGATATCGAGCGAAAAGATAACAACAAGACACGTAAAATCTGAAATCACAAAAGAAACATTCACTGTTAAAACAAATCCTTAAATCGTTCCCTTTGAAAGTTTTCCATCCGTCTTTTCCAACACCATTTCCATATTCCATGATTCACCTAAAAACGGAAAATCTGAATTTCTTCAACAGAAAAATGATGCCTGGTTTAGGGACGGTTCCGTCGGGATTTTTGCAAGGAGCTGTCACACTTTTGCGCAATACAGAATCCACGTCTACTTCCGAGAAAAAGGCAATGTTCTGGAAGAAAGTTAATTTTGTCTCTGAGTCAAAATAGAAAAAAGTACAAGTGGATCTTACCATGGGTAATTGTTGTATTCCGATCGCCTGTGAAATCGTGGCTCTCACGTAGGCATTACTCCACATTAATGCCAGCGCACATCGGCCAACATCTTCGTCTTTGCACAAGTATCGAACCTAAATTAGAATACACGATATTAACATTGAACAGTCAGCTAAAAGCGTCCACCAGTCGGTGTCTTATTCATTTTTATATTCTCTTCGATTGAACGGATCATTTTCTGGTGAGTTTTTGTTTTTTGAGCTGCAATTTGGGACTTTTCAACATTTGTGTTAAACTTTTGAATTTTAGATCCATAATGCCAGCCAAGGGATCGGTCAAGTCGAGGAGAAGAATTGTGAGGAAAATCTTGGTCTTCTGATTTACATTTTTTTAGGTTTCCCCACCCGAACAGCCGAAAGATTTTGTCAAATTTGTTAACGATCAATTGGGCCCAAAAAAGAAGACTGATGCCTATGAAGTTTTTTGGGAAATTTTTTGATGGTAATAGAGGTTGTTAAGAAAATCACTGGAGGTAAGGAGTATCGACCGAATTGGCAAAACCTCGCCTCGATCTACAATCAATCGCGCCTTCAATTGATGGTTGGAGAGAAGCAACTTCTCAAGGTAAAAATTTGGTGCTTTAGATGAAGAATAGGTGTCTCAATAGGTAACTGGGTTGTTTTTAGGTTGAGCCACAAAAACCGAACGACAATCTGTTTTTGCCGGGCTCTTACACGTCTTACGATCATCGCGACTACACTTTTTATCAGGTGGGTAAATAATTTTTTCGCTATGTCTTGATTTAGGCTCCCAAAACCGAACAAACAACCATCGATTTGTGGAGAGCCGTTTGGCAGGTTTGGGATTTTGAGAATTTTCAATAATTTTACCCTTTTTAGGACGAGACTTGCGTGATTGTTTCTGTTTCCCAAAAGGGTGATTTTGCGAAAGAGCCAACCACACGCTGTTATCCATATTGGCCAAAAAAAGAAGGAGAAACACTCACACTTGCCGTTGGTGACATTTATTCAATTAACGAAGCTTTGAAAGTTAGAGTAACCCTTTTCTTTTAGAATGGTCGTTATGTGATCAAATGCACGAAGCGGCTCACTGAGGGACTCGATCCGTCAAAGCCTGAAGCTCAACAAAGAGGCCATGTAATCTACGAGTTAAACCTGCAAAGTACTGACAAATTTATCAAAGATGAAGAAAATAAGGTTGAGATTCGGGGAAAATATGGGTGAATTGACAATATACTTTAGAAAGAGGGCGAAGAGACGGAGACTGTGACCAAAGAGGTGTACATTCCGAATGGATATGATCAACTTTTTTAATTTTAGGTGTCATTGTTGCACTATGAGAATTGGAGTCCGGATAAATGGCCCGACAGAGACGATATCATTCATTTTATCTTCGATATCAGCAAGAAAGAAAAAGAGGTAATGTGCTAATGTTGAATGAAATTTCTCCCCTTTAGGCTGTGAAACGAGCTCAAAATGCCTACATACCACCAGTTTTGCTGCAAGGATATGAAGCAATTGGACGGTTTGTTTTGTTGACAAATTTGACTGGGCTCGTTTTAGAACAAGCGTTGTCTGGGTGGCTCTGGCAATTATGCGACACGCCGAGCAAAAAGATGGATTTGATGTGGGCGATGTGATAAACAAATTGGCCAGGTGAGTGGGCCAATAAATTGGTACTGATTGAACAATCAATGATTACTTGCTTACTTTTAAATTAGAGACCTCTTTGTGTTTTAAATATTTCAATTTAGACAACGTCCCGGTGTTTTTCGTGATCGACTTCATTACACGTACGCCTATGCGCTCTCCTTTCGCGTCGCCGCTTTCACCGGACAATTTACGGTGATTGAGATTTCTTTTTTTTGCTACTTTCACTTAAAGATACTATAAAATACTTTAGTGAAGCTGGGGGTTTGCATTGTTTCTTTACCTTTTATTTTAGGATTGGAAGAAAATCTGCGGTGAATTGAAGGAAAGCTACGAGAAGAGCGCTCTCACCTCAACCCGCGATGCACTACAGCCAAATTAAAAAGATTCCTTTTTATGATATTGCTTTGACATTTAGTTACTAAAGATTGACTAATAAACAATTTAATCTGTCTGTTTTTGATCCGTTTGTGGTGCATTTAAAAATTTTGATTGTAAAACAAACCTCATCGTGAATAGAAATCATGAATCGACAACCAATATCGTACTCGGTGCACAACCAATCCATGCTCAAAAGCAAAAGATGCAAAAAGTCAACAGCCGACGATTGTACAACCTACATATTTATTCGAAATTTTGAGTAAGTAGTGATTCATTTACCCAATTCATTCGACTTCTCATGAAAGTGTCGAGAAATAGTTGTTTTTCGGTGCCTGTACAATTTTGTGGAATCGAGAGACCGGAGCCAAGAATACATTCTGAAAGCAAATTTATAGAAAGATTTTGGTAGAAGACATACTTAAAACTGGAGTGCACATTTGACCCTGTCTAGCTGACCAAACGAGATAATTGAAGGTTGACGACTCACTGAGTGATTAAGTTATTAAGAAAAAGCATGGCGATACTTACTATCCCCCAATGAAGTACTTTTCGGTCGAACTGAAGTTTTCATAAATTTCGGGGATGGGTTTGAAAGTAGTCGAATCCGAGATAGAAAATCCTCGATTTCTCAGCTCTTGAATAAGCCATTCTTCAAAAAGGCGTGATGAAGGTCTAAATCTAATATTAAGCAAAACGAATCAAATTTAAACGTCGAATGTAACAGTCCTTAAATATTCACTTTTCGCTTCCGTCATCATCATCTAAACTGTAAGTGGGCACAAAAAATTGTCCACCAGCGCGCACAAAAGAATCCATTAAACCATTCACTTTGCAGAATTCGAGAAAAAACGGAATCACCGATTGTTTCAACTTTCGAAGCCTAAAACAAAAAAAATAGGCATTTCAAAGTTTCCATACGGTATTTCTTTTCCTTTTGTGTTCTCAAAAAGTTTCCGCGCAATTTCTTCAGCTTTCTTTTCATCTGTGCCGCCCTCTCTAGAACAAATATCGTTCGAACAAATAAAAACGCTTACATTAATGTGTTTTTAGCATTCGTGATCCCGGCTCCATACAAGCGAGCATAGTTGAGGATCTGAAAAGGGGTGTTAACTAAAATGACACTTTCCAAACCTTTGCCGTGTCTCGTTTAATCTTCAAATCATTTGCAATAACTGAATGCAAATCGCTGTTGTCCGATCGATGTCCAGCTAGAGCCATATTCGAGAAAGGTGTTCGACCGGGTCGACGCTCGTTTTGATCTGAAAATTTTGGAATGGTTAGTTCATCTATTTTTCGAGCACTTAACAGTAAAGGAGTTAATGAATCAATGTAATCCTTATACTTGAGTGCATAGCTGATAAATAAAATTTACCAAGCCCAGCCGCATCACTTGCATCACCCATTATGGCGGCTAACCATTGTTCTTGGGAATCAACATCGGCGCCTAAACATGAATATTATTAAAGGTAGTGCATTGAATCTGTCTAACCTACAATACAGTATCCTGGCGGCGCTTGAACCATCGACTTTAAATGTGTACCGATTCTGCTCTCCTTTTCATCCTAAAATATTATTTAAATTTTGCTAAATCTTAAAACAAACCCACCTTTACATTAGTCATTGTAACCCAAAGTGCGTGAACAGCTCGACGAGACACCGTTCCGGCTGGTCTAATACCCGGCGCCAATGCTCCGATCTAAAAGTTGGCAGTTTAAAAAGTTCGTTTACCATTTTAAAGGCTCTATTTCAAAATTTTTTTAATTTACTAGTTTTGTTGCGTTCTCCAATTTGGAATCTGTCTTCGACGGCAATTCAATGTCTGATGCTTCTGGTTGCCATACGTGGATCTCATCGGCAAAGCGTTTACTAAAGTTTTGGCTTGAACAAATTATTTTAACGGCTATGCTTAAAACCTGTAGCTTATCCAAAATTTTGTCGTAAAGAAGTCGCTGACAAAGTCGTTAAATTCTTTTTGAAACCTATAAGAATAAAATAAAGTCACCATGCAAACGCTTTATCTATGTACAAAATAATACCTTGTTGGTTTTAGAAGGCGCCCTAAAAGCGATTTGTAAGTGAGAGCGAACGGGGTTGCGATTTTAGTTGATTTGTGACCAGACGCCTTAAAAAAGTTCAAACTGATTTTTTGATTGTAAAAACCTTTTCGAGTTGTTTATAGTAAAATGGGCCAATCTTTTTCAGGTTTTCCTCAACAGAAAGATCAACGAGTAATTCCTTTGGTGCAAACCCAAAGCGTTCATTGTAGATGTTCCATAATGCACTAAATTCTGTTGCTTAAAAGGAAAAAAAAGCAGATAAACCCCGCCGGCATTAGTACTTTGCTTTTCTCTTTGCCCAATTCTACAAAATCGTCGGGTTCTAAATCTAAAAATTTAAACTTGCCAAAGGTCATCTTCATAAAAACAAACCACGACATTCATTTACTACAGGAATCAAGTATCCCCAGCCATAAACGGGATGATCATAAAGTGGATAAGGACCATAAACCATTCCAAAGATCTAGAAGAGTAATAAAGAATGCCAAAAGAAATAGACAAACCTTTGGAATGAGTTTACCATATCTCACATTTAAAGTGTCATCTCCAATATCTTCAATCGATAAAGCACGTTGTTCGGCGTTAGCAAAGAGATTATTATACCATCTAGACAAAAGTTTAGTCGATATCTGAACTCTTATCTAATAGTAAAAAAATACCTGGGATTGGAGTCTTTTCGTGAGAGTTTCCAATCTTCTGTCCAAAGCCACGGATCGGTACTAGAATCAAAAGTTAAATCGTTTATAGCTTTTACAATACATATTCGTTTCTTCGCATAACGTCTTGGCACTTTTGACAATTTGAATGGAATTCTGGAAAGTAAAAAGGTCAAACAAGGTTTTTCTCAACAGGTACCTGCTGCTTTTGTTCCAACAGAGCTTTTTCGCATGAATCGTAATATTGTGGCCAGTATCTATTGATCGGAAGATAGGCATCACCCATGTTTAGAAAGCCATACAGCGTCACTGGTGACGGATACCTGAAAATTGAACACAACAGCTTTTGCAATCTTTCAAAACTAACATCTCACGAAACTTCGGGACAAGTTTCTGGAAAGCCTTTGCAGTTGCAATTACCTAAAAGTTTATGTATCCAAATACAAATCCAAACGTACGTCCAATGCACAATAGGCCATGCATTCCTAAAAAGCAGAGATGTTCGATTCAAAAATTTTGTTAACAACTCACCTGAAAGTTCTTTGTTTCCCGAAAAAACATAATTGGTTCTTTCACAAAATAGTCCCGTTCCGTTTTCTTCATCATGGATATCTTTTTCGATAATCGGTCCTTATCTTCACTCAACAGAAACTTACAAAGCTAAAGATTCCTTAATTACATAACTTTTAAAAAAATGTTTACATCTTTCAGCGAGACTTTTGTAGCATTTGTGCGCCATTTTGCCATCAACTTCTCCAATTTCATTGCAGCCCAATCTTTGCGGAAAATCTATTTTTTTAAACTTGGTGGCAAAATCAATTTCGTACCGTTTTCTCTTCGGTAAGATCATCCTTATTGTAAAGTCCCTGTTGATGATCGGCCATTCCATAAATTGAAGCTCCCGCGGATAAGGTATCAAAATAACGGAGTCCAGTTTTCTAAAAAAACTTGAAAAAACTTTCAAATGTTCACATACATATTGAAGGTATGGTTCTCTTGTTCTCGCACGATCGAATCCAACGTTGTGACCAACCACCAGACGCGCCTTCCGATCCTCTCCATCAACCGAGAGCGGGATCATTTCGTTGGTTGTCGCAAAATCATAATAAGGTGTATTCTCGACGAGCCTTTTTGAACACCAAGAGTACCTAAAATGTTCAATATATAAACTTCAGCAGTATCTAGTTAATCTCCACATTAAGCAATCGAACCATCCTCATTTAATACTACTGTTTTAGACAGTTCAAGCTTCTATTTTTCCCTTTACTCAATTCTCTATTTCATTGTCTTAAACAGTCTACCCATCAATAACCCATATTCGTTTTGATGTAACACGAATGTGTTGTTGTTTATCGATAACGGAATAATACAGAAACTCCAAATATTAACCCACCAAGCTTTTGATGTGAGAGCGATAGCCATTGTCGGAAGTTTCCCTTTTGGTTCTGCATCTGTCACACAAACTTCCACATCAAAAACTGAGCACGATTCGAGTGGATGTGAAACCTTTAGCCACATCTACTCGTAAAAATAAATTCAAAAGTACCTCGGTAATTTCACCAGTTTGATGATCGTAACGAGTCCACCCTGTTCTGAAATTGAATTCTTTTGGAAGCAATTTGTAAAGTTTTTCTAAGTTCCATTGCATCATTTCATCCATGTATGCGGAGTAGGTGTCGGTCTAGAAAAAATATTTTAAGGTTACTTTTAGAAAGTTACTTTTTCTCTAGCAACTGCTTCAAAGTGCTGCAAAAGATTCGCATTCCTGAGCACCGGCTTTTCCAAGATTTCCAACTTTTTTGAAAATGCATCGTTCGAGGCAGTGCTCGGAACCTTGAAAAGAGGTGTTGACGTTATGCAGTTAAATTGATACCTCAACATTCGGAAATAAATGATTATGGAGAAAAACGGGAAGCGTCGTGATCTGTTTTGGTACAAACTAAAAGATTTAAAATGTTTCTGTTTATGATAACCAAGTGAAGTATAGGAAAAACCTTTGAAGCTGCGGAGGACTGTCGCCGAATATTTGAAAAACGGGGAAGTCGGCGAAAATTTTTCATCAGGAAATTCAATCCCTCTGAACTTGAGTTATGTTTGTGACAAATTTCTTGCGGAGAAAAAATAAAAGAGTGCATTTAACCGGAAGCAAATATATCCGATCTCAAACAGCTTTATTTTCACGATCAATCACAGATTCGTCAAATTCTATCAGATATGTTGTCGCTCCCTCATGCCAATGGGCACTCACTTTGCATGGAAAGTTCGAAGCCTAGAAATTAAATATGTCGCAATCATAAAAAAAAATGTCCAGAATTTGCACATACCTCTAGCATAGCCTCAATAATTCCTGCCGAGAACGCAGCACAATTTAAACTGTTGTCCTTGGGTACCGAGATGTAAGTGTTCACAAGGGGTTCCTTTTCGATCAAATGATCTAAAAGTGGATGTAAAAATTCGACATAAAACTGAAACTCACAATTTCTGGGATTATCATTTGAGCGTTCCAGTCTATCCGCCTCCTTGCCAAACAGGTTCTTCCAAATTGTACTCTAAAATTTCGTATTCATCTCAAAAAGGGAATGAATAAAATGAAAAAGCAATGATTAAAGCTACCTTCAAAAACATCAACATTCCAAGCAACTTAGTTTCTCGTTTGTACCCTTTTTCTCGTAGAACGATCAAATCGAGCATTCTAATTCCAATGAATCGCCCAAGAGACACTAATCTAAATCTAAAGTTTAGAATCGATTTAAAATATATTAACTTTAATTACAGCTACACGATTTGAAGTGAAGTTTGAAGGATTGAAAACTCAAATTCTAGTATTCGTTCTTCAATTCACAAATTACAAAAACAAAGATAACTTACTTATCATGTAGTTCTTCTCCAGATTTTACCCTCTGTTGCACATATGCGATGATTTCCGAAAATAAAACGGCAAATGTTGAAAGATTGACCTTAAAGATTACTTTATTCAAAAATTTTTCTAAAATGTAGGTTAAAAGAAATATAAAACCAAACCTCGGCTTTTCCTTTGCTCAAATTTTTGTCCAAAATGCTCTGATTCTTTGCCATTTTCAAGCCTAAACAAAAACCATATCAAATAACAAGAAAATCTAAAATAAAACAAAACAATAAAATAACAAAATAATAAATATATCTATTTGGTATCTTTTGAACTAATCTTTGTCAAAATTGCATTTGAGAGACAATCCGAGGGAATATCTTTAAGTTCATAAACTTTTCGAATCGATGCCTCGTCGGCCAAGGATTGAAGTGCTTCCAGTGTTGTCTCCGTTGCTTGTATTATCGAAAGGATTTCCGGCTCTTCATCAAAACATATCACCAATATATGTTTTGTCTCCGCATTTACTCCAAAAACTTTTAGCGTTTCATCGATTCTTTTCATCGGGCTCAAACAATAGATTACCTCAGTGTAGATGTTTTTCGCGTGCATACAATTTGCGGTTTCGTTGCTCAGAGCTTGATTTATTCCACCAAGAATCACGAAGAGATCCGCAAAATGTTTTCCATCAAGAATCGTCGCAGCTGAAGGATTTTCTTTGATCTTTCTCGCGAGTTCTTCTCCATTTTTGACATCTTTCAGTAGGGAAATCGTGATTTTCCTCGTCTTTTTCAAGTCAAATGGATCGTAGTTGAGCTCGAATTGTGTAGGCATGAGAAGCGATGGTTGAACAAACTAAAAACAGAAAAATTGGCTTGGTTTAAAGATGGAAAAGTAAAAACACTACAATAAAATGAACACTACAAGAAATTTCAGAAAAGTTCTAAAGTCGTTGGACGATTTAAAGATATTTGTTTAATTGTTTAAACAGCAACGCTATGAAATTTTCTCGCAAAAATAATGTTACTGAACAAGAGATCATTTGCATAATTTCAGAAGTTCTAGTTGCGGTCGTTTTCTTTTTTGCTTTTGAAGAAATAGCGGGGTAGGCTACTTTCCGCCATTTTATTTGCGCAACAGGGTCATTTGCGCAAGTACGTTTGCGCAACTTTTTATTTGCGCAACTTTTTTTGCGCAACAGGGTCATTTGCGCAACTTTTTTGACGTTTTTAAGGGACGTTTTTTTAAGGGAGTTTTTGGCGTTTTTTTTTTGTTGTTTAAAATTCTAGTACGGTTTTGTTTATTCTTAAAAACCATTGTTAACTAATTTTCCGCATTTTCCCAAGAATCCGCATCCATCGTATACTGCGGTCAGACTTTACGAAGAAATGACGCAAATAATCAACCGTTTCAAGCTTTCATCGGCTATCAATCTCACTGTTGGACAAAACTACACACGGAAGAAAACTGTATTGGCTCGACAAAAGCAACGTTTTACTGCTATTTCTAATGGTCGCTTGCCCGGTTGCGATTTTGTGCAACATCTTTCTCAGCTTTTGACTTATATTAAAAAAATTTGATTTTTATTGTTGTCCTAAATTTCATTGCTATTGTTGTCCTAACTTTCATTGTTATCGGTTGCACTTTTTTGTTAAAGCGATAAAATACTTTACTAATGGTTATTAGCTCTTAGAAAGGACTAATTTAGATAAATATTGGAAGATTGTGCAAAAAATTGGAAGATTTCATAAAAAATAGAAGAAAATAAAAAAACAATAAAAAAAAGCTCAAAAATTAAAATAATGATTAAAAATTCGAGTGCTTAATACAGTGTTAAAGTTGCGCAAATGACCCTTTTTGTGCAAAAAAAAGTTGCGCAAATGACCCTTGTTGCGCAAATAAAATGGCGGAAAGTAGCCTACCCCGAAATAGCGCCTACATTCCCACACAATAACATGGCGTAAACTACGTGATTATAGAAATTTTCGAATCTGGCAGTTCTTGTCCTATTGGTTAGGCGAAAACGCAGTAAGGATCGATTTTTAAAAGGTCTAAAGTCAGCGTGACATTTTACTCCCACTGATTTTTGTATGCTTTTAACGATGTTGTAAGTAACGTCCGTCGAATAATATTTTTTCATTTCAATTTCTACTTGACACTTCTAAATGTGAACTTCATACCTAGTTTATTTTAGATGTCTTCCGAGGATTATCAACTCAGCCGAGTTATTGATGCGCACAAGGATGACGTGAAAGCGGTGCAATCGACTTCGGAGGGTCTCATTATTAGTGGTGGACACGACCATTGCTTTCGTTTTTGGGCCAAAAAGTTTGTTTGACAAATTCTTTAATATTTTTCTTTAGGGGAGGAGAATTTTCCGAGGTCAGCAGCTTTCCACAAAAACCGAGTGTTCATGTCAATTCGTTGGGGTACTTCGAGGGAAATGGAGAATGGCGCTTATTCGCGGGAAGGTTTGATTGAGCGCATAGCACCTATAATTCACAAGTTTAGAAGAGATGGAACAATCACTGTTTATGGACCAGGGAGCACTGCTGAAAAGCCTCTACACACACTCGTCCTTCATGAACAAAATGGTTTGTTAGATCTTTTTTTATACTGTAATATCATTTGTTTAGTTGCTTGCCTCTTTGTTGACGAGAAACAAGAACTTGTGATGACGGGCTCCTGGGATAAGACTTGCGTGGTGTTTTCGATCAAAGAAATGGATAACGAGAGTCCACAAGTAATTGTTTCAGACGTTCAATAGATAGTCCTTAAATGTTTTCAGATTCTACGTCTAGTTGGACAGGCACAAATACTCGCGGTTCATTCACTTCCCGAGAAGGACTTGTACTTAACAGCGGGATCCGATAGAGTCATTCGTTTTTGGAAGAAAGATACTGAAATTCGGCAATTTACAGGTAAGCTTGCGGTTTCTTGCAAAAAAAAGTACTTTGATTTAGGCCACAAGGATGTTGTGAGGGCTTTATCGGTTCGCTCGAACGAACAGTTTATATCTGCATCAAATGATTCTACGATTCGAATTTGGGATATAGAAAGCGGTGCATGTATAGGAAAGATTTCTTCAAACTTTGACTCTTACATCTACAGGTTTGAGCGTTAAGTCCTCTTGTTTAATTATATGTTTAGTCTCACTTCTCTCGGCGACAAATTAGTCACAACCAGTGAAGGCGGTTACATTGAGATTTGGGAGCCTCAAGCGGAAAATAAAGTTGAGTCAAGTTATAGTTGTAGCTATAAATTCTATTTAGTTACTCTTTCAAAATCAACAAATCATCAAGACGCCGGCTCAGTCAATTTGGGATGCATGTTTTATGTTGAATGGCGATCTTGTTACCGCTGGAAGGTAAAATTCGATCCAAATTCAAGAAACATTAAGTTTAGTGATGGACGTATTTATGTTTGGACAACGAATGAAAAACGAAAGGCTCCACAAGCGATTATCGAAGCTCTGGATGCTGCGTTAGCTGCTCAAACAGCTAAAGAAGCTGAAATTGCAGAAAAACAAGTATTTTATGATTTGTCGTCTTTTTAAATTCTTTTTAGGCTGGCGGAAAAGTGGTCATCAAAGTAGCACTAGATGATGGAGCACCATCATTGGAGTTGATCTATGAGAAGGGTACCGATCCATCAATTGCCGCCGAGAAGTTTATCAGAGTAAGCGTTAGCCATCTCTAGCCTACAAATGTAACTATTTAGGATAACGATCTCCCCATCTCCTATCTTTCCGAAATCACCGAATACATCAAAGCAAACATTCCTGAAGCAAGAGCGGCGGTGGCAGCAAAGATGAAGCCACAGGAAACTCAGCGAGTTGAAGTCGATGGAGAGGTAATGTGATTTGGCTCGTGTTTACATAGCCCTATTTAGAAATGGGACTACGCTTTTGATATATCGGTTGACGATGGAAGAAAATTGCGTCTTTGTTATAACACTGGTGAAGACGTCGATTATGCAGCACAGCGATTTGTGGAAAAATACAACTTGCCAATGAAGTTTTTGGCGCAGGTAGTATTTGAAGATTTATTTTAACAGTAAACAGTTTTTAAGATCTCAACTTTTCTTCGACAACAAATGACTGAAGCTGGAGCAACAAAAGGATATACAGATCCATACACCGGCGGATCAAGGTAAATTTAAAGAAATATTTCAAATAAATTTTGATTTTATTACTTTAGTTATGTGCCGGAAAGTCAAACAAACATTGGTGGAAGTGTTGCTGATCCTTTCACTGGCGAAGGGAGGTATGTTGGCTGGTTGCTCGTTGCATTTTAACTAATTCTTTTCAGATATATTCCTTCATCTTTTGAGCCTACACCTATGGATATATCATCCGGCGATCCTTTGACAAGTGGTGGAAGGTTACGTTATCGTTTTTACACTCACGCTCTGTTTTAGATACGTTCCAGGTTCAGCAGACTCAAGTTTCCTGCCCAACTCTTCTCGTGTCGTCGACAAAAAGAAACCGCAAAGTAATTTTTTTCTTTGTCTTAAAATTGTATGTTCCAGGTGAATACTGTCCTTTGTCAAAATTTTACTTCTTTGGAGTCGAACAATTGAGCCAAAAAGCGAAAGACAAACTGAAGGAAGTTAATTCAACTCAAGAGATCTTTCAACTTAATGAAACACAGGTATTGATGCTTAAGAAATGTATAATTGTTGGCATTGAAATTCAGATTGGTGCATTAGAAGAAATAATGTGCCCAAAGCCTCAAAGCCTTAACGTGGAAATTTTGATTTCCGCAATTGAATTGGGCTTGCAATGGAATATTAAAGTAAGTGATTTGATGGAATTTGTTTTTAAATTATCTTTAGGATATTTTGCCAATTGTCGACGTTTTTCGAATTGCCCTACTTCACAAGGAATTAAACCAAGTCTTTTGTGATTTGAAGGTTTGATCAATCTTACTTTTCTAAAAATCTTGTTCAAGGGCCGTGGAGCGGATAGTCATCAACGATTGACGTCACTTATTGTTTCGGAACCATCAGATGCAGTGTGCGCAGTGCTTTGTCGTGCTATTTCGAATGCTTTTGCGCATAGTGAGTTTGTTTTAAAATGTGTAATGAATTTGCCTCTAAGGTTGGGGACAGGAAATGTTAATGAAAAATGTCGAATTTACGACCACTGTGATTGCACAACAAGTTCTACACACCAAGCCGGTTGTTCAGGTTGGAAACGTCTAAAAAGAAAAACTATGATTTATTCAGTTGGCTGCTTCAACAGCGTTGGCTAATTGGGCTTACTTATTGCTTCAACGATCGGAGAAAGTCGCCGAATTAGGACCCCGGGAGGATTTGATTCGCGTTATTATTAAGGTTTGAGTTAGAAACGATAAAGCCTCAAAAAATAATTTAAGGTTTTTGAAAACGAAATTTCATTTGGCGGAAAATCAGAATTAGCGCTGGTTCGATTGATGCAAGCAATTGCTACGTTGATGTGGGGTGATGCTGCTGTGATCAAAGTATGTTATGAGTAACGTTGTTTACAATTAATCTTTTTAGTTGGCAAAGCAAAGAAATATCGACAACATTGTGAATCGGATTAAAGATGGAGTTGTGGAGGAGTCAAGCAAAGCACTCGCGAGAGATATCATTGAAATGCTGAACGCCGTTACACTTTAAAGTTTCTCTTATTCGTTTTTTTTTTAAAATGTTTGCCTTTTTAGATTTTTCGGTAAGCTTTGGAGATATTTTTTGTTTCTAGTATTATTTAATCCGTTTTTTGTTTGCGTGTTTGCTGGTCAGATAAATATTTATTTTCTAAATCAGAAGGCAATAAAAATGAGATCAAGACACTCTGAAGATTTTTGGAAAATTAGAAACTTGTTGGAATTTTTGGTGCCAGGTAAGTCCTTTGCGGAATCGCAATTTTTTATCAAGTATTTTTTGCAGAATAATCATGGTGTAAAATTAATTTTTCTGTTCCTGCAATCGTGGTATGACCGTATTATTCGGTGTTCGACTGCAATTTCAACAATTTACAAGGAGATTTTCAACGATGAGTGCACACACAATTGGAGGCATTAAACCCCGATCAACGGCAGCTATTATAGGTTTATAAAAAAAGCTTTATTAATAAATAGTGATTCAAGTAAGATTATGGAAAACTCGAGCTTTTTTTATGTAATTTGTGTCTACTCAACAAGTCTGGTCTCAATAGTGAACATTTTCTTTTAGTTATTGGTGACGAGATTTTGAAGGGATCAACTCTGGATACAAATTCGCATTTTCTATGCAAGCGATTGCACAAATTGGGAGTTGTCGTCAGAAAAGTTCGTCTTTGTTTAACAAAAACAACTTCTTAACTTTTAGATACATGTGATCGGTGATGAAGTGAATTCGATTTCCAACGAAATTAAAGAACTGCACACAAAGGTTAGTTTGGTTACATACCTATGTGTTGTAATCATTTAGTTTTAGGTTGATTTTCTCTTCACTACTGGTGGAATTGGACCGACACATGATGATAAAACATTCTTGGGTGAGCTTTGCAATTTTGAAGGGTTAAAAAATTGAATTTAGGTTTGGCGAAAGCTTTTGAAGATGAATTGGTGTTTAACGAAGAGATTGCGTCGGCCGTGAGCTCACTTTCGAAGAAAACCGAGCCAAATAAAGGATTCATTCAAAAGCTGTCAACTGTAAGTACAATTACGGAAACATGCCACTAAATTTTGTCTAGATTCCCCGATCAGCCACTCTTCGTTGGGGTCGTGAGAAAGGAACAGGAGAACGGGGGAAATATCCGATTGTTCAGGTAAGGTTGAAATCTTTGCACAAATGGTAAGTTTTAGGTGAAAAACATTGTCGCTTTTCCTGGGGTTCCGCGATTTTGCGAGCTGGCTTTCGACAATATTGAGGTGGGACTTTGAAAAATTTCAATGACCTCTAATTTCAGGAAGAACTCTTCCCATCCACCGAGTTTCGTCCGATATTCAGGGAGACAATTTACGCGAATAAATCTGAATTCGAATTTTCAGATGAACTAACAAAGGTGAAATTGCTTTGACTTTAGTATTTATTTGTAAGTTGTCTTACAGACTGCCGATAATTTCGAAGGACGAGTGGAAATTGGAAGTTATCCCGATTTTAATAACAAGTTTGTTACTTAAAAAGTGTTTAAATTGCTTGTTTAGTTATTATAAAACGAAGTTGATCGTGGAAAGTGAAAACGAAGAAGACGGGGCAAAAGCGGTGGAAGAACTGAAGAAAATTATCGCAGGTTTGAAAATCACATAGATCTTATTGTGTTTCTTTAGAAAATCTCGTCTACTACGATGCAAAGCCTTGGCTGAATACCGTACAGAAATGGAATGCTTTTCGGTAATTGGAAAAGTTTAAAGTCATTATGTTTGGTTTAGTGAACGCAAGCTCGTATCAAATCCAAATTTTGTCAAAAGTCTTGACGGAGCAATGGCATGCATTGATGGCATTTTGGATGAGTACAGGTATTTAGTCAAAAATTGTCTTTTAAAATATTTTTTCAGTTTAAATCAAATAGCTCTTTCGTTTAATGGCGGTAAAGATTGCACAGTTCTTCTCCATATGTTGCGAGTTGCCATCGACAAGTTCGTTTTGACCGAAAATCAATAATTGTACGTTTTAGAAGATACGGACCAGGGCAAAAAATTGCTGGATTTCACATTGTTTGCGACGATCAATTCCCCGAGCTAACGCAATTTATCATTGATGCCGCAAAAATGTTCGTTTTCATGTATTTCTTGTAATTGCACCTTTCAGGTATAACATTGTTGTTATGGAATTACCGGGACCTCTCATAATTGGAGTGAGCTCATTGAAAGAACAACGGCCACAAATTGTGCCCGTTTTGATGGGAAGTCGTGCAAGTGATCCGAATGGAAAATATATGAAGTAAGTGGGTAAAAGATTGTTAAAATTGAAATGAAGCACAGATTCTGAATCCTGTTTTAGATCTAAAGTTGAGTGGACTGATTCGGATTGGCCTCGAGTACTTCGTGTGTGCCCGATTCTTCCGTGGAGCTATCAAGATGTTTGGATGATGTTGAGAGGTCTTTGTGTTCACTATTGTCAACTGTACGACCAGGTTGGGTTTGAATTTGGGCCTGAGATAAATTGTATCAGCAATTAAGAGAATTTACGGTGTTTTGTGAGTCCGTACAAAGTTCAGTTTCATATTTTAGGGTTACACATCATTAGGCGGTCGAGAGACAACAGTTCCAAATGAGATGTTGCGAATAGAAAGTAGCGGAAACATAAGGTAGTGTTGAAAGTGTTTGGACTAAAAATGCTAATGTTACCTGATAATGCATTTTAGATACTGCCCAGCTTATACACTCAACGATGGGAATGAAGAAAGGAAAGGACGCAAAAATAAATAAAGGCTGCTAACAAATCAACCTATTTTATCTGTGATAGTAGTTAAGTTTGTGATCTTAAATTTTTAGCCCTAAATTGCTTTGTATTTGTGATTTTGAACTAGTTTAATGCTATTTAAGTATCTACTTATTATTTTAGTTTGTTTGTGGAGAATAAATTTCTATTTGTAAACTTCTTGTTAGATTCTCTAAAGCATTCGGTTGGATTACTGTAGGACTGTTGTTTGCAAAACTTAATAAAGCCACAAATGAATATTGATAGGTCTTTACATTTGAAAATGTTAACAACTTTCTAGTATCTAAAACTTTTGAACTGATCAAAATCGAATGGATGAAGAAAAAGTTATATGCAAAACAACCAAAGTAATTCGAAATGGAATATATTTGTCGAAAGATGATAAGATTTTGATACAAGATCTCTAGATACAGTGCTGGAAAAAAAGTATTGATCGCCCTGTATTACTTTGGTTGTAACGTAACCTTCCACCACTTGTCAAAGGATCGCCGGATGATATATCCATAGGTGTAGGCTCAAAAGATGAAGGAATATATCTGAAAAGAATTAGTTAAAATGCAACGAGCAACCAGCCAACATACCTCCCTTCGCCAGTGAAAGGATCAGCAACACTTCCACCAATGTTTGTTTGACTTTCCGGCACATAACTAAAGTAATAAAATCAAAATTTATTTGAAATATTTCTTTAAATTTACCTTGATCCGCCGGTGTATGGATCTGTATATCCTTTTGTTGCTCCAGCTTCAGTCATTTGTTGTCGAAGAAAAGTTGAGATCTTAAAAACTGTTTACTGTTAAAATAAATCTTCAAATACTACCTGCGCCAAAAACTTCATTGGCAAGTTGTATTTTTCCACAAATCGCTGTGCTGCATAATCGACGTCTTCACCAGTGTTATAACAAAGACGCAATTTTCTTCCATCGTCAACCGATATATCAAAAGCGTAGTCCCATTTCTAAATAGGGCTATGTAAACACGAGCCAAATCACATTACCTCTCCATCGACTTCAACTCGCTGAGTTTCCTGTGGCTTCATCTTTGCTGCCACCGCCGCTCTTGCTTCAGGAATGTTTGCTTTGATGTATTCGGTGATTTCGGAAAGATAGGAGATGGGGAGATCGTTATCCTAAATAGTTACATTTGTAGGCTAGAGATGGCTAACGCTTACTCTGATAAACTTCTCGGCGGCAATTGATGGATCGGTACCCTTCTCATAGATCAACTCCAATGATGGTGCTCCATCATCTAGTGCTACTTTGATGACCACTTTTCCGCCAGCCTAAAAAGAATTTAAAAAGACGACAAATCATAAAATACTTGTTTTTCTGCAATTTCAGCTTCTTTAGCTGTTTGAGCAGCTAACGCAGCATCCAGAGCTTCGATAATCGCTTGTGGAGCCTTTCGTTTTTCATTCGTTGTCCAAACATAAATACGTCCATCACTAAACTTAATGTTTCTTGAATTTGGATCGAATTTTACCTTCCAGCGGTAACAAGATCGCCATTCAACATAAAACATGCATCCCAAATTGACTGAGCCGGCGTCTTGATGATTTGTTGATTTTGAAAGAGTAACTAAATAGAATTTATAGCTACAACTATAACTTGACTCAACTTTATTTTCCGCTTGAGGCTCCCAAATCTCAATGTAACCGCCTTCACTGGTTGTGACTAATTTGTCGCCGAGAGAAGTGAGACTAAACATATAATTAAACAAGAGGACTTAACGCTCAAACCTGTAGATGTAAGAGTCAAAGTTTGAAGAAATCTTTCCTATACATGCACCGCTTTCTATATCCCAAATTCGAATCGTAGAATCATTTGATGCAGATATAAACTGTTCGTTCGAGCGAACCGATAAAGCCCTCACAACATCCTTGTGGCCTAAATCAAAGTACTTTTTTTTGCAAGAAACCGCAAGCTTACCTGTAAATTGCCGAATTTCAGTATCTTTCTTCCAAAAACGAATGACTCTATCGGATCCCGCTGTTAAGTACAAGTCCTTCTCGGGAAGTGAATGAACCGCGAGTATTTGTGCCTGTCCAACTAGACGTAGAATCTGAAAACATTTAAGGACTATCTATTGAACGTCTGAAACAATTACTTGTGGACTCTCGTTATCCATTTCTTTGATCGAAAACACCACGCAAGTCTTATCCCAGGAGCCCGTCATCACAAGTTCTTGTTTCTCGTCAACAAAGAGGCAAGCAACTAAACAAATGATATTACAGTGGTCGCCTTCTCGTCCTTGAGCGTAAATTGAAGAATTCGGTCTGATTCAGACAATTCCGTCTTCGTTTCTGCCATTTTCGTTCTAAATAAGGAATTAATGATCGTGAAACAAGATTTGAAAAAAGGCTAAATTCGTAGCTATAACGAGCAACTACTCGTTACTTTCTGGATATAACGAGTGATCACTCGTTATTTCAAAGATTAACGAAAAGATTCAAAGAATAGAAGAATAGAAGAAATTAACGGATTCACAAAAGCGGGTTAGGCTACTTTGCGCCATTTTTTTGGTGCAACTGGGTCGTTTGTGCAGCTCGCCATAGCTTTCTTCTAAGTGGGCTAAGTGCGCCATAGCTTTCTTCTTTATGATTTTGGTTTCATTTTGTAGATAGTTCCAATAAGTGCAACAAAATAAAACCAAAATCATAAAGATTGGCCCACTTAGAAGAAAGTTATGGCTAGTTTATCTTTTCTTTACAGCTGATCAAGTCGAACACAGCGCCGAGAAAGAGATTCGCTTTCACATGGAAGGAGACAAAGCACCACTCAAATCGAGAGCCCGCGTACCACATGATTTAGGAAATCCAGGTATCAGAAGTTTTTTAGCTGATTATGTAATCCATTTTTCCAGCGCAAGATCCCTGGTTGTTGACGAACGCCTATGTGATGCACGACACTGGAAAATGGAAAGATTTCAACTTGAAATTTGTGCTCACTTCATGGCGTGACTATGTGATTCTGACAAAGAAGAATCGCAAATTTTTAGATCATGTCTACCCGGCTGTTAAGGTAAATTTTGGTGCGGAGGATTTTTTAAAATTTCTACTTTAGTTGCTGATCAATGATGCGCTTGATTGTTGGGATCAAGACCGTGATGGTTAGTGACCTTCCATTTTCTGATTTTTTATGGGAAATTTAGGAATGATCGAGAACTTCGGGAAAGCCGATCAAATATATGATGCATGGCAGATGGAGGGCGTCAGGTGGGAAAATAGTGTTTTACTTAAACTGAGAGTTGTTAGTGTTTATTGTGAATCGCTTTGGTTGGGCGCTTTGAGGGTGGCGGAGGCGATGGCTGAAGAATGTGGCGATATTGAAAGCTCGATTCGATACCATCAAACACTTGTCAAAGCTAAGCAGGTATATGAGTGGAGCGGCAACAATGCGTAGTTAATCGGATTTTAGGTGTTTATCGACAAGTTTGGAACGGAGCCTATTTCAACTTTTGCGAGCGCTCAAGGAGTCGTGATTCGGTAATGATCAATTGTGCGGGATCTGGTTTTTACAAAGTTGCTCACCGGAAATGGCTGCTGAGGTGAGTGGATTTAAAAGCTTTAACCAAGTTTTTTGTTGACGTGAATTTTATTTAGTTGGTTCCTACTGAGAAAGTGTCGAAAGCTTTGGCGACGATCTACGAGTTGAACGTGTGCAAATTTGGTGATGGGAAGATGGGCGCCGTGAATGGAATGAGACCCGATGGGACTTTGGATCGAGCGTACATACAGGTGTGATTTGTTTTTATCATTGTACAGCATGCCTTGTTACCATATTACCATGATGTATGGTCGAACAAAAAACCATCTCTATCAAATGAAATCAGAAATACCAAATTTGATTAAATTTGCATTTCATCTCAGAAATTAAAATATGTATATTCGAATTAACATTGATCACAAAAAAAATTCACAAAAGAAAGTGAAAGCTTCATTCTTCAAAAAGAATCTCATTTCGTCGTTTCTGGTTAGTTTTATTTTTGATTAGTTTTGAATTTTTGTACTTTCTGTATTAAATTTACCAAACTTAGTAACACTTAGGTCTTACTAAGTTTTATTCAATTTTTGTTTTCTAAATAACTAATGGAACAAATAATCCACGTGTTTTAGCAATGTAAAGGTGTATTAGTTTTCTAAAAGTGCCTTTTGAGAGATTTGGAAAAGCTCTGGTTTTAGGGGTTTTATGTTAGAAGTTAATGGCGCCGATTTGAACATTTTCATCGACAGAAACCTATTTTCATGTCAATAAGAAAATTATATAGCATCGAAACTTCGATAAGTAGACAAATTCGCATCTCGATTCGTCTAATTGCTTTCGAATCGGTTTCAAGAATTTTCTAAACTATAAACAACTTTGATTTGAGGAAAATTCTAATTATATTGGTGCTTTAGTTATTTAGAAAACACAAATTGAATAAGCATTAGCAAAACTCAGTGTTCAACCTAATAATTTAACCTGATAATTTTAGATGTTTCCTCAATTTGAAATTTCCCTCACGGACGAACAGGCCACCTACTTGACGGTCGACAGAACTGAGATCATAATCGATTACGACAATCAAAGATTTGCCTTCAAGCACAATGCTAATGGTCATCACTACCAACAAACTGTGCAACGAAAGAAACGAATTGTTACTATCCCTGGCCTCCGCCTCAAGGTAAAGATTTTTTTATAAATAAAAAAAGCACTAGGGAAATTTTGTTGTGAAACCTCAATCCCACGCCATCCTGGTTAAAATTTCTAACTTTTGTCATTTAGTTTCAAGGTCGTGAGGTCGGGACCTTTGATTTGGTGCTAGTTACTAGCAGCGGCTCCATCGAATTCGAATGCATCAAGGCGCTCCGCAACGGCGCAGGATACACCCCTATTTGATGGGAAGCCGTTTTCGAGCCGAGAGCCCCGACAGGACATCTGAATTTGCTTTCATGGTTAAATAAATGTGCCCTCGAGGCTAAATTAATTTTTTTTGCGGACTTTTTTTTGGTGTCAATAAAATGTTGTATATGCCTTCGAGATTTGATTCGTCCTGAAATATCCTACTTGCTGTCAAGATCAACAGCACTCCGAGAAAGAGCAGTTGAAAAACTCTCTGTAAACAAAACTTTAATAAGAGAGTCGGTTAAAGTTATACGTTATAAATTCACACATGGAAACTCGTCGGTACCAGACAATGTGGTACCATCCATCACTCGTTTCACTTGAAATAGTGCCATCCAAAATCATTTTAACAAGTGTAATAGGCCAAAAAATAGGGTAGTTTAACTACTATATCACTCAGTGATCACTCGTTATCTTACTGATTTGACCAAATAAAAATATAAATCAAACCATATACAAAAAGTCAAATACAACATTTTATTGACACCAAAAAAAAGTCCGCAAAAAAAATTAATTTAGCCTCGAGGGCACATTTATTTAACCATGAAAGCAAATTCAGATGTCCTGTCGGGGCTCTCGGCTCGAAAACGGCTTCCCATCAAATAGGGGTGTATCCTGCGCCGTTGCGGAGCGCCTTGATGCATTCGAATTCGATGGAGCCGCTGCTAGTAACTAGCACCAAATCGACGATTTCGCCCGAACGACCAGATCTACCCTAAATGACAAAAGTTAGAAATTTTAACCAGGATGGCGTGGGATTGAGGTTTCACAACAAAACTTCCCTAGCGCTTTTTTATTTATAAACAAATCTTTACCATAAAGCGAAGACCAGGGACAGTAACAACGCGTTTGTCTTTTGCAGGCAACGTTTGCTCGAAGTGATGACCATTCTTGTTATGTTTAAAGGTAAAAATCTGGTTCTTGAAATGGAGTTCGATTCGATTTTGGTCGACGTTCAAATAGGTCGCCTGTTCGTCCTTGAGCGTAAATTGAAGAATTCGGTCTGATTCAGACAATTCAGTCTTCGTTTCTGCCATTTTCGTTCTAAATAAGGAATTAATGATCGTGAAACAAGATTTGAAAAAAGGCTAAATTCGTAGCTATAACGAGCAACTACTCGTTACTTTCTGGATATAACGAGTGATCACTCGTTATTTCAAAGATTAACGAAAAGATTCAAAAGAATGGAAGAATAGAAGAAATTAACGGATTCACAAAAGCGGGGTAGGCTACTTTGCGCCATTTTTTTGGTGCAACTGGGTCGTTTGTGCAGCTCGCCATAGCTTTCTTCTGAGTGGGCCAATCTTTATGATTTTGGTTTCATTTTGTAGATAGTTTCAATAAGTGCAACAAAATAAAACCAAAATCATAAAGATTGGCCCACTTAGAAGAAAGTTATGGCGAGTTCCGCAAAAAAATTGTAGCCTACCCCAGAAAGAAAATCGTAAATCAGGCCATAAGCGAAGCTAGGGGGAAAGCGAAACGAAGACACCCAACCGGCTTGATGGAAACGAGAGTTTCAAATGAAATGTTTGCCAAAAAGAATTTCCTTCCCTCCCCCGAAATGCAAATGTAAATGTAAATCGAACCGGCGAACGAAGCAGCCAAAATGAAATTTTTTGATGGGTTCCTCACTCTCATAAGGGACAGAGCTTCAGGGGCGTGGCTTGCCGTTGGAAAGTGAAATTTGCCATTGGCAAGCTTTAACGTGAGTGGGCGTGGTCATCCTCACCGAGCATCAACTCATCGTCCGTAACGAAATGATTCAGCCGAAAGTTTGAGTGTTCTAGAGGGTTCCCTGGCATCGCATCGTTTCTGGCCAATGAAATTTTCAATAACCTGAAATTTCAATAATGAAATGACTTTGAGATCTCCATTCAATGATTAAAATCTATTCTTTTAGGTTTTTGATGCTCTTCCATTCGTTCGGCGTTACTTTCTCTACTGGGTTCGACATGTGCACAAGAAAGAGAAACTCTTCATCAACACCTTTCAACCACTTCAACACAAACCGAGAAATGCGAGAAATCGAGAAATACTCATTCTGCATCTCCACTGTGGGTGGTTCTGCGAGATACGCTCGCAAATGGCGACACGCAGTCGGCTGACGGGCATAAATTGCGAGCAAAGGGAGAGAATCGGAGAAGGGTAGAAGAATGAGAGAATATGGCTGAGAAGCGACCTTCGTGGTAGGTGTGTCTTCCTATTCGAAACGGGTCGAAAGATCGTGTAAAGAAAATTAAAAGAGTGATCATATGTTTTCTTTACAATGACAGCCGATATTAGCACATTGTTACTTTTTGGGGGATCATGCCTTAAAAGCATTTTTCCTTGATGAATATGCTGAATATACGTATCTGACTTCCCAAAAATTCAACAATGCGTACATACCAGAAACCAATAATGTTTCCATTTTTAGAGGACTCTACCCTCGTTCGTGGACGGAATACAAAGTGCCCTCGTGCAATCTCTCGGTCACATTGCGACAAGTGAATCCCGTCTTTCCGAACAACTACAAGGTAAAGCTTTCGGCATTAAAATTCTTATATTTAAGTTTTAGGAAACTTCATTCCCCACAACCGCGTTTATTTTCGATGTTGACAATAGAAGTAATGTTGAACATGAGGTTACATTTTAAAAACTGCACTCTATCATAACCGAACCTTGTTTACAGGTATCAATTGCTTTTGTGTTTCGCAACGGAACGGGTAAAAGAAGATCGGATCTTGCTGCCGATTGCACAGCGGAAAACTTTCAGGAAAATGGTTTATGAATCTCAGTTTAACCTATTGAATACCCAATTTTAGAAATTGCGGCTGTCTCTTTGCAACACAAGATCGATAAGATGAATTGCACGTACGGGTTGGCAACACGAGTTAAAGTAAGCAATAACAATTTTGTTCCTTATGACTTTTTTTTCGTTTATTCTGATCAAATCACTTCATTGTGTCGTTCCTTTGACCCTTGTGGAAATGGGTTGACGTTGTGGCAACATCTTGCCGAGACTGGAAATCTGCCTGGTGAAGGTATCTTTTTAGTGAAATGAATACAATGAATGATTTTAACTAAACTTAATTTAGCCGATCTTCCGTACCCTTTCTATAGCATCCATCACGTAAATCACAAGCTCGTTTTGTCGATTGGCAATGCACAGTCTAAAAATAATTGCACTATAGAGAAAGAAATGAGAGAAATAAACTCATTACTCCACATTACGTGAGAGCCACGATTTCACAGTGCAGCTGGTAATGCAAGTTTCGACTCAAGCGCTCAAAAGGCACATCGCACAGCGCACATCGGCCTGTGAAATCGTGGCTCTCACGTAGGCATTACTCCACATTAATGCCAGCGCACATCGGCCAACATCTTCGTCTTTGCACAAGTATCGAACCTAAATTAGAATACACGATATTAACATTGAACAGTCAGCTAAAAGCGTCCACCAGTCGGTGTCTTATTCATTTTTATATTCTCTTCGATTGAACGGATCATTTTCTGGTGAGTTTTTGTTTTTTGAGCTGCAATTTGGGACTTTTCAACATTTGTGTTAAACTTTTGAATTTTAGATCCATAATGCCAGCCAAGGGATCGGTCAAGTCGAGGAGAAGAATTGTGAGGAAAATCTTGGTCTTCTGATTTACATTTTTTTAGGTTTCCCCACCCGAACAGCCGAAAGATTTTGTCAAATTTGTTAACGATCAATTGGGCCCAAAAAGAAGACTGATGCCTATGAAGTTTTTTGGGAAATTTTTTGATGGTAATAGAGGTTGTTAAGAAAATCACTGGAGGTAAGGAGTATCGACCGAATTGGCAAAACCTCGCCTCGATCTACAATCAATCGCGCCTTCAATTGATGGTTGGAGAGAAGAAACTTCTCAAGGTAAAAATTTGGTGCTTTAGATGAAGAATAGGTGTCTCAATAGGTAACTGGGTTGTTTTTAGGTTGAGCCACAAAAACCGAACGACAATCTGTTTTTGCCGGGCTCTTACACGTCTTACGATCATCGCGACTACACCTTTTATCAGGTGGGTAAATAATTTTTTCGCTATGTGTTGATTTAGGCTCCCAAAACCGAACAAACAACCATCGATTTGTGGAGAGCCGTTTGGCAGGTTTGGGATTTTGAGAATTTTCAATAATTTTACCCTTTTTAGGACGAGACTTGCGTGATTGTTTCTGTTTCCCAAAAGGGTGATTTTGCGAAAGAGCCAACCACACGCTGTTATCCATATTGGCCAAAAAAAGAAGGAGAAACACTCACACTTGCCGTTGGTGACATTTATTCAATTAACGAAGCTTTGAAAGTTAGAGTAACCCTTTTCTTTTAGAATGGTCGTTATGTGATCAAATGCACGAAGCGGCTCACTGAGGGACTCGATCCGTCAAAGCCTGAAGCTCAACAAAGAGGCCATGTAATCTACGAGTTAAACCTGCAAAGTACTGACAAATTTATCAAAGATGAAGAAAATAAGGTTGAGATTCGGGGAAAATATGGGTGAATTGACAATATACTTTAGAAAGAGGGCGAAGAGACGGAGACTGTGACCAAAGAGGTGTACATTCCGAATGGATATGATCAACTTTTTTAATTTTAGGTGTCATTGTTGCACTATGAGAATTGGAGTCCGGATAAATGGCCCGACAGAGACGATATCATTCATTTTATCTTCGATATCAGCAAGAAAGAAAAAGAGGTAATGTGCTAATGTTGAATGAAATTTCTCCCCTTTAGGCTGTGAAACGAGCTCAAAATGCCTACATACCACCAGTTTTGCTGCAAGGATATGAAGCAATTGGACGGTTTGTTTTGTTGACAAGTTTGACTGGGCTCGTTTTAGAACAAGCGTTGTCTGGGTGGCTCTGGCAATTATGCGACACGCCGAGCAAAAAGATGGATTTGATGTGGGCGATGTGATAAACAAATTGGCCAGGTGAGTGGGCCAATAAATTGGTACTGATTGAACAATCAATGATTACTTGCTTACTTTTAAATTAGAGACCTCTTTGTGTTTTAAATATTTCAATTTAGACAACGTCCCGGTGTTTTTCGTGATCGACTTCATTACACGTATGCCTATGCGCTCTCCTTTCGCGTCGCCGCTTTCACCGGACAATTTACGGTGATTGAGATTTCTTTTTTTTTGCTACTTTCACTTAAAGATACTATAAAATACTTTAGTGAAGCTGGGGGTTTGCATTGTTTCTTTACCTTTTATTTTAGGATTGGAAGAAAATCTGCGGTGAATTGAAGGAAAGCTACGAGAAGAGCGCTCTCACCTCAACCAGCGATGCACTACAGCCAAATTAAAAAAGATCCCTTTTTATGATATTGCTTTGACATTTAGTTACTAAAGATTGACTAATAAACAATTTAATCTGTCTGTTTTTGATCCGTTTGTGGTGCATTTAAAAATTTTGATTGTAAAACAAACCTCATCGTGAATAGAAATCATGAATCGACAACCAATATCGTACTCGGTGCACAACCAATCCATGCTCAAAAGCAAAAGATGCAAAAAGTCAACAGCCGACGATTGTACAACCTACATATTTATTCGAAATTTTGAGTAAGTAGTGATTCATTTACCCAATTCATTCGACTTCTCATGAAAGTGTCGAGAAATAGTTGTTTTTCGGTGCCTGTACAATTTTGTGGAATCGAGAGACCGGAGCCAAGAATACATTCTGAAAGAAAATTTATAGAAAGATTTTGGTAGAAGACATACTTAAAACTGGAGTGCACATTTGACCCTGTCTAGCCGACCAAACGAGATAATTGAAGGTTGACGACTCACTGAATGATTAAGTTATTAAGAAAAAGCATGGCGATACTTACTATCCCCCAATGAAGTACTTTTCGGTCGAACTGAAGTTTTCATAAATTTCGGGGATCGGTTTGAAAGTAGTCGAATCCGAGATAGAAAGTCCTCGATTTCTCAGCTCTTGAATAAGCCATTCTTCAAAAAGGCGTGATGAAGATCTAAATCTAATATTAAGCAAAACGAATCAAATTTAAACGTCGAATGTAACAGTCCTTAAATATTCACTTTTCGCTTCCGTCATCATCATCTAAACTGTAAGTGGGTACAAAAAATTGTCCACCAGCGCGCACAAAAGAATCCATTAAACCATTCACTTTGCAGAATTCGAGAAAAAACGGAATCACCGACTGTTTCAACTTTCGAAGCCTAAAACAAAAAAAATAGGCATTTCAAAGTTTTCATACGGTATTTCTTTTCCTTTTGTGTTCTCAAAAAGTTTCCGCGCAATTTCTTCAGCTTTCTTTTCATCTGTGCCGCCCTCTCTAGAACAAATATCGTTCGAACAAATAAAAACGCTTACATTAGTGTGTTTTTAGCATTCGTGATCCCGGCTCCATACAAGCGAGCATAGTTGAGGATCTGAAAAGGGGTGTTAACTAAAATGACACTTTTCAAACCTTTGCCGTGTCTCGTTTAATCTTCAAATCATTTGCAATAACTGAATGCAAATCGCTGTTGTCCGATCGATGTCCAGCTAGAGCCATATTCGAGAAAGGTGTTCGACCGGGTCGACGCTCGTTTTCATCTGAAAATTTTGGAATGGTTAGTTCATCTATTTTTCGAGCACTTAACAGTAAAGGAGTTAATGAATCAATGTAATCCTTATACTTGAGTGCATAGCTGATAAATAAAATTTACCAAGCCCAGCCGCATCACTTGCATCACCCATTATGGCGGCTAACCATTGTTCTTGGGAATCAACATCGGCCCCTAAACATGGATATTATTAAAGGTAGTGCATTGAATCTGTCTAACCTACAATACAGTATCCTGGCGGCGCTTGAACCATCGACTTTAAATGTGTACCGATTCTGCTCTCCTTTTCATCCTAAAATATTATTTAAATTTTGCTAAATCTTAAAACAAACCCACCTTTACATTAGTCATTGTAACCCAAAGGCGTGAACAGCTCGACGAGACACCGTTCCGGCTGGTCTAATACCCGGCGCCAATGCTCCGATCTAAAAGTTGGCAGTTTAAAAAGTTCGTTTACCATTTTAAAGGCTCTATTTCAAAATTTTTTTAATTTACTAGTTTTGTTGCGTTCTCCAATTTGGAATCTGTCTTCGACGGCAATTCAATGTCTGATGCTTCTGGTTGCCATACGTGGATCTCATCGGCAAAGCGTTTACTAAAGTTTTGGCTTGAACAAATTATTTTAACGGCTATGCTTAAAACCTGTAGCTTATCCAAAATTTTGTCGTAAAGAAGTCGCTGACAAAGTCGTTAAATTCTTTTTGAAACCTATAAGAATAAAAATAAAGTCACCATGCAAAACGCTTTATCTATGTACAAAATAATACCTTGTTGGTTTTAGAAGGCGCCCTAAAAGCGATTTGTAAGTGAGAGCGAACGGGGTTGCGATTTTAGTTGATTTGTGACCAGACGCCTTAAAAAAGTTCAAACTGATTTTTTGATTGTAAAAACCTTTCGAGTTGTTTATAGTAAAATGGGCCAATCTTTTTCAGGTTTTCCTCAACAGAAAGATCAACGAGTAATTCCTTTGGTGCAAACCCAAAGCGTTCATTGTAGATGTTCCATAATGCACTAAATTCTGTTGCTTAAAAGGAAAAAAAAAGCAGATAAACCCCGCCGGCATTAGTACTTTGCTTTTCTCTTTGCCCAATTCTACAAAATCGTCGGGTTTTAAATCTAAAAATTTAAACTTGCCAAAGGTCATCTTCATAAAAACAAACCACGACATTCATCTACTACAGGAATCAAGTATCCCCAGCCATAAACGGGATGATCATAAAGTGGATAAGGACCATAAACCATTCCAAAGATCTAGAAGAGTAATAAAGAATGCCAAAAGAAATAGACAAACCTTTGGAATGAGTTTACCATATCTCACATTTAAAGTGTCATCTCCAATATCTTCAATCGATAAACCACGTTGTTCGGCGTTAGCAAAGAGATTATTATACCATCTAGACAGAGGTTTAGTCGATATCTAGACAAAGGTTTAGTCGATATCTGAACTCTTATCTAATAGTAAAAAAATACCTGGGATTGGAGTCTTTTCGTGAGAGTTTCCAATCTTCTGTCCAAAGCCACGGATCGGTACTAGAATCAAAAGTTAAATCGTTTATAGCTTTTACAATACATATTCGTTTCTTCGCATAACGTCTTGGCACTTTTGACAATTTGAATGGAATTCTGGAAAGTAAAAAGGTCAAACAATGTTTTTCTCAACAGGTACCTGCTGCTTTTGTTCCAACAGAGCTTTTTCGCATGAATCGTAATATTGTGGCCAGTATCTATTGATCGGAAGATAGGCATCACCCATGTTTAGAAAGCCATACAGCGTCACTGGTGACGGATACCTGAAAATTGAACACAACAGCTTTTGCAATCTTTCAAAACTAACATCTCACGAAACTTCGGGACAAGTTTCTGGAAAGCCTTTGCAGTTGCAATTACCTAAAAGTTTATGTATCCAAATACAAATCCAAACGTACGTCCAATGCACAATAGGCCATGCATTCCTAAAAAGCAGAGATGTTCGATTCAAAAATTTTGTTAACAACTCACCTGAAAGTTCTTTGTTTCCCGAAAAAACATAATTGGTTCTTTCACAAAATAGTCCCGTTCCGTTTTCTTCATCATGGATATCTTTTTCGATAATCGGTCCTTATCTTCACTCAACAGAAACTTACAAAGCTAAAGATTCCTTAATTACATAACTTTTAAAAAAATGTTTACATCTTTCAGCGAGACTTTTGTAGCATTTGTGCGCCATTTTGCCATCAACTTCTCCAATTTCATTGCAGCCCAATCTTTGCGGAAAATCTATTTTTTTAAACTTGGTGGCAAAATCAATTTCGTACCGTCTTCTCTTCGGTAAGATCATCCTTATTGTAAAGTCCCTGTTGATGATCGGCCATTCCATAAATTGAAGCTCCCGCGGATAAGGTATCAAAATAACGAAGTCCAGTTTTCTAAAAAAACTTGAAAAACTTTCAAATGTTCACATACATATTGAAGGTATGGTTCTCTTGTTCTCGCACGATCGAATCCAACGTTGTGACCAACCACCAGACGCGCCTTCCGATCCTCTCCATCAACCGAGAGCGGGATCATTTCGTTGGTTGTCGCAAAATCATAATAAGGTGTATTCTCGACGAGCCTTTTTGAACACCAAGAGTACCTAAAATGTTCAATATATAAACTTCAGCAGTATCTAGTTAATCTCCACATTAAGCAATCGAACCATCCTCATTTAATACTACTGTTTTAGACAGTTCAAGCTTCTATTTTTCCCTTTACTCAATTCTCTATTTCATTGTCTTAAACAGTCTACCCATCAATAACCCATATTCGTTTTGATGCAACACGAATGTGTTGTTGTTTATTGATAACGGAATAATACAGAAACTCCAAATATTAACCCACCAAGCTTTTGATGTGAGAGCGATAGCCATTGTCGGAAGTTTCCCTTTTGGTTCTGCATCTGTCACACAAACTTCCACATCAAAAACTGAGCACGATTCGAGTGGATGCGAAACCTTTAGCCAAATCTACTCGTAAAAATAAATTCAAAAGTACCTCGGTAATTTCACCAGTTTGATGATCGTAACGAGTCCACCCTGTTCTGAAATTGAATTCTTTTGGAAGCAATTTGTAAAGTTTTTCTAAGTTCCATTGCATCATTTCATCCATGTATGCGGAGTAGGTGTCGGTCTAGAAAAAATATTTTAAGGTTATTTTTAGAAAGTTACTTTTTCTCTAGCAACTGCTTCAAAGTGCTGCAAAAGATTCGCATTCCTGAGCACCGGCTTTTCCAAGATTTCCAACTTTTTTGAAAATGCATCGTTCGAGGCAGTGCTCGGAACCTTGAAAAGAGGTGTTGACGTTATGCAGTTAAATTGATACCTCAACATTCGGAAATAAATGATTATGGAGAAAAACGGGAAGCGTCGTGATCTGTTTTGGTACAAACTAAAAGATTTAAAATGTTTCTGTTTATGATAACCAAGTGAAGTATAGGAAAAACCTTTGAAGCTGCGGAGGACTGTCGCCGAATATTTGAAAAACGGGGAAGTCGGCGAAAATTTTTCATCAGGAAATTCAATCCCTCTGAACTTGAGTTATGTTTGTGACAAATTTCTTGCGGAGAAAAAATAAAAGAGTGCATTTAACCGGAAGCAAATATATCCGATCTCAAACAGCTTTATTTTCACGATCAATCACAGATTCGTCAAATTCTATCAGATATGTTGTCGCTCCCTCATGCCAATGGGCACTCACTTTGCATGGAAAGTTCGAAGCCTAGAAATTAAATATGTCGCAATCATAAAAAGAAAAATGTCCAGAATTTGCACATACCTCTAGCATAGCAACTGTAAGTACAATTACGGAAACATGCCACTAAATTTTGTCTAGATTCCCCGATCAGCCACTCTTCGTTGGGGTCGTGAGAAAGGAACAGGAGAACGGGGGAAATATCCGATTGTTCAGGTAAGGTTGAAATCTTTGCACAAATGGTAAGTTTTAGGTGAAAAACATTGTCGCTTTTCCTGGGGTTCCGCGATTTTGCGAGCTGGCTTTCGACAATATTGAGGTGGGACTTTGAAAAATTTCAATGACCTCTAATTTCAGGAAGAACTCTTCCCATCCACCGAGTTTCGTCCGATATTCAGGGAGACAATTTACGCGAATAAATCTGAATTCGAATTTTCAGATGAACTAACAAAGGTGAAATTGCTTTGACTTTAGTATTTATTTGTAAGTTGTCTTACAGACTGCCGATAATTTCGAAGGACGAGTGGAAATTGGAAGTTATCCCGATTTTAATAACAAGTTTGTTACTTAAAAAGTGTTTAAATTGCTTGTTTAGTTATTATAAAACGAAGTTGATCGTGGAAAGTGAAAACGAAGAAGACGGGGCAAAAGCGGTGGAAGAACTGAAGAAAATTATCGCAGGTTTGAAAATCACATAGATCTTATTGTGTTTCTTTAGAAAATCTCGTCTACTACGATGCAAAGCCTTGGCTGAATACCGTACAGAAATGGAATGCTTTTCGGTAATTGGAAAAGTTTAAAGTCATTATGTTTGGTTTAGTGAACGCAAGCTCGTATCAAATCCAAATTTTGTCGCAAAAATGTTCGTTTTCATGTATTTCTTGTAATTGCACCTTTCAGGTATAACATTGTTGTTATGGAATTACCGGGACCTCTCATAATTGGAGTGAGCTCATTGAAAGAACAACGGCCACAAATTGTGCCCGTTTTGATGGGAAGTCGTGCAAGTGATCCGAATGGAAAATATATGAAGTAAGTGGGTAAAAGATTGTTAAAATTGAAATGAAGCACAGATTCTGAATTCTGTTTTAGATCTAAAGTTGAGTGGACTGATTCGGATTGGCCTCGAGTACTTCGTGTGTGCCCGATTCTTCCGTGGAGCTATCAAGATGTTTGGATGATGTTGAGAGGTCTTTGTGTTCACTATTGTCAACTGTACGACCAGGTTGGGTTTGAATTTGGGCCTGAGATAAATTGTATCAGCAATTAAGAGAATTTACGGTGTTTTGTGAGTCCGTACAAAGTTCAGTTTCATATTTTAGGGTTACACATCATTAGGCGGTCGAGAGACAACAGTTCCAAATGAGATGTTGCGAATAGAAAGTAGCGGAAACATAAGGTAGTGTTGAAAGTGTTTGGACTAAAAATGCTAATGTTACCTGATAATGCATTTTAGATACTGCCCAGCTTATGCACTCAACGATGGGAATGAAGAAAGAAAAGGACGCAAAAATAAATAAAGTCTGCTAACAAATCAACCTATTTTATCTGTGATAGTAGTTAAGTTTGTGATCTTAAATTTTTAGCCCTAAATTGCTTTGTATTTGTGATTTTGAACTAGTTTAATGCTATTTAAGTATCTACTTATTATTTTAGTTTGTTTGTGGAGAATAAATTTCTATTTGTAAACTTATTGTTAGATTCTCTAAAGCATTCGGTTGGAAATCCATAGTTTGGATTACTGTAGGACTGTTGTTTGCAAAACTTAATAAAGCCACAAATGAATATTGATAGGTCTTTACATTTGAAAATGTTAACAACTTTCTAGTATCTAAAACTTTTGAACTGATCAAAATCGAATGGATGAAGAAAAAGTTATATGCAAAACAACCAAAGTAATACAGGGCGATCAATACTTTTTTCCAGCACTGTATCTAGAGATCTTGTATCAAAATCTTATCATCTTTCGACAAATATATTCCATTTCGAATATCATCTCCAGTAGGTCGCTTGCAAATTGCCTGAAATTCTTGTCATTGGTGAATTATTTCCTTTCACTCACCATTGTACTGTTTGTATTCTGAAAACAGCTCATCGTATTGATCGCCCTGTATGCCTTTTACCTAACGCCATTCCACCCATCGCTATTCCCATGTAACGAGCTCGTTGCTTGTCATCAGAATACTGTTGAGCCAGCATACCCATTCCTAAACTAGCGTTTGAACCATGTCAAGGCCAGAATCCTTCTACTTTAGATTCGTGTCAGGTCAAAAGCATATCAAACCTGAACCTGGGTCCAGACTTCGCTAAATCTAGCAAAATTTACTAGTTTCACCCAAAAATTTGCAATCTTTTGCGAATAACCTTTAAAATTTGAAATTCTTGTTAGCTGTTTGTTTCTTGTTAGAAAATAAATTTCTACGTTTACACGTATAAAAATTATTTTGACTAGATAATATTAGGCCCATAAGTCCTTTTCCTTTGAAAATATTTTCAAAAATAACGGCAATTTCAAATAAAGGACGGCTTGCTTTGTTAAAAAGCTCTAACATGCCAAAACAAAATGGCTTTTGATTATTTTTCCAATTTTTAAAATTTTTTTGGTTTATGACGTTTTTAAAGTGTTTAAACATTTTTCGCCGATCTTTAATCTCAATTTTTTGACATTTTCTTCAAACAAAATCTCATTTAGTGTAAATAGAGAAAACAAAGAGGAGATTTGATTACATAAGTTGTCAAATTTTCAGACAGATCGATCAAATCTTTTTCATTTTATAGACACTGAAAGGTTTTGTACAAAAACCGATTTTTATTGCCCTTTAATTAGCTATTTAGCTCCCATTCAAGTATCATTTTGTAGAGAAATCATCACCTCACAGTACAAACTAAATTTTAAAGAAGTTATTCGCCCAAGATTGCGAATTTTAGGGTGAAACTAGTAATTTTGCTAGACCTAGCAGATCTGGACCTGGGCTCTAGACCGGCTTAGACAGTTTTAACTAGGCCTTGATTGAGTTGACCTGAATTGGTCAGGCCTGGCCTGGCCAACTGCGCCTAGCCTGGCCAACTGCGCCTAGCCTGGCCAACTGCGCCGGCCCAGTCCACCATTGTTGATTAATCCATTGTCACCAAGTTTCAATCGACTACCTCCAGTCGCTGCACAAGCTGATCCAATCCCCTGCACAGCCCTCGCCAAAAACAAAATAAGATAACTTTTTCCAAAAGCGAATAAAAGTGTTGAAAAGATCATGATCAAGTATCCAAAGGATAAAGGAACAGAAAAACCGATTCTGAAAAATTCTTTGCTAAAAGGTTATGATTGAAAAACCTTGTCGTAAGTGGACCGATCAACGGCTGAGCGAAGACTTGAACTAGACATTTTGATCCAACCAGAAAACCCAATCGTAAATTTTCATCAAGAATTTGATCGTGTCTTTGGCTTTGACTCTAGAATTTAGATGGAGGAATTGTTTGGAAAATCTTACTGAATTTGAAGTGGAGGTTTCGAGGAAAAATGCGGGAAGAACTGGCTCTGTAAGTTGAACAAAATAGATAAGCAAAAAAAAGCTTTTTATTCCGGGCAAGTTTATTTTGAGTAAGCTAAAAAGTGGATAAATGCTATGCTTGTTTCACTTTGAGTTCTCATAAATGGAAAAAAATCTTACGTTAGTAAACCTGAAAGATCTCTAGAATTGTTTTTAGAGAATTGAATAGTTTTATGAAAAGTTCTAGAGAGTTTTACAGTTTTTTCACATCTATAATACAAAATTTCCAATTCAGATAGCTTCTTACAAAGTTTTAAACAAGTTAAACACATCGTTTATGTTTAAAATTTAGTAAGTAGTAAATAATGACACAATTCTACTTCTAGGTACCGACTCGAGCGTACTTTCTATGTAATTTCTAAGCTTTCAGAAGAGAATCAAGATTTTAGCAGAATACAATTACAGAATTACAAAATATAGGATACAATGACAGATTTTTAAACAAAAATCTAGGGAAAACCTCTCACAAAAATCTGAAGAGGAAGAGAGACAAAAGAGTACAAAAAAGCGGCTTATATTGCCGAAAAACCAGATCAGATTACGGTAGCTTATCCACAGTTTAGCTTAAACTGAATAGCTTAAATTGAACTGAATGACCACAGATTCTGTGAGTTCACTTCTCTATAAAAAACCCACCTACAGCCGTTAGTAAAGAATAGTCAAGCAATAGCCCAATATAGACAACTACCAATAACAATTTGTTACGTAGAGATGAGTTTAAATTCATTATGAATTAATATTAAAGATCAAGAGCAATAGAAAAATTCAATTCCTGCATTTTTTTGCATTGCCTTTTACCAGGGTCGGAAAATGAATGAACTCTGATAAGAGATTGTATTGCCGCCTTTCCAAAAGAGCTGTCTTTTACTCGAACCAAAATGTAGTAGACAAAAATTGGCTTCTTCAAATTGTGACAAAGTTTAGTTATTATAAAAAATCATTTAGATTTATCCTGGAATCCCGTATCCTCATCATCTTAGTAGCCAATGTTATAAAATCAAGAACGAGTTTTACAATGATAGCTTATCTGATAGAGCTTTCATCGGGCATCGAATCTGCTTTTGTTTTTCTGGAAGAGCTCTATCCCTATCATCTATCATCCGTATATGGGATACAAAATTTGACATTTTCGGAGGGTTTACAAGCTTTGCTTATCATTATACTGGAAGTGAGCCCACTCAGTGATCCTAGTCTTTCAGCTTTAGTTCTGACCCTGACTCCTTTTGACTGTATCCAGTACAATTTGACCTGATATATCAGGTCAAATTGTACTGGATGATTTTTCGTGTTTTTCATACACAACTTCAATCATAACAAATTTTTTATTCAAAACATTAACTAATCAAAATAACATCCATTACATACAATGTCAGCATACGACAAGTTTTTCGACTCCATGTATGTAGTTGGCAGAAGTTCTAGAGTTGATAAAAGGTTCAGTAGCATTTTGAACCTCCACCGTATCTTTGAATATTTGGTCTCTGAGAAAGGAATCAAGGTGCTTGAATACCGTAAAGGCTGTATTAGAATGACACCCTTCGAAATCTAGACTTTAGACCCCCCCTCCTTCTGGGACCCGTCAAAGACCCGTCCCGTCCCGAAGAGCGGAAGAAGTAAAATAAAAATGAGACGTTTTTTATTTGTATTTTGTTTCCCGTTTTCTAAATTGTGACCATTTTTCTGCTGCCGATTTAATAAATTCAGTTCAAAGCCCTCATCACACTACAAGAAACATCAAAAAACATTTTTATCATATAGTTTTATACCACCGAGTTTTTTACCAAGAAATACGTGTTAGAATCCTATTTACGAAGGTGGAATTAGGTTCGGGACGGAATTTGCCCATGTCTAGTATGTTGCCATGAACTATACTTTTGAAGTACCGCCCCCGATTCTCTGGGGACACTTTTTGATAATTTGAAAAAATTTTGTCTATGGCAGAATTTTAGAAGAGTCCTAGAGAAAAAAGAAAACGAAGCATTTCAGTATCAAAATGTGTCACCATATGGGGACACTTGTGGGCGGTACTTCAAAAGTATAGTATGAACTCAAATTCAATCCGTTGAACTCAGAATTTCAATCACGTTTCATTTTTATTTAAGTAGATTTTCATCAATAACAGGACATAAACTTAGAAAATTAGAATCATTAAACATTAAATTTCGATTAGATTTCGTTTAATTTTAATTTTGTTAAGAATTTTTGTAAATTTCAGTTATTCTATTCCTCATTCTGCGCAACAACAAATCAAAAATGATTCATCATGTGACGCCTTTGATCATCGATAAAAATGATCAACGTCTTAATGCCGTACTGACATCTCCACCGTATCTTTGAATATTTGGTCTCTGAGAAAGCAATCAAGGTGCTTGAATACCGTAAATGCTGTATTAGAATGACACCCCTCTGACCCCTCGAAATCTAGACTTTAGACCCCCCCCCTTGTGGGGGTTCCATGGATAGATCTAGACCTAAAACCCACTAACATTTTATCGGCAGTAAAATTTAAAACACTATTTTTGAAATAATCGAAAAATAATTTTTTGAAAAACAATCATAAGGGTCCCCCACATGGTTTTTTTTTTTGGAGATTCAAAGGGGGTCGCGGGTAATAAAACAATTTCACTTTTAAACGTGCTTTTTTGTACGTTTTGGGCCATTGTTTAAAATAGTTTTTAAAGAATTCTAAATTTTTGATTCATGTGATCTTCCCTTACCTACTTTTTGGATCCGTCAATTTTAAGGATTGAAAAATAGAATGACATATCAAAGTGCCATGACAAGTGCATTGACCTTATCAATGAAAAAAGGTAATCAGAAAATTTTGAGAAAATTTGCTAACTCCCTAGCACTTGTTTTTTTTTTTACAAAAATGAACCTGAAATTCAGCTACAGTCGACTATCTCTATAACGGAACTCTATATAGCGGAAAACTCTATGTAACGGAATGGAATTTTGGTCCCGGCCGACGC